TTTTAAAAGTTTTTAAAATACCAGAAGAGGCTTTAAAACTTTTATTATAATTTTTTTATATATATTTAATAGTACTGTTCGAGGCCTTAATCTGAAGTTTTTACAGAAAAGTATTAACCACAAGCTGAATTATATAAATAAGACAGGGTATATAATACTGGCTCTAAATAATCTTTAAAAGATTAGAGTTAATTAAAGTATTATAAAGCTGGGTGCTCTGGCTAAGCTGGACTTAGAGTTTAGATAAGATTATATTAAATATTAAACTATTATTATTAGTATTATTAGTTGTTATATCTAATAACTAATAGGCCAGATTATGTTTATACAAAACTAATAGAATAATTATAACTAGATTTTTACTAGTATAAGATCCAGATACCAGTCGGAAGCCCAGTAGAACTTTATAGTAATCTATATCTTTTATTAAAAAATATCTAATTAAAGCAAAAAATACTTTCTAATTAAAGCTGGTCCAGTAGTCTACTGTAATTAATATCTGTTTATTATCTAAAAACTTTAATAGCAGCTGTATATATATATCTTTTAACAACTCTAAAAAATATTTTTTAATCTATGTTTAATTAGAAGAACTTGGTTTTCAGTAGGAAGATAAAGCAGTAAGATTAATTATCTGTTTAAATTAAATATACTTAATAGTTTGGAACAGTAGGCAACAGGCAATTATAAAATATAGGATTTAATTCTAAAAATTTTATTTATTATAGGCTGTAAAGGCCTAGAGAAAGTAATAATTAAAAAAATATCTATTTTTAAAAAATAAAAAAATAAGTAAATATCTGTAATAGTTTTTTATTTAGTATCTGACTAATTATTTGTTTAGATATAACTAATAGTATTTTCTTTTTACAACCCTTGTAAAGATAGTAGCTTATAAAACTAGTTTTTAAGTTTTTAATTCCTAAATATTATAAGATATCAAGGTATGTAGTATAGTAGATATAAGAGGTTCTGTTAAAAAATAATACACCTTTTTAAAAGCTGTTTTATATTATTAATAACTTCTTCTAACTGAAGTAAAATAGTAGTTTTTAAGCTTATATACAGGCTTTGGAAAAGGTTATCTTCTGCTACTAATCCTAAAAAATAAGGACTTTTTCTTAAAAAGTTAGGTATGGGATAATCTTCCAATTCTTTACAATATATATAATCTTAAGATTTAATAAGAAAAAAAAGATCTGACTTAAAAAGCTTATCTTAGTTTAAGCATTATTATAGTTTATAAAAATCTGAAAAACAGAAAAAAAGGGCTTAATAGTATCCTCTAAAAATAAACTAAATAACTGTAATTAACTTATAATTCTAAGACTACTTTATAAGTAATAGATATAGAAGGATAAAAGCAGAAAACTTTATAAAAACAGTTTGTTTTACTTTAAAATATACTTTTATATAAATATAATCTATTATATTTTAACATACAGCCAAAGCGCCCGCCGTACCTTATATATTTTAGTAGGTCTAGTAAGTAGGAAATTATATCTAAAGCCCAGAATTACAGGTGCTTGGGGCCAACTAGATTAAATATATTAAAAATCTTATTTTTATATCTGGAAAAGGCTTTTGCAGAACCTACTATAAAAAATATAGTATCTAATATTAAACTAAATAGTTATTAGAAAGTACATTTGCTGAGAAAGACTAAGTAAGTAGTATAATATAGGATTTTAAACAAATTTAGACTAACAGGATATTTAGGATTATTAGAATTAAAAAGGTCAAAAAAGTCAATTAGATTAATAAAAAAATTAAGATTATTAGTATTAAAGGGGTTAATTAGATTAGCAGGATAATTAAGATTGTTGGGGTTAAAAAGGTTAATTAGATTAAATATAAAGATTTATATTATATTATATACAGCCTAAATAAAGCAGTAATTATATATCTTTATATATATTTCTTACTGTAAAAGCAATAATTCTGTTAAAAGCTGGAATTTATTAGTACTACTAGAAATTTCTTATTATTTTTTAAAGATAAAGATAAAAAAGATAGTAATACTTTGCTTAGTTGCCTTTATTTAATTTAAAAAGCTTTCTTTTGTATGCTTTTAGGTAACAGTTAAGATAGTCAGATTAATAACCTGTTAATCTAAATATATCTTAACTATACTAAAGCTAAAAAAGGTATAGCAGGTAGGTCTTAGCACTAAAAACGGTTAAAACAGTTAACCGCCCGATTTTTGGCTATACTGCGGTTAGGTATAAAAATTTCCTTAACCTGGCCATAACCTGGCGGTTAGGTATAAAAATTCTAATTAACCTGACCTGGCCTGGCCGTTAGCCACTCTAGAATATATAGCACAGGTTAATCAGATAGAATAGATAGAGCAGGTAGAGTAGATTAATTAGATAAAAAAGATTAATTAGATAGAGCAGATAAAGCAGATAGAGCAGATAGGCTAAAACTAAAAAATATTACCATACTATAATTAAAAATATATTATACTTTATATATTATCTATATAAGAAGGATATATATATTATAAATTAACCTATAGTTATTAACCTATCTACTATATCTAACCTTTCTAACCTGTAGGTATAAATAGTTAAAATAATAGTTGTACCTTAACCTAACTATAACTATACAGTTAAAAATTTTTTATATCTTAACCTGACCACCAGGTTATGGCTAGGTTAAGGTTAAGGTATAGCAGTTAGGTTAAGCCACTCTAGTCAATGGCAACAATACTTTCTTCAACACTTGAACTTGTCATTTGCTATATAGAATTTTTTTTAGGTTGAGTTTTGTTACTATAATTCAGATCCCGGCTTAAGTAATTTTAAGTATAGAAAAACTATCCAAATTCTCAACTTTTAAATACTCTTTATGGATAACCAGGTATATTATAGAAGTTCTAATAATATAGTCTGTACTGTAGGGATATAATTAGAGATTCTAGCAAGATACAGCTCTATTAAAGTTAATGGTGGTTCTAATACTAAGTCTGTTTTCACCTATGGTATAGGTCTTAGTATTGAAAGTAGTTAAAATAATTAACTGTCTGATTTTTAGCTATACTGTAGTTAGGTATAAAAGTTTTTTTAACCTAGCTATAACCTGGCAGTTAGGTATAAAAATTCTAATTAACCTGACCTGACCTGGCTGTTAGCCACTCTAATTATATATATGTAATATATACTTACTGTAGTTGTAGCAGATATACCAGTAAGTATTATTAAAGTAGAAATATAAAATAAAAACCAAATAAGCTTTAGTTTTATCAATAGAATTTTTTTTTAAGTTTAGTTTTATTACCATAATTCAGATCCCAGCATAAGTAATTCTAAGTATAGAAAAACTATTCAAATTCTCAACTTTTAAGCACTCTTTATGGATAACCAGATATATTATAGAAATTCTAATAATATAGCCTGTGCTGTAGGGCTATGATTAGAGATTACAGCAAGTTTCAGCTTTATTAAAGGTTGTAGTAGTTCTAATTCTAAGTCTATCTTTACCTATGGTTTATTATAAAAATAGTATTCTTGCCCAGCTGTATCACCTTCCTTGTGTAGCTCCACACCAGGAGTATGTCGGCGGCCTTTGTGTGGACCCATGTCCGGTCGACCGGTAAGGACCGGGAAAAGGTCACGAAAGCATGCGTTTGCCCAGAAGAAATGGAGGGGGATACGGATGGCACCTGCGTGCCTTCGCAAGACTGCCCGGATGGCAAGGAGGGGGACAGGATCACGAAAGAATGTGTCTGCCCGAATGGGACAATCGAGGCGCAAGATGGTAGCTGTGAGCCGCCAAGGGAATGCGACTCGGGCCTACTGACAGGTATCTCTTTCCTTTCTCTTGGGATTGTGGAATGAATCCAACGGGAAACCAGGCTTGCTGACAAGAAGCCCACGTTTTCTCTCCCCTAGGCAAATGCTACACCCTGTCCCGCGAGGATGGCCACTATTTCACTACCGAGGATTCCACACACTTTGCCTTCTATCGATTGAGGTCAAGCGCCGACTAGGAAGATTCCAACTCTGTGCGGAGGAAAGCTATGCGGCAGGCAAGGCGATCAACCCTAGCGACCTGGATTACCTACAAGACACCCTTGGAACCGGCCCCGCTGCATGGCTCAACAATGAGTAGAATGGCAACCATATTGCACTAACCAGGAAATTCCAAGACGCTGGTGAGTTCAGCTTGACCAAATGGAGCCGGGGCGCATACTGCTTGGGCGGCTTCAAGAATGGAGTTGGGGTTGCATGTCCCAGTGAAACCCCGGCCCTCACCTTCATTCCTGGCAAAACCCAGCTCTGTTTCCCGTCATTTTGGACAAGGTTTCTTGTGATACCAAGAGCGGTTCGAACAACTGTGCATGCATAGAATTCAAGGCGGCCGTTGGCAAGGTGGCATCAGGCGAGTTGTAGCCGGAAGTTGAAGGGATTAGGGCTATTGGTTGTCTAGTGTCTCACAGCAGGATGATCCTTACTCCGCTGGCGTTCGTTGGGGTTACATAACCCAGGCCCAGCCTTTGGAACAGAGCTGGAGGTCAAGAAGCTGCACCTGGTAGTTCTTTCTATACAATTGAGTTTCTTCCGTTTGGTGGTCCCGTTTTTACTTCTCCGCCGGGAATATAGTTGTGATTTAGGCTGTTCCCGCGCGGCACTTACGCCAGATTGTTAACTCTGAATGCACGAGTAAAAGAAACCCTAAGTGAGACACACCGCTATAAACTCCTACATACCATGGCATCGAGGTGTGTTTATCGCTGCTTGCACCTTTCATCCAGTCCAGTATTCGCCACATCCAGAGACAGTCGTATCTTGTAATGGAACCAGCGGAGAGGCATGATAGCTGAAACCGCCAGGAAGCACAGGGTGGGTTGCTTTAGGGTCTGGTTGGAGCGAATGTCCCGCACGATTTCCGCAAGTGAAATCTGAGGTGGATCTGTCCGCCTAGCTATGTGGGGTACTATGTGCTCACATTCCTCATCTGGCACCGTATGTTAATTGAGATTTGACCAAAACAAGGTCACATTGTGTCATTCAAGGTGAAAGGATAGATTACAAGTACACATGCCTCCATTCCCCTTTGCAATTGGTGCTCATTTTCAGCCAGTGCATCGTCGGAAATGCAGCGGGAGTTCACGGCCCCCATATAACATGATATTTGTGACAACCCTCCTTCTCTCCTCCGTGTCGCTGTGGTATGTTGCATTGCTTGACATGATGGTAAATCCGGCAATAGGGACTGAAACACTTCGTGGCCCACTGCCTCGTTCTTGCAGCAGTCGACTCAGGTTCATCGATCATCTTCCGGATAAAATCCGTAGCATAGTTCAAAGGCCTCCTGGGAAGACCGGCGACCCAGCCAGCATAAGGCCTGTACGGTCGTACTACCATCGTGGCCGGGGTCCGGGATTGCGGTATCTGTCAAGGAGAAGCGGCCGGCGAAGTCGAGGTAAGAAAAGACCTTGTAATCGTCGGCATTGGGGATCAGACCGTAGTTGTCGTCCAATCCAATTCGTTTCCGGTTCCCTCGGTCAGACCAAGAGATTGTTATGTGATCACTCTCAATCAGTGGAGTGTTGGAGGAGGCATCCCGCACGGTGTCGGTGTTACGGTCCGCAATGCTGACCGTGAATCGCGACCGCCTCGTAGTGGACAAGTAGATGCGCTCGCCATCGCAGTACCAGTAGGTATTAGGGTAGCCACATTGCCGGATGAAGAAGCTGTATCCGGACAGGCGGTCATATTCATGCCCGTCGAACAGTTGCGCCAGTGGCTTATTGCCCAGTGCGGCGTACGGACCCATCCAGTAGCAGAGCATCCTCCCTGCCAACGGGGCGAATGCAGGGTCCTTTTGCCCAGTGCCGGGGACTGGGTTGAGGCTGGCAGCCCCCGCAAGGTTGGAGATGCAGTCAGAGTTTTCGGCAATTTGCAAAACCCAGAACTTGGGAGACATCCGGTAAATCCCCTTGGGGGTCAGTGTCTGCACCGTCTGGGAGGGCCCCATGGGAACGGTAAGGCTCCGGCCCTTGTTCTCTTGCAGAATGCGGAAGCATGTCTCGGCGGTATTGCGATCCGCAGAGATGAAAATCCACGTAAAATATGGATAGGCTCGGTCATTCGCAATGGGATCCGCGGCAATGTAGTGTACATAGACCATTTTGTCTCAAAGCAAGCGGAAGCGGAACTGAACAAATGACAGATAAGTGTTGATGATTCTCGTGGATGTTGAAAGAGGCCCGCGGGATGCTAATAAATAAAAGCTCTGCATCTTACGATGGTTGGTGAAGCGGTGTAGACGTCACGACGTGGGCAATCTGTTCCCTATGCTGATAGACCATACAAGCTTTCATTAAACCACCATGCCGTGCAACGCTGCCGTAACCTAGGAGCTGTGCTCAGGTTCTAGACTGCCAGGCCGGGTGCCCTTGTCTCTTCCGGGTCATAGTCAACCGGCAATAGGCTCAAGACATAGCAGTGCTTGATCGCTTCCTTTGCGTTGTCTCCGGATGCAGACATTCGGCATTTCCAGGGCGTGCGATCATAAACCGTTTCACAAGAACTCGGCACATGACATAATTACCCCGGTTCGGCCTCTCAATTTCACACCTAAGCTTGGAGAATTGACTCAAGATTCCTGAGGGTCCACTCAAGAAACTCTAGCCATCTTCAAGTCAGATTGCCTCTGGTAAGTGGAGGTTGCTTTGGTAATGTAACAGGAAGCGCAGAGGAGCCTTGAACGATTGTGTAGAGATCCTCACACCCAATCAATAAACTACAGTATTGACAGGAGACTAGACTTCGTTTTCTGCCACCATGGTTACTCTTTATCCGCTCCGTCATCGAAGTACACACGAGCCGCTCCGAGTTACACTCCTCTCGTCCGAACTTGACAAACATCCTGATTTTTATTTTGAACCCTGTGAGCCGTACCATTCGGTCTTGATCGCCCTGGGCGTACGAGTCCAATACTACCTCGCTTGGAGCACCCAGATCGGAAAAGGCCAGAAATCCGGGATTCGACTGGGACTCGGACGAGCCGCGGAGGTCTTTCAGATAATCCCTCGCCGTAATTCATTTAAGGGACCTGCGTCTTCCTTGTCATGGTCCGTGCTGCGGCATACCTGGAACCGCCGCTTCCGTCTTCCTTCCCCCAAAGCCAGCCACTGCCAGGCTTCGACCCAATCACCCCAGGTGCTGTCAACAATCGCCCCGAGGTAGTCCGGGTGGATGAGCGACTGCATTCCACGTAGGCAATTCCGAGCCAGTCCTAGTGGTCTGACGCAGTTTCTTGTGCGCTATGCACGGCGGTACCTTGGCAATGGTCCTGCTGGTTCCGTATGATGTGCTGAAGCGAGTCAGAGTGACTAGGAGGAGCCATACTACCCACAGAGAAGGCTCACGGGTAGAGAAGAACAGATTCGATGATTTCGGGCGTAATTCCCTGTATTCAGTGGGGGTTTAGACAGATGGAGGTTGTTCTAGTGCCGCTCTGACAAGGGTCTCGTCGTCTCCAGAGGGAGATTAGGGGCTGCCGTGACCGTTCTGCTTGTGGCACGCCTACCCTAACTGATTACGCCACCAGTTGATAATGACTCATGAGATACGCAAGCTTTCTGGTCCTTGTTTCTGGGCTGGCCTTTGTCTCGTCTAGCCCCGGTACCGCCTGACTGAGAACGACATGATGCGCTTCCGTGGTCTTCCGTCTATCTAGGCTTCGTCGCAGCCACTGAGAATCTGCCGGTCAGTGATGTCACCACTGTCGCTGTTTCTCGCCTTTTTGGTCCACTGTTTGAGTATTTCGGACTGGGTTAGAGCATTTGGCGCTCTAGGCTCTCTGATGACGCAGGATTTGAGATTGAACCCAGCCCAACTCTAGTGTGGTGGAAGATGCAGTCTTTTCTCCACGTACAGGCATCTGAGCACGGATGCATCTGAGCATCGCTGCCATCTAGGCCAGTATCTTCGGAAATCTTGCGTTGCTGAGGTTAGAGATATGGACAATGGACACTGTCACCATCTCCGGTGTCAGTCCACCTCTTTGTCACCCTTTTGACTTGATGGCTTTATTTAGCATTGAAGATCTTACAGTCAAGACATCAAATAAAAGCTTAAAGCTAGTGGAAATAGCGATCTTAATTCAGAACGAGTCATGAAGACAGCGATCAATTAATAATGTTATGATGGTAATCTAGACAATTACCCTACCTACCCTCTGTCCTATCGGCAAGAGACATAGCATCATGACGTCAAAGAGTGGTAGAGCAGTCTGGGGCAGACTCTCAATCCTCTATATTAGAACAAAATTGGCTTACGTCCCTTATTCCCTGTTGTATTCTACAGTATTAAAACCCGTCCCCCAACGTCTCACAAGAGCGGCAAAATCTCTCTTCCTCCCTCCCAGAGTTGATCTCCTTACCCGAATATTTTATTATATTCCATCCCCAAACAAAGAACCTACTAAGCATTCACCTCGAGCCAAACCCACAAAATCCTCTTCATCCACAATCTCTGTCGACGAAGAGGCTCGTCATCTCCAGCTTCAGCTTCACAACGGGTCCGACCGGAGTGATGACCCTTAGCCGCTTCGGATTCTAGAATTCGCATGTATGTTTGGGGCCCCAATGCGCTCTGCGTCCGACCATACCCAGATCCCCCTCGACGAATACTCCAAGATTGTTATTGCGCCCGGGGCAACCCAGGAGCTCTATGTCTCGGGCGTCAACGCCCAACAGATCGGTGGATACCCATCAACAGTGCCTGGCGCGACGGGCCTGCAAGGCAGCCTAACGATCATGGCCGAGAACGCAGGGACTATCTTGAGAATCCACTTCAATGATCCGATCAACGATGTCATCCAAGACAATCCCGGATATTTGGCACCAACTCGGAGTTTCGCCATTACCCACCTTACTCCCAAATGGGTGTGACTAGGAGGAAGGCCGGAGCTATGTTCCGGAATGCTAGTAGGGTTGCAGCAGCTCGATATTGTCCGAGCTGAATGAAAAGGGAACTGTAGGGATGAAGGTCTCGTTGCGCGCAATTCATTCCATCTTTCTTTGCCTGGCTGACCGGCTGGTTGACGGCGGGGTCAGTGGAAGCTCATAGTAGGTTACAAACACGTGTCCAGGGGTGACTCAGAACACCAACAGTTCCTGACTTCAAAATGGGAGCCGATGCAATTCCTTGTTACCCATAGCTTTGGTTGAATCTTTACTTGGAGGTATAGCCTTGAATTACACGTTCTGTACTGCGAGACGATATTTCCTTCTAAAGATACACGGCCCAGTTCCCACAGTGGTGCGAACAAGGTAGCAACCGGTTACCCCCATCCCCTCAGTATCTATCCATCCTTCACCATATCGATACTTTACTTAACCCTCATTCGATTCTGGAATAGAGAGGTGAGAAAGGGGGGATAGGTACAGTGGGCCCCGTTTATTGTAGGCGGGGTCATTGTCTCCTGCGACCGAGAGTTCTCTGTGCTAGACACTACATGAAAACGGACGATTGATCGATCCCGTCTGGAACGCGGCGATCTAACAATAAGATGAATTAGTCTCAGGTCACAATACTAGTTTTGACAAGGAGGGCAGGCTTACCACTCCAGTTACACTTGCATACATCCCAAAACCAAGTATAGTGACTCCCACCACAAAGACGATCAGATTCAGGACAGCGGTGCGAAGGTTTTGCCGATCAAACCAGGCCCCTTCCTTGAGCAAAAAAAACCACATCAAGGGCGGGAGGTAAAAGGAGAAGCCGGAGACCAGCAAGCAGCCACAAATAGAGAGAAGCTCGGAGAAGAAAGGGATGGCTTCGGCCACAACCCAACCAACCACGTTGATGCAGGCCACGATTGTGAGCCACGTCGCCCATCCCATGGGAGTGTTGACGTACCGCGCGGAGGAACCTTGGAAGAGACGGCCGTGCATGAACCGGGCGGCGATGGTGGCGTTGATGGCGCCCGAGATGTAAATAACAGGCAGGGCAACACCAAAGGCAATCTTAGCAATCAGGGGGCTGGCGGACAACAGCGCGGGGGACTGGACCCCTTGTCCCACCAATGCATAGATCAAAGCCCCGGTGACAGTGTAGATGGTCATTTGCGTGACGGCGAGTGTGGTGATGGACTTGGTAAAATCGGTAGGGGTGTGCATCTCGTCCATGAAGGTCGGCTGGGCCCCGGCGAACGCGTAGGCGAAAGCGATATTCGAGATCGCAACAAATGCCTCGCTAAGAGTCAAGTTTTCCTTTGGCCAGGCCGACCACGCGGCTGACGCAAAGGCCGTGTCGTGGGAATTTTGGATTCCCGTGGCGATCATGACAACCCCAATGGCCAAGATGATGGAGGCGAAATCAATGTACCCCAGGATGGAGATATCCGCAAAGGTAGGGGGCACAGCAAAGGCAAAGAGAATGACAGCAGACACCACGCTGAAGATGAGGGCGCAAACGTTACTTCCTGTGATAGTCGCCAGGGCTAGTTTCCCTGTTAAGCAATGCGAACCGACGGTCATAGTCAGGAGAGCCACGAAAGCGGCCCCCAGTACTTTGTCACCAATGCTGCCCATAAGTAGACGTCCAAAGTCCACAATATGCGGCAGGTGCGGATACTTAAGCTTGATCAGGCCGATGATGTAGCTGGCGTAGATGGCGATAATTCCCAATCCGAGAGTCAAGAACACGCCAGCCACCATGCCCAGCGTATCGAACGCAGCTGGCAGACTCAGACTACCCAGTGCAATGGATTGTACAATCAGCACGATGGTCAGACGCTTCCAACCCAAGCGATGGAAACGCTGTTCGCCTTGGATGGCTTGCTCATGATCGCCTTGCAGGAAACCCTTGTCCAGGGTTCCGGGTTCGGCTTGGTCGGGCTCGGTTGTATCGCTCACCCTCGTTTCGCCATTGATGCTGAGCTTATCGACGTGAGCTGTGTCGTCTCCCATCTTCTGTGGGTTTGGGGGGTAATGAACTTGACAAAAGAAAAGAAATTCGCGGCTGGGCCGGGAAAAGCGCAGAATTGTATCTGGGCTCTACCACTTGACAGTGTCAAGTAACCCCGCACATGAAAACGGAATCAAGTTTGTTCCGGGAAGAAGTTGGCAGGATCGAAGGGCAGATAATTTGCTGGATGAAAGATAGAATCATGTAATTAATTTTATCAAGCCAGTCGTTATGCTGCCTTGGGTAGTAGGATCTGCTTTCCTGATTGGTGCCCTCTCGGCGCCAAGCTGGCGGAGGGGCGGTAGCTGAGTGTTCTAAATTATCTGATCATACTTTGCATCTGATTAGATTAGATTTCTGCAGCCACCCACTTGGTTCACACTTGGTTTGCCACCGAGTTGAGAGGTCATATGCGGGACCAATTGGGGGTTGCTTCCTCGGCTATCAGCTGTAACATCGCCAGCGTACTGGGCCGTGATCAATCTATTAATATGGCCTTGCCCGCACCGGCCTATAGTCATACACTGGGAAACTCTGGGCTATCACTCGTTTACTTTTCCATCAGAGGTGCAGTTCGTTGACGTGGAAAGCGATAGAACCGAAATCCAAGATAGACACGACGGAAGACCGCTCCGATGTCTCAAAGGCAATTGTTGCACCCGCCAATGATTGTTTCTGTTAGACGACCAGGCAGGTCTTCCTCGAGCTCTCGTCAGGAGTGAACCCCACCCCACATCTTCCAGCAATAGGTCGATGGAGCGACTAGTACCGCATAGGCGAAGTGCGAGATGATTAGCATAGAAACAGTTTTTATCGGCACTGAGCGTGCAACCAAGTATACTTACAGCGTACTACAAAACAGTTCGCCAATGGAATCCCTCGTTGTATCTGCAGCATTTCCGATCTGAGATTTATTGGCTATATAGTCCTAATTTCTAAGAGATATTGGGGTTATCGAGACCGATATAGTCTCGCATGACTGAATAGGCCCGGCGTCAATCGTCTCAGACATGATTGAGATATCTGACTTTGTGTCCGAGCTTTTGACCCGTTCAAAGTCCTTGTGCCAGTGATCAAATCCAGAACAGAGTTTCGACCCCATCATGGGTCTTTTCATCTGCATAAAACTTCCTCGTCTCTTTCCCCGGCTTGAACCGGCCCCTGTCCCTTGAACTATGTTAGCAGTCTGGCCTGATCCTGTCGCAGCCGCTGGGCAGTTGTGACACTGCACTACTTGAAGTTCCTCGCACTAAGACTCCGGAGAGCTGTAGTTTGGTATGGTAAAGATCACCACGCGTCATTTCAATGCCCACTGCTACGGCCGTTGGCAACACCATGTCCAGGCTATTGAATGCTGCAACCGCTTTCGCTCCGTCAACTGGTGCTTTTGAGTCGAAAGTATACTGTCTGTCGGTGGCCTTAAAACAGTGGTGCCAGCAGCCCATCTTCATGCCCGGCCACATCATCCTTCGTGCAGGATGGGAGACAACACTGCAATCAACCTACTTCATGAGCAATATTAGCAAGCTTAACAACTGCTCGACTAGCAAGTCTTCAACAACGCGGAGTACATGCAAGCAGCCATTGGCCCGGCTCCTACGGGACGCGGCTATTCAACAGCAGCCTTGAGTCCATGCCTCGATTGAGTGGTTTTGGTTATACCTTACAAGTAGACTGCCAATGTATTTTACTAATGGTCAAAGGTGGTTTTGTGGTGGTTTTGTAAGCGTGAGAAAATTCATAGTGTATGAAATTGATCCGTACTACGATTTCAGACATTCCTTTTGACTGATATGGTAAGGAAGCATGGCATGTAGGTAAACATGCGAGGGGCATGCAATCCCCTCAGGATTCGACAACAACGAAGCATTCTTGTGAGAACCGAGTTACTGCACAGGTGAATATAATAGAAGCTCATCAACCTCCAACTGCTCCGACCCAAGGCTTTTAATATCAGTCGTACCCCCAAAGCCAGCCTCAGCTCGGTCCTTAATTGAGTCCTTATCACCCAAGCCCAGCACTGCAAGACATCGTCTTCCCAAAACCCCGGCTTTCATGTTCACATGATGCAAGGGAAGAAACCACACCGTGGCGAGCAGGTCATTCTCTACAAACGGCCTATCCATCTCCGAGACAATCTTCAACCCATCCATATCTTGACGATAATGCCGGAACCAGGCCACCCCTTCTATGGAAGCCCGGTACAGAGTAATCCTTTTTCCGGGCTACACATGTGGATGCAAACACTGTGCGTCTTCGTGTAGCTAGGCTAGAGGAATTCCAGCTCCCGAAGGTTGGGATCGGGAGCCGCGGGTTTCTGCTCCACGCAGAACGCATGCACCGGCAACATAGCCCCATCAGACCAGGGGTTATAAAGTGATGATCGGTCTCACAGAGAGATTTTAGCATACCAAACAACCTAAGGTCCAAATTTACATGGCTCTATTTATAGTAGTGGCATCAATTTTTTGTCCTATCAGCTCGGGTGCACGCAAGCCTATAGATGTTACTGGCTGTTGGTCACAGTGTCGTATATATTGAGCTGATAGTGTATGCGAAGTCTAAGTAATGCTGACCACACAAGATATAGGAATAGGTAGATCTAACCTCCACCCAGATCCCCGACCCTGATCTCGATTGTTGAGCAATCTGCATTATCCAACTGGCCTCGACGCCTCTGCGTAGGCACTAGATATCTGGGGGCGCTGTCGTTTTCAGCCACTCCTGGTAACCATCTGACGGGACTGAACTCAGGAGGCTGCAACAGCTCTTCCATGTCCGTGGGGCCGGCAACTGTAAACAGGATGTTTGCTCACTGCAAATCTGCGTGTAACAATCAGACAGCTGCTTGCACCATCTGAGAGCTCTGACATACCACAATGAACGCTGCCTGTTGAATGTCAGCTCTCGATCAGAAGGCCTCATTCGGAAATGTCTCTGAATATTGGTCTTACGGTATCTTGCTGCCTCTCTAAGCTCTATGCATGCTACCTGTACGACACAGACAAGGCGAATGTCACTTTGAACAATATCTATTTTCTGTCATCATGCCACTATGTGTTCTAGCGTGATATCATGACCACCTTGCTAAGCTGCAAGAAATTCCTCTTACCTGATAACAACCAATGTTTCCCATTTCTCACAGTCCATATTCCGGCCATAAACTATTTCCAGTGCTATCTCCATGGTATTGACTTAGTGCCGAGAATAATGTTAACCCCGAGCCACGGTGAGCTGGGAGGCGGAGTTAACGCGGGTTTAAGCTTAAGCAACTGGTCTATACAACAGGTCATTGAGACTAACATCACAAAATCTTATATGCACAATACTTAACGTGCCAATTGTCCACGCACTGGACCCATCTACCATTGACCATAAACAACACCAGAGTACTTTCATCAATTAGTGCTCCCTTTAACACCCAAAGTCACGGCGAACGACTCCAAGACACCACATCAACACTCCCATTCCTCTATGACAGATCGAAGATGACGACCAACATTCCTAACATCCCCACATCCCTTCCCAAGATCCCTTCACAGACCAAGGACGCCATCATTGACCCCATATACCGCGCCCTCATTTCAATCGACACCGCCAGCCCTGCCCTCTTCGCCTCTGCCATCCACGAGGCCGCCCGCTTCACCCTGAACGGTCGCCTTCTCGAGGGCGCCGACGCTATCAAGACACATGTGTACGACACGGTGTCCAAGATAGACACCACCCACCACCTGTCCAACCTCCGCGTCACCGAGTTCGATGAGGTAAAAGGGACAGCTAGCTTGGTCGCTACCGTTCTGGCGCAGCACTATCGATCGGGAGAGGGACTCAATGCCTCTTCCAAGGGATTGTTGGCGGGGGGGCTCTACTTTGTCGATGTGATCAGAGAGGAGGGAGATGACGAGGTGTGGAGGGTCAAGGAATGGAGCTTAGAGGTTCTCTGGAGGGAAGGCGATGAGGGGGTAATGGCAAGTGTCAACGGAGACGGTGAAAGGAAGGTAGAGTAGAAAGGGAGGTTTCAGATGGGGTCAGATGAAGACGACTATAAGTCTATATTCTTGCTGGATGATGGGTGGGTGTCGTGGCGGGAACACACGATGGCTTATGAGGGCAATCTCCAGTCCATAACAGCGATCACCAATAGATGTTTAACATGACGAAACGCTGAATGAGAGTGAGCAGTAAGCTGTTGCCCGCAGCATAGACACCTTAGACAAATACCCGCTACCACCCATCCACCTAGTGCAGCTAAGATGAACAACAATCATTGAGATCATGGCTGTATTGCGCTTCTATCAAGCCTGACCCAATGTAAGTAGAACCTTCATACTGCGGTGTGTCGAAGCCGCCCGAAAAACCTCGTATGCTTGCTCTATCTCGTCGAGTGCAAATGCTACTGTGGTTAGTTTTTGCGCAACCTCAGAAACATCTCAGATGACAGGAAGCTTACTGTGGGAGAGGAATGCGTCAGGGGCAAGTATCCCGGCCTGGACCATCTTCAGTAACTCCGGCGTAGTACTCGTATCCACGAGACTCGTCCGTAAGCCTGCATCCATTGTTAGCTCACATCTCACCCAGCAGAGCAATGGGGTGACTGACAAATATTGCGATGCCACAAATGCCCCAGATGGAGGGCACAACTGCTCCCATGTACGCCCAGCGACGCAATAGTCCCACCCGGTGCGACCAGATACTGCGACAGATCAAATGTTTCCTTGGCTCCGGCGGCTTCGATCACTGCGTCAAACAGCTCTCCCTCCGTCAACCTCCGACAGGCCTCGAGGGTCTTGTCCCGACCGTCCAGGGTGGTCAGGACATGATCTGCGCCCAGTTCTGTTGCCCGCTCCAGCCGATACTCGCCCCTACCAATGATCACAACCTGTCGTGGCAGTCCATAACCTTGTTTTAGAATCATGAGTGCCGTCAATGCAATGGGTCCAGCGCCGAGAATGGCGACTCGTGCGCCCGGCTTGATATCGCCGTTCAGGATGCCGCATTCAAACGCAGTAGGGAACACATCTGACAACATCACATATGCCTTGGGGTCGGTTTCTGGGGGAAGCTGGTGGAGAGAGAAGGAGGCATGCGGGATCCGGACGTATTCTGCCTGCGTGCCATCGATCTGGTTGCCCAGGATCCATCCCCCAGACGTGCACTGAGAGGACATACCCTTCCGACAAAACCGACAGTGTCCGCAGGAGGTGATACAGGAGATCAGGACCGTTTGACCGACTTGGAGGTTAGTCACGCTTGGTCCAACCGAGTCGACCACTCCGACGCCCTCGTGGCCGAGAATACAACCTGGTTTGCATGGGATGTCGTTTTGGAGGAGGTGGAGATCCGTGCCGCAGATGGTGGTATAGGTCACCCTCACAATGGCATCGGTGGGCTCTTCAATCGAAGGTTTAGGACGGTCTTCAATGGCCAGACGGTGAGGACCATTGTAAACAACTGCTCTCATGGTCTGAATGGACCCCATAATGCACGGCAGTTCTGTGCGTTGTGGTGTCCGCTACTTAGTGGGTGGCCCCGCACTGCACCCTTTATACATCTCGAGGGCCAGTGTTTGCGTTGCTTTCTTGGGTACTTTCCACACTGCACTCTCGGCTCATGCAGCATGCGGGGATGTCATTTATGAAGTGACCAGTTATTGTTCGGACCAGGGTCGGCTCGAATTGCTGGGTAAAGGTGGCGAGCTGCATGGCGCTGAGCTGCTGCAGTCGCTTGGCTTAATCGAGCTACGCGTCGCTGCCTGTGGTCGTATTCCGCGGAAAAGACAGGTACGTGTGGCAGATGTCTCGGAGACGCCGGGACTTGGTTATTCAACATTGGACGCGATGATTTGCTACGGGTTTGACATAGAGTTGAGCGGGGTGGATGTGATTCCTCTTCTTATCTGGCCTGGCTATTTCTTTTTTTTTTTTGTTTTTTTTTTCCCTTTTTTGCCCTGTCAAGTGATTTGCGCGATTTCTTTTGCTTGCGGAGAAGCGGTAGGCGGTTCCCAGCGGCAATATATCTTGCTTATCTAGTTTACGGGAATTATCCATCCGTCGCCAGCGAATGTGAATGAAAGAGTTTCATACACGATAAACCTACCACCATCCCCGCATGAGCTGGGGCAAGATCTGCCTCAAACAGCTTCAGACTTTCTTCTCCTCGATTCCCACCCCTTCTCCGACCAAGGGAAGTGCCAGACGGGGATGATGAAGAAGCTGTTGCTCGTGTCGGCAATGCCCGCCAGACAGATATACCACGCCAAGAAGGCCCCCAGGAGGGCAAACAGCCCTCCCGCCTTGAGCAGAGGCGTGTAGGGTGCGCCGCCGGGGCGATGAAGGTAGCCGACCGCCAAGAGGAGCACGGCAATGTCGACAGCGGCAAACAGGGAGAAGAATATGACAGTAGACTTCACTGTGCAGGTCACGAGCAAGAAGGTGAAGATGAACCAGCCCTAGTGTTGGTCGAGTAAGCAGGACGCTCTAAAATAACGCAGAGGACACAGAGCTCGGCGTTTAAATCGGGGCACGAACCATCAAATACAGCCCGAAAGAGTTATAGAACATGCCCACAGACCCATTATCCGCAGCCTTGAGGTGGCTTTCGATGTCGAATCCCCCGGGGGTGAAGATCATGGCCAGAGAGATCCAAAATCCCCCATATGAGGAGAGTGCCGTCGCACCAAAGGTATTGCCGGCGGCCATTTCCCTGACACCATATAGTTAGCTGGGGGGATTCGCACCCAGAGTAGATGGATGGACGTAGACCCACCACATTCCAGCGAGAAGTTGCACCAGGCCGCCATAAGCGAAAGCCAGCGGAACCACCATGTTGGGTTGAGTGATCCCCCGCGTCTGCATGTTAATACATCCCAGGACAAAGGTGGTCAGGGCAAAGCCAGCTAGTCCTAGCGGGGCAGGATTCGCGATCTTGCGCTCTTTGACTGGCTTGTACAGCCCAGGCTGTAACTCCCCTGCGAACGCCGGGAGATATGTTCCCGCGGTGGGCACATGAGCTAATGGACCGTATTCAGCGAGCTGCTTGTCGAAGTGGTGGGAGGCCGTGGTGTGAGTATCCACGCTTTCGGTTACCTCGCTGTCATCAGTGGAAGTGTCAGGCATGATGTTCAACTTATGCGATGAAGGGCTATGCGAAATTTCACCCATGCAGAAATCGATCGCCAGACAAGCCTTCTCTGGATCAGGACTTGCGACTCTTATACTCGAAAGTCAACGTCGAGATTTGAGTTCGTTTCATTCTCGCTAAGGAATACGGATCTCTTAGTCTGGGAACCTGCCATCACCTCGTGGTCTTCATGCGGGGAAAAGCTAGCTTCCCTGTGTTCTCAATAATGAGCATCCATCCAGGTGCTTCGAGCGGAAGGGGCCTCGATTGGATGCATCCATTAGTTGTGGGCCTTGATCTACAACTGGACTTATCGTTCGAGTGGGGGAAGGAACAATATCCCCGCGCGAGGGGGTTGCTCGAGTGGATCAACATCTCATTTCGCCTCCACAGGTTGATCAATTGGGGATGATTTACATGCAGAAAGGCAGATCCGGAAGTCTAATGAGGATAGCAGCGAATCTCATTCGTACCCAAGCTTTGCGCCTACATCGAGCCGAGTCTCTCGATTTTGCCTCTCGAGTTTGCCCCTGACTCCGGGCGAACGGCAACCTTGAAGCGTTCCCAAGACCCTTATCTCCATACCAGATAAAAAGGGGGAAAAGGCATCTGAGTGTACGGGACTAAACAGCCCCGTAGAATGTACTGAATGGAACCGAGGTGGTCTTTCTATTAGTTCGATGTGTGTTACTGCAGGTGGCAAGCACTGTCGCAGGCTTAAACTAAGTTGTGTTGCTTAGCGGCGTCTCGGCACTTCCCCAATTGCCCGGTGCCGATGCACGTGATTGTCCGGACCGTCTATCGTCCGAGGTAGGGCTCAGGGCTCAGGGCAGGGGCTAGGTTTTCATCACATGCCGCTTTCGGTGCTGCTCCTTCGATTCAAGGTTAAGGGCATCTCCTCCCCGCCCCTGGGTATTTCTTTTACAGTGACAGGGTTCTAACTCACCTAGGCTCCAGCTTTAGCAATACTGATAACACGACATTCAGCATCATATCCGCTAATCCACGCGTTAAAAACAGCAATCGTTCCCGATCTATCTTACAGACGTTCGCATTGCAACAGGTCAAGACGAGTAATAACTTCGTAGAATCTCTGTCCTTTCACTTGTAGGCAGTCAGATCCAACCCCTGCATTTCAGAGCTGAGAGTCTCCACCTCCTGAACAATCTTCGGAATCGCATCGCATTTGTCATGGTTGAGATAGCTCAGGAGATTGCAGCGCGAGGACGGCTTGAGGAAGGCCTTGACATGGGTGAAGAGGGAGTCAAAACTCCAACCGGCAAACGGCGTGGTGGGAGGATTATACAGGTTGGCGGCGAAGAGACTTTGTTCCAGCGCCCCTAGATCGTCGCAGCGACATTCGAAGGTGCAGCCGAACAAGCCTTGGCGCAGCCCATCTCTCCATCGGGCGATGAGGTTGAGCACATTGTCGATGGACTTCTCCCGGTGGGTATTAATTGCTTCTGGTGCGGTGTAGGTCGCATGTCAGTATGCCAATATGGGTGTTAGGGGGTCTAACCACGCGTCTCATGGATCGCCCACATACCAATGATACTCGCTTTCACCGGGAAATCAGTCGACTCCATGTGTTCATCTCCATGTCGGATTGCCAGGAGGGTGACCTGGTCAAACACCGAAGTCATATCGAAGAAGTACGACACCCAGATCCATTCGAGGGTCTCGGTCGCGTTGTAGCCGGCAGGGATCTGGGTCTCGAGATGCGACTTCCAGAGGCGGAGATGCACCTGCACAGCCTCCTGACAGGCGTAGTAGTCGACCAACACGGCGATGCGAGCACACAGCGACAGTGAAACGAGGTGAGGCACCCGGTTGTTGCGCCCGTGAATGATGCGCAACAGGATCAGCAACGCCTCCAAGTCACAGCCTTCGACCTTGATGTCCACCTTTCCAGTGCGTTGTAGATCCTGCGCCTCGCTGAAGCTGCCGGTCAGCTGCCGGTCGAACACGGGCGAGGCGAGCCGGAGGTGCTTGGCGGAGACTTGGATGCGTGCTTCGATGTCTTTGAGGAAATGGTCAGGATTCGCGGTCGATGACACCAGCTCCGGGGAGGCATTGTCGGGGGTGGGCAACGAAGTCAGCTTTGCGTGGAGGACGAGGGTGACTTCGCCAGTTGCATCGATGATGTAGTTGGCGATGATTGCCATGGCTGGAGGTCTTTCGAGGGCGGGTGGTGGGTGAGTAGAGAGGTGCAATCTGGAGGAGAAGAGAGAAAGAAAGAGATGATGAAAAGAAGAAGAGATACAAAAACAAACCAAATGTGTTACTCAGTCACTGCTATGGACCAGGGAAGGTGAGGCATTCACCATCAAGGCTCCACTGGAGTCCTTTGGTGAATGGGTACTAGGCTCCGGCTTACTATGTTGCTTGTTCTGGTCATGGGTCGCTGGTGAAAAACAGTGTATCACCAGAATTACATGTTGACTGATCTAGATAGACTGGAGTAATATCAATAGTGAGTCTACATTTCTGGAATGGAGTATGCATGCACGTGACCTCTGGATCCCTGACTTCTTATCTTATCCTCACCGCGACTGACTTGATTGATCACCGTCAAAATCACCCCCGGATGTCGCCATTCGCACCAACTAAGACAATCGGGCCGGAGGTCCAATCACAAGCCTAGGATTAATTAATTCCGGCCACATCCCAGAGATAGTAAGTTAGCCTTGGCTCGCCTGGCCGCGCAATGCCCCCCTGCAGCTGCAGCTCGATTGCACCCCTCCTTCTTCTTTCCACTTCGCTTCTTATCCTCGCCCTATAGGAGCAAATAAATGAGTGCAGCTGAGATTGACCCGGCGAAAGGCCCAGAGATCTCCTTTCAACCACCGACGGAGGAAACGAGCAAGGGGGGCGACGGAGAACGCATTTTTCAGGATGAAGAGTCGCAAAATCTCCGCCGCGGGTTGGAACAACGGCATACGCAGATGATTGCCATTGCCGGTGCAATTGTAAGTGCTTTTCTATAGTCCTTGTAGAGCTCCTGTGGGCAGAAACTAAGAAACAACCTTCTAACTTCGAATCGATAGGGAACTGGGCTCTTTCTTGGACTGGGCAGCTCAATTGCCTCTGGAGGACCGCTGGGTGCCCTGCTCGGGTACATGCTGGTTGGTGTCATTGTCTGTGCGATCCAGATCGCACTGGGGGAAGTTTCAGCCTTGATGCCCGTGACAGGATCGTTTGTGCGACATGTTGAACTCTTGGTCGACCCCGGGCTGGGGTTTGCGATCGGGTGGAATGTGGTATATGGCTGCTTCATGTCGGTGCCCAGTGAGATCTCGGCCGCCGTCGTGCTGATCCAGTACTGGACGGATCTGAACACAGCCATCTGGGTGACAATTTTGATCATCCTCTCCGCTGTTGTAGCTTTGCTCTTCATCCGGGTCTACGGTGAGCTCGAGTTCTGCTTCGCCATTCTCAAAATTCTCCTCATAATCGGCATTGTCATCATGGGGCTAGTCATCGACCTCGGTGGCGTGGCTGGCGCCCCTCGTTTGGGATTTCATTACTGGAAAGATCCCGGTCCTTTCTCCGAATACATTGCCTCTGGTGCATGGGGACGCTTCCTGGGCTTCTGGGCGGTTCTGACGACAGCCGTGTACAGCTTTTCCGGGGTAGAAAGTCTGACGATGGCCGCAGCCGAGATGCAGAACCCGCGACGCAACATTCCGCGGGCCTGCAAGCGCGTCTTTGCCCGCGTTACCATCTTCTATGTCATTGCCGTCCTGATCGTGGGCATGCTGGTTCCCAGCACCGATCCACGCTTGAACGATTACTCCGGGACGGCGGCCACCAGCCCCTTCGTAATTGCTGCAGCAGACGCCGGCATCAAGGTCGTGCCATCGATCATCAACGCGGTCGTCCTCACGTCTGCCTGGTCATCGTCGAACCAGAGCATCCTTTCTGGTACGCGAACACTGTATGGCCTCGCGCTGAAGGGTCACGCGCCCAAGATCTTCCTTCGAACGACGCGTCACGGCGTACCATACATGTGCGCCGCACTGCAGATCGCTGTCTCGTGTCTGGCGTACTTGAGCTGCTCAAACGGCGCATATACTGTCTTCAACTGGTTGTTGGACCTCACGTCGGCGGGAGTATTGGTCTCCTGGATCACTATCGCGTTAAACCATATCCGTTTGATCAAGGGATGTCGGGCGCAGGGGATTGCAACTGAGGAGTTGCCGTGGCATAATTGGTGGTCATGTAAGAAACCCTATGCGATTGAGTGTGCTTGCGGTTGTGACTGACAGATTTCGGGTGATGACAGACTATAGCTCGTGGTTTGCCCTCGTGTCGTGCATCATCATTCTCTTCACCGGTGGTTTCACTGTGTTCACCAAGGGGAACTGGGATCCCGCGTCATTTGTGTCTTCCTATTTGTGAGTTTGTTACTTGGGCGAGTATATCGATCAGGGCTAACGGTAGCAGGGATATCCCCCTTGTCTTGGCATTCTACCTTGGATACAAGTTTTGGAAGAAGACGAGGCTGGTCCCCGTACATGAGATCCCACTGCAGCAAGCGCTCCAGGAAGTGCGAGATAATCCAGAGGATGAGCCTGTCAAGACGAGCAAGTGGTCCAAGTTTAATATCCTCTGGGGATAGAGGAGGTGTTCCTGATGGGCTCAAGCTAGCTGTCCAGTCTATCTTTCGGTTTATGGTCCAAGTCGATATTGTGGATAGACAATCAACTCGAAATGTTTCCCGGATCCTAGGCAAAGAATAACAATGGTATTGTTGTTTCTTTGCGTGTGGTGCGGGCCATACAAAGTAATCCAACTCGGGTGAGGTGATGTTCCCGCAAAGCTTTGTAGATCTTAAGTCATGCATGAAGCCTCAGCCAAGGGCCGTGATTTGACTTTGATTATCTTGTTTGTATAGAGGTTAAACCTATACAAAGATGGGATGGGAGATTCACAGCATCTGACTCCTCTCAATGCAAGTATAGAGCAACGAATGCTCACAAGCTCGTCTCTTAACCAAAAAGAGGAACAAGGGGCTCCTCAGCGTCGGTTTCCAGCAATCATCAAAATCCTCCCATAGAGATGGACAAACAGACTATATAATAGGCCCTAAGCCCCAGCCACGTATGTCAACCTTGCGTTTGTTCCAGCATCACCAGCTTCGACCGACTCGATTTATACGAATTTACTCGATTTTACACGAATACTCGACCCCGAAATTCCGTTGATCGATTATCTCACGATGGCATCGAACGTCCTGTCCCTTCCGGATGAAATCCTAGCTTGGCACATGCGGCTGCAGCATTGGTTCCCGAAAGAAGAAGGGTACGAGGTCAGCAGCGTCTTGAGCAGCGACGGGCTCGGCGCCGCCTTTCACTCAGTCACAGTCCACCTACAGATCACCGAGAAGGACATCGACCACAAGTTCCTGGCCCTCGTGCTGGGCGAGTGTGGTTGGGACGCCGACCATATGGACCATGACGGTACGGTACTGGACGATCGGATCAACTACCACTCTGACCACATGCTCGCCACACTTCCCTATGGCAGTCCCTTCGCCTGTGGGGTGGTTTGGCATAACGCTATCACTCTTCTCCGGTATAAGCCGGAGAAGCGTAAATACGCTCGGTGCACCGCTCACGGCCAGAATATTCTGGACGTGAAATATGAAGCCGGCACCATAGACAGTTGGTTCCACCGGCTGAAGAAGAAATGGAGGCCCGAGACCATCCCGAAAGGAAGAAGCGGATTCGACACCTCGCGACTTCGATCCCACTCGTATTCGCCAGATTACTATTAGGTATGAGTATCACGAATAGCACGATAGCGCAGGATATTTGCTGACGCAGTGACAATTAAATTCGCACCAGAGTCGATGATCTTGTCGCTCTACGTAGAGAAAGAAGTCGATAATTCGCAATGAACACATTGTATGTTGCTGTCTGGGTGTATGAGCTTGTTTTGCATTGGCTTGTCCAGAGCATAGAAGTCAAGCATAGCTGGGTTCTCGGATGGTTTTGTCGCAAATATTCATGGTTGATATTGTGTGACGACTTCAGAAGAGAGCAGAACAGAACGTCATGCCAAAGCTACCGTCAGATAAATTCAACATCCAGCAAGAGTTAGACCCCATGACGGCTAAAAACCATCTCTAGCCACTAGCATTGACTCAGCCCAGAAGTAGTATTCGGATCGGTCGGAAGCTCCCCAAGAGATTGGGCATCGCCGAGAAGCATTAGATTATCCCAGTAGCGGTCGAAGAAATCCGCAGCGTCGGTAGGAGCATTGAATTGCGCATGTTGAGTACCGACGTCTTGTCCGAAGTAGAACGTCGCATCCATCAAATCGACATCAAATGGGGGATTAGGGGGACTCTGACTCTGACTCGGTGGAGAAGGGAGGTGAGGAGGCATGAGGTCGAGTTCAGCAAGGGCGTTGGCCACCCCTAAATCCGCGGGAGCCAACGAAGGATCATCCGTGCCAGGTGTTGCGCCGTGTTGTAAGTGAGTGTTGGCCACATTCAGCATGATATGCAAAGCTTCGGCAGTTTTCAATGCTTCCTTCGATTGATGGCGAAGGCGGTTCCATATGTTGTAAGATTGCTCGAGCTCAAGGGAAAGTGCTTGTCGTTCAACCAGAATGGCCTGCCTTGTAGTGGGCGACAGGTTTCGCTGGAGGTCATGTCTTGATTGACAGGAGATTTCTAAAGAGACAATCATTGCCGCTGTGCGGAAATGCATAATGACACAAGATGAGAAGAAGAAGGACGCGTAGTTCAACTGACCGCCCGGTGAACTCTCGTTGAAAATATCGGACTGATGTTGCAGGACCCTTCTGGCCGCATCTAAGCACTCCCGGCGCGAGTATGCGTATTTGGGATTGAGACGATGCTGGGTAATATATCGCCGATGGAGGTCTGAGCGAGCCTTCTGATACATTAAATCAATATTGTATCGGTCCATAATCGTGGTGGGAGGGTCTGCGATAGACTCGCTCGGTGGGCGAAACCGCAAAGGTAGTGGAATAGTGGCGCGGAGTTCTCGCAGCTTTGCATCCAGCTGAAGCACCTCTTGGTAGGGAACCCCTTTGACCGAGCAGACTTTGCGGGCGATGTCGGCTCCCGCAAACATCACCCGATTGAGAGCGACCGGGAAAAGAATCAGAGTTTTCTCTGTCGGAGGCCTGGAAGCAGGTAAGCTCGTGGCTGCAGGATCCAGGTCGTCATCTGTTAAGTTTCTCGGCTCCAGGGTATCGGATTGCGTCTGCGCGGTGGTGGGGGGAAGGCCAGCCTGGCACGAGATGTAGTGATCTAGGAGACACAGATACATCCAAACCCGACGTCGCATCTCACCGTTGAACGGTGAGATCCCGCGATAATGCTTAGGATCGCGATGGTAGCCGCTATGAATAGCCAAGCGAGTGGCCAGTCCCAGCAGGATGGATGGTCCGGCGTGGGTGTCGGTGCTTCTGAGGATTTCGCAACATATACTCAATATGAGAGTCTCCAATTTGTATCGTCCCGGTCTTGTATATTCCGCCATGGTAAGACATTGCGACGCCAAGCGAAAGTACTCGTCGAATGCTTCTGCAAAATGGCCATCCGCTCTGCCGGTTGTGGTGAACAGATGCAGTCCAGCAGCCGCACTGAGGATGGTGTAAAGATAGGCCAGCCAACTAATGGATGCGCCCTGTGGGTTCTTCCAGAAAGCCGTATACTATGCCGCAGGTTAAAATGGATGAGTATGAGTGGGACAGATTCTGCAGTGACCTACCTCGCGCGTGAATGTTGGTGTATGTATAAGCACTTCGACGGGTTAGCATTCATCCGACAATAGGCTTCGATTGATACTCGCCTAGAGGGGATTCTTTCGAGTTCAAATAGGCCGATATCAACCTATCTGCCATGGATCGAGCAGGCAAAGCGGCCAGAAGTTCAGAGACGGTCGAGGAGATGGAGTTTCCGAATAGTAGTACAGGGCCTGGGACATCCGGGACTGAGTCTTCCTCTTTCACCTCCTCGAGAGAAGTATTCTCGTGCATCTGAAGGAACTCCTTAACCTCGGCGATCTGGCAAGCGGATCAGTCAAATCGAGAATGCACAGCCAGTAGGTAGCGAGACTGCATACCTCGTCCAGCACCGCTTGCCAGTGGGTGGGGTTATGATAGCTTGTGCCATCCTGTTCGATCAGAATAGTCCCGGGGAACTCAGCCTGCGGTCCGGAAACGGGATCCGCCAAGTGAGGCAGTGGCTGAGGCTCTGCTGGCAGTGGGCCCGGAGTCCAAGCAATGTCTGCAGGGAGCTGTGGTAGTGGTGGTGGTGGTAGCGCCTGAGGTAAAGAGTTCCCTGTCGACAACTGCTGCACACGGGCCTCAAGTTTGTGAATATAGTACTGGATGTCATGAGAATCGCCAGTCGAGACTCCCTGGGGGACCACATAGTGGCACATCTCAGCCCGGCGATGTTTGATGCAGTTGTCGCAAGGATGGGTGCGATTACATTTCAACCTGAGATATGGAGAGTCAGAGAGAAGAGAGGGTCCAGTGGGGAAGCCGATGGGGCAGCAGGGCTGGGACTGGGACTGGGGCTGGCACACTTTTTCCGACGGCAAGGTACACAGGAGAGTTTGGGTCTCGGCTTCCTCTTTTTCGCCGATGGAATGACGGTAGGATTGTCTCCATCGCCGGATATGGGGTCCATCGTGTAGCAACCTTGAAGGCAATGAGGAGATCGAGGAGAATAAGTCCGTGTACGACGCGGGGATATTTTGGCTGGCAGGCAGATAGTGGCTGACTCAGCCACTTGTCCACGGCCAGATCCGCATGCTCTAACCTTCCTAGGTCTAGCTTCGGATATCTTGACGGTTAGTGCCGGATTTACCTGTGTTTGCCCGGTTTGTTCTCTCTCTCTCTCCACCTTCATCATCATTCATCCCCGACAGACAGTCCCTTACTCTCATACTTGATCTATAATTAAGTCCATCCCAATCGCTGCACATCATGACTTTACAGCAACCCCAATCATTGCATCTCTTATACCTCGCAATTCGTGCATATCTTGCATATCTTGCAGCCATCGCGTGAGAGATCGCCATGCTCGCATCTTCTCTCCCTCAATCGCCCCCGTGCAGCCCTATGGCCTCATACTCAGAGCCTTCCTCGTGGGATCCGGAGATGGTAAAATCCTTCATCTATGACCTCGATCCCATGTTATTTCCACCGTCGTGTCCTCCGGACCTCGACATGATCCCTACCATCTCTCTCATGCCACATCCCCTACTCGAGACCACCGTTCCACAAATCTCGAGCACCACCACGGTCGACGCCACGCTGAGTCGATCGGCCTCCCCGATAAGCCATAGCTCCTTCCGATCGCCGTATATCTATCCTCTGCACGACCTTCACCATCTCTCGCCCCTGTCTCCGACCTCCGTTTCGGCCGCTACAACCGTAACCTCTGAGTCGGCGGCCACCACAGCCTCTCGACGAGGGACCAAGAGAGCACGGTCGCATTTATTCACAGAAGAGTCATTGGGGAGCGACACTCCCTCGTCCCAAGACTCGGAGGAGGAGCGCATCCAGGAGAAACGGCGCCGCAACAAGATGGCTTCGCGGAAGTTGCGCCAGCGACAAGTCGAGCACGTCTCCGACCTGGAGTCACGGCTGGGTCAAGTGACTCGCGAGCGCGATGATCTACGGCTGCAGGTTGCCAAATGGGAAGCGGAAGTCATGGTGCTGAGAAAACTCGTTGGACAATAGATGGACGATGACCCTGGGGACTGGCTTGATGATTTTACAGCTTAGCGGAGCGTTCCAGCGACAATCATTCTTGAATTTTGTATATACCCAAGACCATAGAATCATCATCCTCGCTTTTCGTATGCTGGTTTTTCTGGGCTTTGGCTTGCAGAGTGACTGAGCTGATTGATCACGTGTCGATCACGTGTCACATGTCCGCGTTTGGTCTCGATGACCTCACCGAAGTAGGTGGTAGGGCAGCCTCACTTTTTCAATTCGTTGTACCGTGTCTGTTATTGATAAAATTGATTCAACTTCATTGAGAGTCCAGCTGTACTTGCCCTCTCTGTGATTCTGTTCGTTGTGTCTTTCCACATTGGATTGGCCATGGTCCACTGGCCAGCAACTACATATCTCCACCCATCCGAACGACATTCGTGGTGCACCGCATAACTCACCAACGATCATAATGTATCGTGACCTCGGAGTCAGATGCAGGAATTTCATGCTTTGGGAGATTAAGAAGGTGATTCCATCAAGCTACATCAGCTACTGTGCAGCGCACCATTATAAACAAACGCCAACATGCCAAGACGCCACCGCAAGTCATTTCAAGCCTTTTTCGCATGATGTTATTGGCCGAGATTCAATCCCAGATCCAACCCCAGGTCCATCCCGAGGTTCAGTTGTAATTCTGCCTCCGCCGCATCGTTGGCCTGCTTGAGGGCAATCTGACGCTCCTGCTCGTCGAGCGGAAGGGCGGCAAAGGCAGCGGTGTTCTCGTCCCATGCGCGCACACACTCCTTATTCCAGTTGCACTTCTCCACCTCCCCGTACACCGGATGACTGAAGCGCGGGTGGTTTGAGGGCCAGTTGGAGGCATGGTAATGATGCTTGACGAGAGCCGTTCGGGCGTTGTGGTTGCCCGAGTCGGAATGGCCCTGGCCGGCGGCGAAGGCCTCGACGGTCAGCACCAGAATCCCCCCCACGAGTTTGGATTCGGGGATATTGTGGAAGGTGTTCCAGCTCACTTCGTGCCCTAGTCGGATGCTCATCTCTGCCAGCACGGCGGAGGTGAAGGCAGAGGGCCCCGTGCCGCTGATCACGTCGTCAAAGTCCAGCTCCAGCTCGCCGATGGGCCTGCCTTGCTGAACCGACAGTTCATGTAACCAAGCCAGAATGTTGTCCACCAGCCGCATCATTACCGGGTGGCGGGGCTTGCTCATGAAAGTCCACTGACAGAAGGACTGCGATTTCTGGCCCAAGATCGCATGGTCATTGAACTCGGGCTCGTCGATCTCGACTCCGATCACCAGATCCATCTCATCCTCAGTAAATCGCTCGGGAATAAATCGGTCCAGCGGGCGGAGGGCTTCAACGTCAATGTCCGCCCAGACTCCCCCATCAACATACATGATCAAGTATCGCAGGAGGTCGGCCTTGATGATGCGCGCGTTCAGCGAGCGGTACACCTCGACAATATCCGGTCGGTTCAGCCCCTCCGGCCCATAATGGGTCTCGACATAGTAGAGGTCATTCTCATCGGTCAGCACCTCGTACCGATGGCGGGGATTCTTCTCCGGCCAGCTTCGAGCAACAAGGAGATCTCGCGGCTCGAAAGCCAGAGGATTGACCTTCCACGATTGCCAGATCTTCCGGGGAAACTGCTTATACCGCGCGGTGGGGCCGGAGAGGCTGCCATTGACCTCGCCAAAGGTCCCGGTGAGGGAAAGGTAGAAGACCAGCACGAAGGCAGAGAAGAAAACAGGGGCCACTCGACGGAGGTGGCGTGGCAGAAAGACGCCAGACAGAGGGGTGTTTGCCTGCATTCTGTCGAGCAACACGAGCAGAGACACAGGCAACGAAGAGAAGTGAGGGAGAAATGGTGGTGCTCAGGGGCAGAAAGGGCGTGGGCTGATGGTCTGGACGTTTATGAGGGGGAACGGCACGGTGACGAGAATGCTTCATATGCGTCAATTGCAGTCGCTAAGCTCTCTTAGCTGCGCTAGGGTCCTCACTGGGACCCAACTGAACCGGTCATGGAACTAATCGATTGGCGTAGCACTTATCGACCCAGGATGATCGTATTCAAACCATTCGGAGGTTCCTGGGGGGGAAAGCCTCGGGTGGCGCACTGACGGCGGCCCTGAAGGGGAAATGGCTCCGAGACATGTGTTTTTCACACGACCAGATCAAATTGTCAGCGAGGAGACTAAACTTGGAAGACCCTCAACCTGGTCTCCCCCCGGTCGATCGCTCCGCTTAGTCGGAGTTCGGTTGTTTTGGTGGCGGGGGCGACGGGAAGCCCTCATATATCGCTCCGCACCACCAGGCCACGCATCGCAGCCCGCTTGACAACCTCACAAGCTATTCTGGCCACCATGCCAGCTCTCTTACTTTCTCCAATGCGCGAAAAGACCTTGGAAGATGGCGAGTGGAAGTCTTCCCTGCTGGAGCCGCCGCCCATCCCTCAGTCTCGCTGGATGGAGAGGCTGTGCCCGGAATTTCTATCCCGATCACACCACGGCCAGGATCGCGAAAAATTGCCGACTTCTGTTCCTCGACCTCGACGAACAGCCTATCTAGACGGTCTGCGCGGATTTGCTGCTCTACTGGTATATTGGGGCCACCATGAACTGTGGGCTCACGACGGCATTGGAGCGGAGCGCATTTTCGAGAACGCGTACGGATACGAGAACCAGCGCTACCTGGTCGCCTTCCCTGGGGTCCGTAACTTTTTCTCGGGCGGACATTTCGCAGTCAGCGTCTTCTTCGTGCTGTCCGGATATGTTCTGTCGGCGAAACCGCTGGCGTTGATCAGCGCAGGGGAGCGTGTCGCGCTGAGCGACAATCTCGCGTCAGCTTTGTTCCGTCGCTGGTTGCGCCTCTTCCTGCCTGTTATTGCCACGACCTTCATTTACATGACTTTCCTTCACGTCTTCCGCGTGAAGACGGTACCCGAATTGCAGGGCAGCTATGGCGCAGAGCTCTGGAATTGGTACGCCGAGTTCAAGAACTTCAGCTTCATCTTCCGGGGAGGAGGTGAGCCGTGGTTCACCTACAATTTCCACTCGTGGTCCATCCCGGTGGAATTTCGCGGATCGATCATCGTCTACACGGCGCTGTTGGCCTTCTCCCGCTGTCGCCGATCCATGCGGTTAGCCTGTGAGGCCGGCCTGGTGTTTTATTTCCTTTACATTGCCGATGGCTGGTTCGGAGCATTGTTCATGTCGGGCATGCTCCTGTGCGATCTGGACCAGCTCGCGGCGCGGGACCAGCTGCCCGACTGCTTCGTCATGCTGGAGCCGTACCGCGAGGGGATCTTTCCTGTTCTGCTGGCGATCAGCATGTATCTTGGGGGCGTCCCCTCGCGGAGCTTCGAGGTGCAGATCCTCCGTGAGTCCCCCGGGTGGTACTACCTGTCTCTGCTGAAGCCTCAGGCGGTCTTCGACTACAAGTGGTTCTACCTCTTCTGGGCAGCGACCTTTCTGGTTGCCACGCTGCCACGCCTGCCGTGGTTGAAGCGATTCTTCGAGACCCCCTTCAACCAGTACCTCGGACGGGTGTCGTTTGCTTTCTACCTCGTCCACGGGCCCGTGCTGTGGGTGCTGGGCGATCGGCTGTACGCCGCGGTCGGGTGGGCACGCGATTCACATGCATCGAATTGCCCTGGCTGGATTAACCGACTGCCGTTGCCGCGCGTCGGGCCCCTGGGGTTGGAGGTGAGCTTCCTGGCACCGCAGCTGATCCTGCTGCCGGTGACGCTGTGGTTGGCAGAGATAGTCACCCGCTGGATTGACGAGCCGAGCGTGCGAGTAGCGCAGTGGCTGTACCGCCGGACATTGGGAAATGACGCTTAGTCTTAGTCTAGTGTAGCAAGCAGCGATCGATAGATAGCAAGACAGGAATTTGAGTGCGTGGTTTTGCTTCTTGGGTTGCGTGCTAGTTTGTAGACTCATTTCCGGAATCGGAGACCAACCGCGGACCAGGAATGGCGCTATCACCGATAGTCCAGAGAATGACAGGAGGAGAAGATGCGTAGTGGAGAGTGGTGAGTGGAGAATGAGGGGAATCCTCTCGGTCTTCTTGCTTTCCCCGGACCCTGGCAATCACCATCGGCCAATTCACATGCTTGACCATGGACGGCATAGCCTGCATGCTGATCACTTCGCATGAAGCCCGACCTGAAAAGCGGGGAAGAGCTTTCTCTGTGAGATTAATGGGGTTGATTGATTGATTGAATCCCATTCAGGGCCGGGCCGCCCAAGCCCAAAGGGGGAAAAACCGCAGCTCAGGCCTCCCACTATGTCTGACTACTCCGAACTGCCCCTCTGCCTTCATTCCTGCTGGCTGCAACCCTAATTTATCTCACGCTTCTCACGGCTGTCAGCTTTCCCTGTCCACATGAGCCCGGCCATTCCACCCCCTCCCTCACTCTGTCTGGGCTGTCCGGCTCTCCCTCCATTTTTTGCCAGTCTTCCTTGTTCAGGTTGGACAGGTCCAACCCAAGCATAGCAAGCATAGCAAGCAATGTCTGCCCGGCTCATGCGCCTGGTGCCCCTTGCCGGGCTCCTCGTGGGCTTGCTCCTCACGTTCTACTACCTGTACAGGGGGCTCGCAGCCCCGTCAGCCACTGGCCGGAAGGAGACCACTCAGCACAATACAATCGACCTGTCGCATCTCTCAGACACTCATCACCAAGTCTTTTCCGCATCGACCCCAGACCAGAAATATTTCCACGTTGATTTCGGTGAACGAGATGGCTTCAACCCCAGCATTATCCCCCACCCCGTGCTCGACGACAAATGGATCATCACCGCGCAACTGGCGCGCAATCGCTCGGAAACAGAGCTCCTCTCTGTCTGGAGCGCCGAGCTGGTCTGCACCGCAGCCTTCCAGGACCAAGGTCGCACGCTGCGCTGCGTTGACCAGCCTCTCATCCTCCCCATCGCCGCGACGGCTACTGACCCGACGCGCTGCAATGGGGAGCTGGAGTTCCTCTCGGTGAGCCTGGGGCCGCACGACGCGCGGATCTTCTACGGGCCCGACCGACCGTATGTGGTATATGGGTCGAACTCGCAGCACACGTGTTTCGGACAGTGGGTGCTGGATTTCCGGGTGCTGGTCGACTGGCCCGGCGAGGAGATCCTTAAAACCCCTACCTATCGACATCCAGTCGAGCTGCAGCGACCCCTGCTGCCGGGGTACTCTGCCATCGAGAAGAATTGGTTCCTGTTCTGGGACATGCACGGGACGGCGTACGTGCACTACGATGTGGCGCCCACGCGGGCCTACTCGCAGCTGCTGAGCATCGCCGATGGCTCCGTCGGCCCCAATCTGGCGGCCAATGCCGCTCCAATCGACGAGCGCTGCCTGCAGAAATACTTGCCTGTCCTCCCAGACTTGGACCACGAGTCGATCCACCAGGCGACAAATTCCCTAGCCATCACGCTATGTGAACGCGCCGATCCCAGCTGCCAGCCCAGCGAAGATAACACGTTTGTCTTCCTGATCTTCCAGCACAAGAAGTACGTGGCCTTCCACAGTGTGTACGAGCCGTACGTCATGTTGTTCCGCCAGCGTGCTCCGTTCGAGGTGTTTGGCGTTTCCACCAAGCCACTCTGGATCCACGGGAGGGGGTCCTCGAGTGTGGGGGTCGCGGAGGACCAGCAGCAGTCGGAGATGTTGTATGTGACCTCCATCAGCTGGAAGCAGGCGGGTCAGCGCTATCATGGGTACATCGACGATGTGATGTTTTTGGGGTTTGGGCGGGAGGACTCCCACTCGGGAGGCATTGATGTGGTCGCGCGGGACTTGCTCGATGGGCTGGGGTATTGCTTCGGTTGAGGTGCTGTGCTGGGCTGTTATGTTCTGTATGATATGAGACAACGACATGCTCTCTAGGGGGCGAATAGATTAATTTGCTGGACCACTGCACGGGTCCTGATTCATTCTGGCATGGCCACCTAAGCCTTTCCAAGCCTGCGAGTCGTGCATCGCCTTCAGCCCTACGTCCTGATTGATGGGGCTGTCATATCCCTGAAACAAGCTTGGTGGTGACCCACTCATTGCTGGGCGGTTAACGCCCAATGGAACAGAGGCATTTGCAGCCAGCGCTGGAGATAGGGTGATTTCCAAGAGATGACAGCTCCACTACGGAGAAGAGTGTGATGAACTTCGCAGTGGGCGCTTGTGCCAGGCAGCATTGATTCGAAGGAAGAGTCATTCATTAGTGACCCGGACCGCAGCTTTATCTCTGCCTGGGCTCTGGTCTCCTATCTTCGCGGCCCTAGTCTTCCATTCTCAGTCACTCCTTTGACCTCTGTTCCCCTTGCTTCAGTTCGTTCAGTTTCTTTTGCGAGACCGTTTTTGCTTCTCAAGGGCTGTGGCTGGACCGCAACCCTGATCTCGTTCTTTTCAGCCTCCTGCAAGCGGGCTCTTGTCCTTCTTTTATACGTTCGGCCAACATGGCTGACAGCATGTGGTATGCGTTCCTCAACGACGAGCTCTGCTACGTCTCCCTGTGGATATTCGCGTGCCTGATTGCGATTATCTTCATCTGGCAGACCACGCAGCAGCTTGCGGCCCATCTCCGGCGACTGGCAACCTTCACCGACCCTTCCCAAAAGTTCCACCGGGTTGCTGACCCCCGACTCTCATGGCTCAAGCGGCATCTCCTCTACGCGCCCCTCTGGCACAATCGGCACAACCGAGAAATGCAGCTTTCCCGTGCCGTCAACATGGGCACACTGCCCAGTCGGTTCCACGCCCTCCTGCTCACCTTGCTTGTCGTCCTGAACGTGGTTCTTTGCACCATCACGATCCCTTTTGGCTTGGAGGAGTCCACGGTGGCAGTTCAGATCCGGAATCGAACGGGGTACATGGCGACGGCGAATCTGTTTCCGCTGTTTGTCATGGCAGGCCGCAACAACCCGCTGATCTCGCTGCTGCGGGTCTCCTTCGACACCTGGAACCTCCTGCATCGGTGGCTGGGCCGGATTGTTGTGCTGGAGGCGTTGGCGCATGTGGTTGCGTGGGGGGTGCCCAAGGTGCAAGATTGTACGGTCCCTTCTTCTGCGCGAGGGAATCATGTCTGATATGCAGCAGATTGGTGGAAGGGGATGCTCGCAACGCTGAGCAAGCCCTTCATGTTCAATGGGTTGATGGTAAGTGCAGGCAACGCCAGTCTCCATAGGGTTGTGACTGACCTCCACCTCCAGTGCATGGTGGCCCTCCTCATTATCCTCGTCCAGTCGCCCTCGCCGATCCGGCATGCCTTCTACGAGACCTTCCTGCACCTCCACATTGCACTCGCCTGCATCGCGCTGGGATTTGTGTGGCATCACGTCTACCGCTACTCGTGCAAGTTCTACCTCTACGCAGCGGTCGCCTTCTGGGCATGCGAGGTTGGGATCCCATCGCCAGATCTATGCCATCCAGCTAACCCAATTACCCTGCAATGCAGCATCTAGCCCGCTTCCTGATCCTCCTGCACCGGAACTTCCGCGCTGGAGCCCGCACCACAGCCTACGTTGAGGTTCTTCCGGGCGACACCATGCGGGTGACCCTGCACGTTGCGCGACCGTGGCGCTTCTCGCCAGGCCAGTATCTCTTCCTCTGCATCCCGTCCGTCGGAGGCTGGACCTCGCATCCCTTCTCCGTAGCCTGGGCGGGAGACACGAGCGCAGCAGCAGCAGCATCACTCACCGAGAAGTCATCCAACAATTACCTCGCACAAGGCACGGCATCGCAAAGTATCTCCCTGCTCATCCGACGCCGCACGGGGTTCACCGACAAGCTATTCAAGACAGCCCTCACCCACCAACACTCCTACCGCAGCACGTTGTCCTACAGCGACGACCCCAGGGCAAGCGGCCCCTCCTTTCAAGCGCCCCAGACCACCCCTCCGCTCCGCGTATCTGCCCTGGTAGAAGGCCCATACGGCAACCTCCAGACCCTCGACTCGTACGGCACCGTCCTCCTGATCGCCGGCGGAGTAGGCATCACCCACTGTCTCCCCTTTATCCCCCACCTTCTGCACGGCTACACGACCGGCACTGTCTCCGCCCGCCGAGTCACGCTGGTGTGGATTGTGCAGGCCCCTGAACACCTGGAGTGGATCCGGCCGTGGATGACGGAGGTGCTGGCGATGGAGGATCGGAGGGCGGTGCTGCGGGTGAAGGTGTTCGTGACACGGCCGCGGAGCCCCAAGGAGATCAAGAGCCCCAGCGCCACGGTGGAGATGTTCGCTGGGCGGCCGGACGTGCAGACGGTGGTGGAGATGGAGGCGGCCGGCCAGGTCGGGGCGATGGGGGTGATGTGTTGTGGGAATGGGGGGTTGAGCGATGAGGTGCGGCGGGCGTGTCGTGCGGTGCTGGAGAGAGGAACGGCGGTGGATTATATCGAGGAGAGTTTTACTTGGTAGGTGGTGGTGGGGATGATTGAGAGTTGTTGTTGTAGTGGTGGTGGTGGTGGTGATGGTTGTGTCGTGTGTGTGTCGGAATCGGTGGTTATTCCCGACCGGGGGTTGATGCCCAAGGCATGAAGGGTAAAGATTGTGGCCTCCTTGGTAAGGTGTCCGTCAGGCAACGAGACTAGTCCGCATTCGCCAGCATAGTCAATTCACCTGGCCTTGGCCATCGTTCTCGTGCATATCTACAGTAGTATAAATAATCAAAGAGCCCTCAGAACAACCTGTCTAGGACCACGATTATACTCCGCTATCTCTCCTAGTTGTTAATGGAATCTCATCCGCAACCACCACCACCTCCACCTTCCTCACAATCCCCCCCACATGTCGATCCAGAAACTCCCGATCCCCCGCGAAGATCTGCGTCGTGATATTCGCCAGAATCTGCCGCTCGTGCTCTTCCGAGGAGCACGACGCCTGCCCCTGTCCCCGCTGCCTCACGTACGGCATGATCCAGCTCATCTTCCAGTCTGCTGCAAAACTCTCCGTAGATTGGTTGGCAGTCGGCTCCCCATCCATCTGGTGGTGCTGCGTCTGTTTCTTCCGGATATACATTCTAACCCAGTGGATGACCAGGGGCCGGACACACGGTACTGAGGCGGTTATAAGAACAATGCCGGCCTCGATGAACATCCACCGGAGGAGGGGGACGCGGTTGATGCGCGGGTTGGTCGATTTGAGGATCGTGGGGTACTCCAGGGTCTTGACGAGGGAGGCGGCCATTGCTCTTCAGGCTTCAATTAGTCTCTGGGGAAGGGGTTCGAGGGGGGGGCAGAGGTAGGGCTTACACCACCCCCAGGCTAAGCAGGGAGATGAGCACCAGTTTGACCCGGAGCGTCCAGTTAAACCGCCAAAAGATGTAGATGGGGAAGACGGCGAGGAAGAGGTCGCTGGCGGAGTTGAACGCTACCCTCCCAAGGGATTAGTTGTTGGTTCTTTGCTGGGGGGAGGACTTGGCGGAAGGGGACTAACTCACCACCCTGGAAATATCCATAATCGATCTGAACATCCAGCGACATACAATGTTCCTGGGCGCCGGGCTGGAATATGTCCTCGACACGCGAGCATTGTGCGAACAGCAAAACCACACTGACCACATTGACGATCACCTGCAGGGGTACGAGAGTCCACAGGACCATGCGGTCCCACGTCCGCGCCGCCAGCAATGCCATCATGTACATAATCATCGCGAGACGACCCGCCGTGGCGGCGAGGATGACAATCGCGTAGCCGATGGTCGAGTACCGGAAGCTTGCGGTCACACTGCGGTGGCTGGGGGCCGTGCTGGTATTGCCGTACCCGTGGTTGACCGCGACATTGAACAGCACGGCTGCAATCAACAGCAAAGTCTGGCCTAATTAGTGACTATCTGAGAAGGTGACTGGCGGTAGCGTACCAGAGCCAACACTATGATCACATCACTAAGCTGCAGGTTCCCGAATTTGTAGTTGCTGGCCGTGCGGGAGGCGACCACGAGGATTGAAAAAGCCATCATTGTCCACACGCTGATTAACAGTTCCGGGCCGTAATCGGTCCCGGATGACATCTCTGCCCCTGGACTAAGGGTATGGTTGTGGCCGGCATGGCTATCTTGATCGTGGACGTGCAGCATCTCTGGAGGGCTCGTTGGTTCATCTTATCACTCCGCCCGGTCAGACTGCGAAGAAGCGGATCCAGCTCTCAGGCAAGCAACCTGGCCATGGCTTTAGTTAAGAGGAATGACCTTGGGGTCGGACTCCTCTCGCGGGTCGGGCATTATACTCAATTCAGGGCCGGGCGGGACAGTGTCCAGATACGGGGACAGATAGTCAAAGTTGACAGCCTCCCTGGAGCCACATCTAGACAACGAAAGCTCATTCACGCTACCTGCTCAGTCTTGAGCCGCAGATCCTTGACCGCAACAAGACTAAGACGCACCTGCCAAGGCCCAAGATTCGGGCATCGGCCGAGGCAATCCTTATCTGAAACAACGCCGTTGTTCGAATCCACCCACTGGCCCAATCACCCAATTGATGTGTGCTAAGCATTCTGATTGACGCCAGTGTCAGGCCGACGAATGTGTCTCAGAGTTGGCGACGGTCTGATGGGCTTGAGAGCCAGCCAAGCTCTAGGATGTGCTTCTGCAACCCCCTATTTTTAACCCCATCGCGGGACAACGCCAAGACCGCGAAGAAAAACCCCCAAAGCGAGCAGTTCTGGTCCGTGCCTGGCTTGTTCCGTCGCTTTAGAGGCTTGGTGCTGCTGCTGGGGGACTGTTTCCGCCAACCTGGAATGTTGTCCGTCACTTGGTCTAATCACCACTGAGCCCTACTTCCGCGTGGTTATTCATTATCCCAAGGAATGGGTTGTCGGATAGTTTACGGAATCTGGTCCCTCAATCCCATGGAATCTGGTGTTTGTGGCGGAATATATTGACTATATTCAAAGTATATATACATAGCTATTTCACTGCCCAAGATCACCACCACACCCAGTGTCGGTCGATCCGGCGCTTAGAAGTTTCCCTGCTTGCCTGAATCAGCCTGGGGGCTCTTTCTGCCCTGGCTGGAGACGAAACCCGAGGGGGCAGCCCTAGCAGACGTGGCAGCAGGCGCGGCAGCGGGCTGAGAGGCAGTCTTCGAGTGTCCGCCGCGTCCATGGCCGGAGCCCTGGTGACCGTGGTGCTTGGTGTGGTGGCCCTCGTGGCCGTGGTGCTTGGTGTGCTGTCCGGAAGGCGCAGCACCGGAGGGAGCAGCATTCGAAGGACGAGGTCCAGAGCCGAAGCCCTGACCGAAAGCACCGGAAGGCGCAGCGCCGACACTCTGGCTGGGCTTGGGAGCACCACCGAATGCATGGCCAGAGCGCTGTCCTGAGGGCGAGGCGGAGGAAGCAGCGTCCGCGTCATTACCGAAAGCGGCAGAGGCAGAGGCATAAGAGGTCGCAACAGCCGTGGCAACAGTGCTGGGCTCTTCCACCTCGACGACAGCAGTCTCAACGGGGGTCGAGTGGGCGGTGGCGGCAGAGGTGGATGAGGCGACGGCGGTCTCCGATCCCATGGCGGGGATGTTGATGGTCGCGATGGTCCACACCTTACCACCGTCACTCGAGCTCAGGCCGGTGTAGGTGGCGCCGGCGCCAGTCGCAATGGTATCGCCAAAGGTAGTGTCGGCCTCACGGAGGGTGATGGTGGTGTTGAGGTAGACCTGAGCAGCCACCGTGCCCGTGCAGTCTGAGTCGCACTCGGTGCCTGTTCCATAGCTGTACGGTAGAATTAGTATCGGGAAGCACGAACCCTAAAACAATTGAGGGAGCAGCTTACCCAGTCATGTAAGGACCCGAAGCGTAGGAGTAATTAGACAGTGCGGCACCAGTCACAGCATTGGTGACCGTCTGCACCCAGGTGTTATCATCCGACAGCAAGTTGTATTCGATGCGAACGTGATCGTCGCCACTGACAGCGGAACCAGTGCCATCGAGCTGGCCGAAGGAACCGAAGATACTGGCGCGCACACACCACTGACCCGTGGCGGCACCGCACCAGGCGTTGCTGGGCCAGCTCTCCATGGTGGTCTGGATGAGATCTCCAGTGCCGTTGCTCATACCAGGCCAGAGGAAGAGCTCTCCGTTCTGGGTGGCAGGGGCGGTTCCGGGGATGAGGGTGGTCACCGCATTGATGATGTCGGACTTGGTGGGACCCAGCGAGACACTGCCTCCCCACGAGTCGCGCTTGGCCACCTTGGTGCCGCTCTGAAGAGCAGCGGGCAGGACGGCGGCCAGCGCCACACTGGGCAGGATTGCAAGAGTGCTAAGGACTTGCATGTTGATGTTGCCGATATTGATATTCTGGTATGTTGAAGAACGTAGTAGGGATGGGACGATTAAGAAAGTGTGTAAAGAACGGTCGGGGCCACCAGTGCCGTCAATGAAAGGAATGAGATTGCCACAGAATTGAGAAGAGAAAGTAAAATAGCATCGACATCAGGAGACATGGAGCTGGCGGGATTTATAGAGGAAGCGAAAGCGCCGGCTGGTTTTGAAGTCTTGTAGGAGAAACACCTTAATCTGCCCGGGTTTCAGATTAAGCAGCGACCCGCATCCTGAAACAAGCTTCCCATCCACGTTTTTGGCAGCATACCGGGTTGAAAACACTCAGACAGGCTAAGAATGCCGGTGACTGTCTCAGGTATACTCTTGCTGGACCTTTTCAGGCCTCATGACCGGATCTAGATCTCCCGTCTATACGACGGTTTCAGTATGGTGCGGGAGAGTGGGGTGACCCTTTAAATTGGCTTGGAGGGACATCGTCCAAGTCGAGATCTGGCAAGAAACATCTTTACAAGACTTGGATGCTGGACGGAGTACTCTCCTCAGGAAAAGTACAGGCGTCATGCACAAAATGTCTCGGGTAGATTCTCTGGGCAGACTGACAAGAATTCGCCAAGCTCTCGGAATGAAGTGAAACCCCACACCTCCTAGATGGAGCAGACAGGAGACAAGCCAGGTTTATTTGCTAAGAATGAGCTGGACGACGAACAAGCGAGGATTTCTGAGCGATGCTCGGAGTTAGTACCTCTGGGAGTGGCAAGAATATATATGTCCAGGCCTGCGATGGCATCTTCTCACCGAGACGTCGTACTTGGCCGACACCCAGGTATGGTGATTTGGAAATGTGCATTGCAACTAATCTCAATCTTTCCCGCGCACTTCATACCGCTACACAAATGCATCTAGCGTACACCACTTGAAGTCTGATTAACTCCAGTCAAGATTCGGTTTCTCAGTTTACCTGACCCGACAGGCTTATGCAATTGGGGGTGGGACAGGTCAGGTGACTGTCCTTTGTCCAGCATCTCATCATCTGGATGACATCTTAACGCCATCTCACATGCAACATGCATTTATCCACATTCAACACCAAACAGATTTCATGGCAGACATTGTCGACGATTCTGAGCTCCCCAAGAGTACCACGGCCTCCAGTGCCAGCACCCCGACCCCAACCACAGACAATGAAACCGCAAAGCTAGTCGGCGACGAGCCCCCCTCCGCGGAGATCCAAGCCAAAGTCGCCACTTACACTGTCCTCGACCGTGAAGGACAGTCACACCAATACTCGACACTGTACAGCGGTCCAGCTGCTGCCCCCCGCACTCTCGTTGTCTTCATCCGTCATTTCTTTTGTGGAGTATGTCTTTGATTCTTCTTTCATCCTCCAACGTCTACCTTACTAATACATCATGCAGAGCTGCAAGGAATATATCGAGGCCCTCTCCAAGGCCATTTCCCCGGAGTTTCTGTTCCAACTCAGCACCCCAACCTCCGTGGTGGTGGTGGGGTGCGGCGACCCGGGCCTGATCGACATCTATGCAAAGGAGACAGGCTGCCAGTTCCCCATCTACGCGGACCCCACCCGCAAGCTCGACGAGCAATTGGGGTTGCTCTCTTCACTGGCGCTCGGCGAGAAGCCAGAGTATATTCAGAAGAGCATGATGCAGATCGTGGCCGAGTCGTTCTGGAAGACGCTGAGGCAGCTCCCCAGTGGCTTGGCGCTCAAGGGAGGGGATTCGCTCCAGAATGGCGGCGAGTTCCTGTACGAAGCGAGTCCCGCAGGGGGTGAGGAGAGACGCGTGGCGTGGTGTCATCGCATGCAAAATACTCGCGATCACACTGGGGTGGCAGCCCTAGCCAAGATCTTGGAGCGGAGGGTGTGATTTGGTTGTGGTAGTGAGGGTGTTATAAGGGCTTGGGAATAGCTTTGAGATTCGAGCAATCTGAATCTCTGATTAACTTATATGTGCTGATATTACTTCTTTGTAAACTCACTGGGATGGGACTGTCTACAAGACTGTCATGCAGGCAGTGCCTAGGTGATTTTCACAACAAATTGCATTACTCGTAAAACACATTTTCTCGTCGTCAAGCATACAAGACAAGCTACTTAATGTCACAGATGCCAAAGCACTTTTCTCGCCCCCAAACCAGCCTCAAACCGCAATAGCAAGTCGATCATGACTGCCCACCACTTGATTAATTCCCGTCGCAATCAAATCATCGCTCGCCTCGGCGCGACCCGAGCCAAACCGCTTCAAATTCCACTTCTCGACGCCCTCCACATCCTTCAGATCCTTGGCGAAGGTCCGGAACAAATCCGCATTGAGGCGCTCGTACTCCGCATACTCCTTGGGCCAATCGCCCAACCGCTCCACCGCCAGCTTCAGCAGATGCAGATGCTGTCGGACATGCTTGCCCTCATCCTCCACAAGGCCTCCAGGGCTGGTCGTGCCGGATCCCGACTCGCTGCTGCTGATACTGTCCTCCATCTCCGTCGCGGAGACAGAAGTCGGATCAATAAACACCCGCAGTGCATTCTCGTGCAATGAGGCGGCCTTCTTGTAGTACCGGTAGGCCAGCTCGCGGCGGTCCTTCTGAGATTGGTACCCCTGCGCGACGCTGGTGTACATCTGCGAGAGGAGCACGGTCATCTCGACGGTGCTGGGGTGGCGGGGGCCATGGACGCGGGCGCAGTTGTAGACAATGTCCTCAGCTAGACGCATGGCAGCCGTGTAATCCCCAATCAAATAGCGGGTGATGACGAGCATGCGGCCCAGGGCGAGGGTGTAGGCATACTGGGGCTGCGAGGTGGCGATGTGGTTGGTGTCGCGGTTGTCCCAGAGCGATGTCAAGATCCAGGCCAGGGTGTGGTAGTCGTGCTGCTCATCCAGCACGCAGATCAGGTTGTTGAGGTGCACCAGATCCAGCTGCGTCAGATCCACCTTCTGCTGCTTGAGGTAGCCCAGCGTCTCTTGCAGGATGGTCGCGGACACGCCTAGCATCTCCTTGCGGGACGCGGCGGCAGGCCGCGCCTCGACGTCCCGACCGGCGATCACCAGCCCGAGCTTAAAGACTATCTTGAGCACCGAGGGGGAGGTGTAGCCCTGATGCGCCCGGATATACTTGAAGGCTGTGAGCGCCAAGCCGCACGCTGTGCTGTAGTCCGTGGTGGCCAGCAGCTGGGTCACCCGGTCGTAGCTGGCGATCGCCACGGAGCGGATGAAGTGCTGCGAGGTGTGCGCGTGGAAGTACTCGAGAAGGGTGGCGATGAAGACCTTGGCCTGGCTGGGGCTGGGCTGGATGGTCGACCCCTCAGTGGCGAGGAAGTAGTTGGTGAATTGCTCGACTAGTCGCGCAGCGTCAGCGTGTCGGCCCTTGGCGGACAGGAAGCCATACAGGCGCGAGGCAGACGGGGTGACGGTCATGAGACTGCTGTTCTTCGAGCTGATCTCGGTGCGGAACTGCTCGAAATACATGTACTCGGTCGTTAGCGCCGAGTAGATCTCATTGAGGGTGAGAGATGAGTCCTCGCGCTGGCGCAGGCTGTACTCCAGCTCGGCCAGGAAGGACAGACTCTGTCGCTGGCTGGAGGTCAGGTCGAATCCTACACCCGCAACGTTGGTGGTGTCTTTAGCCACGATCTGCCGATACAGTTCTTGGGAAATGTCCCTGGCCTGATCCACCTGCCCGGCCGTGATGTAGCCAGCTGCGATGGTCTTGGCGGCGGCGCTCAGCTGAATGGAGGATGACTCGGTGGCGAGGACCTGGGCTGTGGCGTTGCGCAGCAGGGTCACGGCCGCCTGAGTATCGCTTTGCTTGGAGTACAGAGCCACGATCTCGCAGAGGTGCGACAGAGCCTCTTCATGGGCCCATCCGTGGGTGGAGCGGAGAGAGGCCAGACGCTGCGTGCGAATGGAGATCACCCTCTTCACTTGGTCGGCGCTCATGGACTCCGTCTTCGACGTGTTGACAAGGATGTTCTGCTCTTCGTAAATGGAGTCGAGGGTAGCGCGGATGTCATCACGGTCGATGTCCACCTCGTTGGATTTGGTGTTCAGCAACTCCTCAAACAGCTTGATCGCTTCGGCCTCGTACCGCTTGGACTCCAGGCAGATATTGGCCAGAGTCTTAGTGGTCTGGATAGTGATCGCGGCCGACATGCCGAACAGGCTGATGCAAGCTTTGCGGTACTGCACCGTTACGTCGTGAATGACCGTAGTGTCGCTGTGGACCATGCGCAAGCAATGGATGTATCGCTCGTAAAGCGTCTGGACGAAGCTCGGTTCTTGAAGCTTCGGGCTGGTCTTGGGTTTCTGCACCGTATTGAACAATACGCGGCATGGCTTCAAGGCGTCCGCATAGCGCGCCTGGTTCAAAAGATCAGTGACAACAATCAGCAAAGGCTCGAAGGCATCAGGATGGCAGGATTCTGAGTCCTTGTTGAGAATGTGCACGATCTGGCGATAGTAATCCACCGCGATAGGACGAGGACGAGTCAGCTCGGCAAGCTTCCATAGCTGCTTGACAACGGTCGGGTGCTCCGGTCCGTATCGCTTGGTCGAATCGCCCAGGATATCCTGGTGAATAGTGATCAGCTTGTCATTTTGCGACATGCGTTCGTATAGACGTAGAATGCCTGTCGTGACACGGTCTCGCAGCTTGTCGCCCGCCGGTCGATCACGGCGGACAGCCTGATACAGACGCAGACGGACGTCCTCCTCCTTGGCTGTTCGGCGCCTGGAGCGATAACAGTTCGCCAGGCGTTCCGCAAGTGCGACACAATACTCCAGGTTACTTGAAGGAAGAACCACCTCGTCCACGGAAGGTGCAAAGAAGGCAGGCCACATGGTCCGAAGGACTTGCTTGATTGCCTTGGTGGCGTCCTGCCATCGATGCTGCGACAGATACAGTTCCAACAAAGTGTTTGTCGCAGTCACGGAGACCTGGTCAGTGCTGGATGTGTTGAAGACCATCTCTTTGAGACTCGATTCCGTGATGCTCGAGCTGGTCGAGGTCGCCATCTTCATCACCTCGCGGGAAGTGGTATTGATATGCTGCTGCACCTCCTGATGGACACCGCTCTGACTATGAGTACTCTGAGCGCAGTGCTTAAAGACAGTGAGCGCCAGCACGGAGAGCCCCACGGACTTCATCACCTTGGCCACCTCGAGGAATTTGAAGGCCACTGCCTCGGAGCTCGACGTGCTTTGGCCGTACCCCTCCCAAAAGCCGGACAGGATAGAGGCGGCCTCGTTCTCCCGGTGTTGGGACTTGAGGAACTTGGCATAGCCCAGCACGGCGTCCATATTCTTGAGCTCCCAGTCAGACGAGTGATTGAGGCGGTATTCCTTGCTGGTTTGTTGCCACAGCTCAATCCACGTCCGCTCGGCGGACTTCAGGTCTTTCTCGGCCACGAACCGCTCAGCCTTGGCCTGTAGAGATTTGAAGTCGAATGCGCGAGTGATCATATCATCCAGCTCTAGCTCGTTCAGCGAGAAAGTCGTCCGCGTCTCCATCGTATCTTTGCGGCCGTGGAGATGGACCAAGAGCGAGTCGTCCGTGGGTCGCGAGCCCGTTGGTTGCGGCGCGCTGTCCGTGGTCGGCCCCTGCAGCGAGCTTGTGATCTCCTTAGCTTTGGCCTCGTCTCCCATTGAGATAAAATGCTCGGACAGCTGGGTCAGAGTGGAAGTCACCATGCTGCTTGACACTCCATAATGGCTCTTGTAGCATTCAACCAGAAGCTGCAGCATCTCGGTGCGTTTCACCATGATCTCGTTCTTGGAATCGGCGACCTGGTCGGCCGTCACTTCCAGGTAGAATTTGGTAATCTGCATCGTAATCAGGTGTCGGGGCGAGAGCACGGTTTGGCTTATCTTCGCTGCATCATAGAAGACCTTGCTAATATGGGCTGGGAGGGTGTTGTGGATACGTCGGTAGAAGAGAGCCTGACAGAGGACAGTCTGCAGGGTCGTTGGGTGAGTAGAGCTCAACGCCTGCCGATACAGTCGGTTTTGGATGCCGTGCAACAGCCGCAATGAGGGAGTGGATTTATTGTCCCAAACTGTCATCTCAAGCAATGGCACTGTGGGCGAAGTGGGAAGCGCACTGCGCAGCTCTTTGGCTGCAGTGGTGATTTCCTGATCGGTGGCGCAGCCAAACGCGATTTTGACATGCGTCAACCAATAGCGCAGAGCGAAGTCGAGTAGAGGATATTTAGCCAGCATATCCTGGGTGGTATTCTCGTCCAGTGGATCTAGCGAGGGCTCGTGCTCGCTGGTGACGGCCTCTTTGATGTATAATAGCAGTCTCTGTGCAAGATCGCCGTTCCTGTTTTTAACAGTCGGCAATAGTTTATCTTTCGCCAGCACGTCCAAGATCGCGGTGCGAATCTGTCCATGGCGCAGGTAGACCAGATTACTCTGGATGAAGACAAGCGATGCGACCGGCTTCAGGAGCTGCTGGATGTCGAGCGACTCGTCGGTGATGGTGGAATTCTCGACGTGGATGGAGCCCAGCGCCGACAGCTCCTTCTGCGTCATGGGACGAGCCGCAGTGGAGAGCCAAGCCAATACCTTCAATGCATCTTTGCTCAGCTTCGCATGAAGGTTATTCGAGACCAGATCGGTGAGTGTCTTGCCGGTGTTAGCCACACTTTCAATGGCTCTCGTCAGAGCTTGGGCGTTGGACGAGCCCTCCTCGCGGATGCGTTTGGCGGCCAGTTTGGCCCAGAGGAATGAACCACTGGACGCTTCAGCAATCCGCGTGACGTTGATCTCTTGCTCTTCCTCAGGCAAGGATGTGAAAGCACGAGTATGCTGCAGAATCTTCCGTACGACAGCGGTGATGTCGTCGAAGACAAGCTCCGGCGAGACATGCACAATGCTCTGCGAAGACGTGGAGAGCGGCTGCTGGGCGCCCAAGATAATCAACTTGACTCTCTCCGCGGGGGCCGCAGCCTCGGTCAATCGCTTGTACATCAGGTTCTCTCCGCAGCTGGCCTCATCTATTCCGTCAACCACCAGGACGAGTTCCTTGGCGCCCTGGAGACTGCTCTTCAGTGCGTTCTCCACCGCAACCCACAGTAGATCGTCGTACGCATCCTCTTCCAGTGTCGACTGACTGCGTTTGTACGCATCCGAGAGAGTCTGGTAGAGTCGCACATTGCCAATGCGCTTGTCGAAGAGCTGTGACAGGATCATCTTGGCGACTGCACGAGGGGTGGTGTTGGCTGGGATACGACTGCCTATAATGCCTGTGAGTAAGGTTTTCTGGTGCCGGGAAGTGTGACTTACTGATCGGGACAAAGATCGATTTGTAATGGGTACCTCCGACAGGGTGTTGGAGATGGTCGTTGATCACGGTCGCCAGAATGGTTTTGCCTGAACCCGGTTTACCATGCACCGCCAGGGTTTTGCGGTTGCTTTTGAGGAATCGTGTCAAGTACGGGGTCATCCACAGGCAGGTGGACTCCTCACGCTCCTGAGCAAAGTGCGCGGTTGTTTCCGCCACGTTGACTAGCACGGGGTCCTCAGGCTGCAGCCAATCTTTGAGGGCTCGGATCTCGGTGACTGTTGCATGAGAGCATTAGCCACTGTTGCGAATATGAGGAGTAGTTTGAAAGCAATCGCACTCACCTTTGTCCCCGTTCAGACCCTCCCGGATCAGCTGGTGGCGCCACATCGACTCGGAGACATGTTCGCAGCGAGCCTTGAAGCTGTCAATCGGACCCGGAAAGGTGCTGTAAATGTCAATCGAGACTGAGTCAGAAGAGTTCAAAGAACGATGGAAGTGTCTTGCCACGCCAACCACAAGGGTGACGAGATCGGCCAAGGCCAGAATAAGTTGGTCTTTGATCTCCTGGGACACAGAGAACAGTTCTGTGCGATCCAGCAAGTTCCCAAGGCCCATGGAGGAGCGGTAGAAGAATCCGAACAGATCCATCAACGCAGGGGCATTATCCTCCGCCAACTAATACGAGACATCTCAGCATTCAGATGGAGTTTTGTGCTTGGATTAGGCATGCATACCTCGAGTAAGCTCGCACAGTGAACATAGGCAAGCTGGGCAGCCATGTGACTGTCTCCGGCAAACTGCTCCAGAGCCGTGTCGAATGAATGCAGCCGCTCCACGAACAAGGCCGCCCAAACAAGCGCCTTGTCATAGCTGCTGCCTTCCGGAGGGAGCTTACGCATCCGCTCCGCTCGAATCCATTCGAGAAGCGTGGCATAGTCCGCGTCGGTGATACTAGACGAGATCATAGCGTCGCTGCTGCGACGAGTCAGTGAGCTGACGACATCCGCCAGCGTGGAGCCTCCTCCACCAGTTAGGGCCCGTGACCCTCTTCGTGAGGTGGAGGATTGGTACGTGGTTGTATATCCCTCCTGCTCGAGGATATCTGACGCTCGTCGATTCCCAAAGAGCGCAGTGGTAGACAGAGGGGAGCCGAAGGTGTAATGGACGTTAGGTTGGAACGAGGTAGCCATGGTTGGTTTTACACGTGGTTATTCGTAGGCCGGATCGTTTATGCCGAGTGATTCTCATCGGGACAATTGAATTGCAATTGATGGATCAAATTTTGAAGCAATTTGGATGAATGTTGGGCGTAACAGGGAATAATGCCAAAGCAAACTTGGATTAAAAGGTCAATTTCAGGATGCTATGAAGTGATACTTGTCAATGAACAGGATGCTGAGCCTTTGTCCTGTATTTCAAGTTTCAACTTTCTTGCTGAATCTCTCTCTGTCAGCTGAGAAGACGTCAGAATGATATGCACGACAGGAGACTAGGTTATCCAATGAATGCTGGAAGACCAGAAGCTTTTTGAATTGACCTTGACAAATTCCAACACAGATGACCTGGTCCACCATGCCCATATTCCCCCGAAATGGCGAACTGATCAGTAGATGGGTCTGGAATCTACAGCCGATCAAATTTGACATCACTGTGGGTAGACGCTGTTCGGTGTTTGTTGCGGAACTTCCGCTACCGAGTATTCCATGGGGTATGCGGCGCAGGCAGCTCGTTGGGCTTGAGTTGAGCCTACCCAGAACATGGTTGACCAGTATCTTCCTGTAAGAAATTGAATTGATGTCCCAATTGTGCCGGTAAAACCACAATGTTTCACTGAGATCTTTTGAATGATCAACGTTTCAACTGTCCACTGCTGGCAGTGCACTTCAATCGTGTCTGCTCGGGGTTTCAACCGTTTCCAAGAGTAATTTTCCAATGTCACAACGGTATTTTTACCTGTTCTATTGCACGGTAGTAGTAATAATGGATTGACAGAGAAAGTCAAAACCTCACGTCATAACAACTTAGAGGTAGGATAGTCGAATCGGTAGGCGGCGGAAGGCGGTTGAGTTAACTGAGGGTTGTGGGGACATCCGCATGCGGCAAACCTTCCTCCATGCCCGGGCAGCCAAAGGCAGCATGTCCACGGATTGCTGTCAATGTTATTGTGAGCTTTGGAGTTCCATTGCACTACTTGACAAATCCCTCATGAGTCGGCTACACGGTGAGAGTGGTTGCCATGCGGGAAGCCTCGCAGATTTCATCGCCTACGGGACGTCTCGACTCTACCAGAAAACGACTAGGGGAGTGCGGATCAGGGCACAGTCAATTGATACGGCCGGTCAAGTAGAAGTCTGATATCCGTCGCAGCCAGCCTCTGGATAGATGACCGGCATTATTACTCCCGGCGAAGGATGCACGGTATCCACTCTGTTCTCCCCGATCAGCGTCCTTGACAAAAATAGACACATCGCATGCGGTTACGGGGTCTCACGGGGACCATGCTTGATCGTCCAGTGGATGCGGGGTAGCCTATGGGTAAAAATGCCCCTAGTGAAACCATCTCATAAGCCTTCTGCGGAGCTCACATCTCCTTTGATCGCAGTGTATGACACAATCTGCCAACATCGATAGCTTGTCGACCGAGCCAGTCAGTCGCCGCACGGGACGCGCAGCTGGCCGCCACCTTCATCTGTCAGCATTCATCGAAAACTGAAAGCATTCGATTTAGATCGTGACATTGCTTTTCGAGTCAAACGCAGTCCATATAGTCTTTCAAAGTAGATTCTAAGTTCTGGGGGTGTGTGTTGGTGGATTCAAGTGTCTTACCAAGATACATCTGTGTGGGTCTCAGACCCCTTCCACACGGCCTTTGAAGCTCGGAACCCCCAGGACCTCCTCAGTCGCGCGGCTTAGGCGGTCTTGGAAGCAAAGCCAGCTAATGGCTGTAGCGCAGAGCAAAGCCACAAGCATGGGCTGCAGGACTTTGACTCCCGTGCGGGCAGAAAGAATGCCGGTCAATACTGGGAACATCTGGCCAAACACGAAGACAAATGCTTCCTGAAGGTTAGTCAATAGCTATGCAGGGAAAGAAAAGCAAAATGCAGGCAAGAAACGCACCAATTGCTGAACTCCGAACATCCGCCGGGAATATCTTCGAGGCGACCGAAATACCCTACTCCATATTTCAGCATCTGGCAAATTGTCCCTCACAGAAACAAGATCTTGGCAGTGCCGTACTCACAGCGGCAAAGAACGGCCCAGAAAAGGACCCTAGAATGCAGATGGCCACTGCCTCGACAATGATGTTCGGGACCCTCCACGTGATGCCAGAGCAGTATACCTTGCATTCGCGAGGAGCGGAGGGCTACCTACAGCCAGAAGACAAGTTGCAGTCCCACACATAGTACGGCATACAGGAAGATCATCCGCCGTTCTCCCAGCCGGAAGGGTGGCTCAGCCAAGAGCAGCCTGCCCAGGAAGGCGCCTCCGTAGAATCCGGTGGGCAGGCGAGAACGAAGGTGACGACATAAAGCGGAAATGGGGGCAGCCATGCTCGGAGGGCGTGGGAGAGCACTTGGAGGGCTGCGCCTAGGGCAAGAAGGGCTCCGAGGCCGAGATATTGGCAGAGGGCGCTGTTGGTCACGGCGGTCACCAGCCACCCCGCGAAGGTGGAAGCGTAGACCACGATGACAAGGTTGATGCTCACGTGGTAGGAGCGAATCACATAGGGTATTCATGAGCCCAAACTCCCATCATTGACCCCGGCAACAAAGAAAGAGAAGCCGGCGCTGAGAATTTTCACATACAGCCATCGTGTGTCGGCAATGCTGGGCGCGGGTGGCTCGGCCGATGCTGGCTGCTCTGGCGAGAGATCGATCATTTCCTGGTCTGGTTGCGGTCGCATTGGGCTGGTTCTTTGGTAGGTTGGGAGGCAAGGTGTGGGAAGGTGAAGGGATGAAGCATAAGTGAAACGTTGGTAGACCATGAGCTTATAATTATGTTACTTTCTATCTATGGGTGACTTGGTGGCTTGAGGATGCGGGCAAGTGGGTGACATGTCCAGATCGGGCAATTCACGCCGCCGTGCAGTCTGTCTCTTGACAAGCGGTCAAAAAAACCATTCTGGATCCTGCCGAGGATTAGCCGAAGAGCAGAAGACATTCACGGGCGTGGAGGCAGTCAGGCAGTCAAGCAGCCAGGCATCACATCCAAGCGCACATGACCGCTCCAGATGTGAAAAGTGAAGCAGTATGCCTCAGGCATACAGAGACTTACCGCGGTAAAACAACACAGCGACTATACCCCACGACTGCCACACTCATTGCTTGCCACTCAATTGAAGCTTTGGATCCTTTCGTGCACCAGCGCTGCAATGTCATCACTGTTCGTTTCTAAGAACATCATATGGCCATTCCCACGAAGACCCCAGTCCGCCAACCGCACATGCTCGGTGCTCACGCCCGCTTGGCGCAGAAAACGGACGGTGCACCAGTCGTACGGCGCATGATACGATGCCTCGGAGGTGACCAGCACCACGGGCGTTCGTTGCAAATTCGCCAGCTGACGCGGAGGCGGGCTTTCCGCTTGCATCAAACAGCCCACTTCATCCGGGTGGGTGGCGGGGATGGTAGTCGTCACCAAGTCGGTTGCGGGATCGACCACTGCAGGCGTGTAGGCGATGGGGATGTCCGTCAACCCATATGCGCGGGCGGTCCCGTTGCCAAAGGCAGCGTTGCGAAACGGAGGACCGCCTGGTTCAAGGGAGACGATCAATTGCACGAGATCCGGGCGCTGATCGGCTAACAACCAGGCCATGATGCCGCCCTGGGAATGTGCCAGAAGGATCACTGGCGTGCCGATCTGGTCGAGCAGCGCAGCGCCCGCTTTCTGCATGGCGGTCTCTTGGAGGACGTTGTCGCTGACAAAGGGCACGGTGCTGGCGTAATACTCATCGAAGATCGGGTCGTGCATCACCCCAGACCCCGGCCACTGGGTGTGCAGCTTGGCTTGGGGCCATAGCTCATAGTGCTCCGGAGCCGTGAAGTACCGCTGCAGGTGCTCTGCCGAATAAGTCTCCAGCGCTCCATTCCACGATTGCCAGGGACTGCGACCGCGGAAGGGTTGGTCAAGGAGGTAGCATTCGTAGCCCTGGGCCAGGAAGTAGGAGGCCCATCCCGGTTGACCGTCCGGTTTGTTCAGCCAGTTAGTCCCAGTCTGGGCTTGTCCGTGGATCATGACAATGGGGTAAGGTTGAATGACTCGCGTGGGGGTCAGTTTCTCCACATAAATCTGGCCGGTGCGAATGTGCTCGCCGGTGGCTGGCAGTGGAGTGTACTCGCCCCCGGCATAGAAATACCGCACGCGATGGGGAGAATCTGTTCCCGAAGGGAGCATCAGCGCCAGCAACGAGAGGGCGAGGTTGACGAGCATCATGCTGCTTTGATGATCTTTGTGTAGGTGATTGCTCAAGTTATTCCCCTCGCAATGGGATCAGATTTTTCTGTTGCATCCAGGTCACACAATCGCCACGGCAACGCATAGCTGCCCTGATGGGTGTCGTGGATGAGACCTGTCTGGCGGCAACTGCAGGCTGCATGCTGGCCAGAGATGTTTTAGCCAGCAACTTAACTTACGGAGTAGAACCTGAACATCACACGGCTCGGAAGATTCCGAGCCTATCCTGTGAGTGGGATTTTCTATACGGTGGGTGAATGTGCCATGCCGGGCTGTGTTTTGACGGCTGCCTGGGATTGCTTACGCCCACGCACTTTGTCCACGCGTCTCTACCGGGCCAGAATCCAGGTCGACTTACTTACCCTATCAACATACATACACACATACACACATACACTGCCAGACTAATTCCAAGAAGTTACCATTCAGCACCCACGATGCCACCTTCCAGAGTGCAGTCAGTTGAGTATCACGACCTCGCAAGTCGCTCGTCCATCGACTCATTTGCATCAGTCTCTGACTGGGAGCAAGCAGGGCTGGTTCTTCCCAGCAGTCGATCGCACCGGTCCTTCTGGCGCAAGCTGTGGAGATCCACTCCTACTTGGCAACCCCAGCGTCCGAGACCACGTCGCTTTGCTTCACCTCGCTGGTCCTCCATCCGACAACTGCTTCGCATCGGATTGAGCTTCCTCATCGCCTTCATCAGCTGCACCACCCTCTTCTTCCCCTCCTACACGCGATTGCCGCCCCATTTCCAGTCGGTGGTCGAGCAAGCCACGCAGTCCGACCAGCATGGCCGCGCCAACCCGCGCAACGAGCGCATCTTCATCGCAGCCATTCTCTACGACCCCGAGGGCACAATCACAGGCGGCAGATGGGGCGAGTCCCTGCTGCAGCTGATCGATCTCCTCGGCGAAGACAACGTGTTCCTCAGCATCTACGAAAACGAGCGCGATGAGCAGGGCGAACAAGCGCTCCGTCAGCTGGAGGACCGCGTCGCATGCAACAACTCCATCCAGTCCGACCTTCATCTCGACCTGAGCAACCTTCCGCGGGTCACCGTCCCCGGGGGCGCCCAACGCATCAAGCGCACCGACTACCTGGCCGAGCTGCGCAACCGCGCCCTGCGACCGCTGGACGATCCCGCGGCTCAGCCCTACGATCGCATCCTCTACCTCAACGACGTCATTTTCGACCCCATCGACGCCGTGCAACTCCTCTTCTCCACGAACGCCGCGGATGCACCCGACGGAGTGGCCCGGTACCGCGCCGCGTGCGCCGTGGATTTCATCAACCCGTTCAAGTTCTACGACACCTACGCCACGCGCGATCTGGAGGGCTACGGGATCGGCCTGCAGTTCTACCCGTGGTTCAGCACGGCCGGCCACGCCCGCAGCCGACAGGATGTGCTCGCGCAGAAGGACGCGGTGCGCGTGCGCAGCTGCTGGGGCGGCATGGTTGCCTTCAACGCGACGTACTTCCAGCGCTCAGACCGGCCGGTCCGGTTTCGCGCGGACCGCGACTTGTTCTACGACGGGTCCGAGTGCTGCATCATTCATGCGGACTTGCAGGATCCCCCAACAGCAGCAAATGTGGATGCCCTCACGGACGCCGGGGTGTATATGAATCCCTATGTGCGGACGGCGTACACTGAGCGGAGCTTCCGGTGGCTGCACACGACGCGACGCTTCGAGCGGCTTTACTCGCTGGTGCACGGGATCGTGAGCCGCGTGGCCGGTTTTCCAAGGTTCAATCCGCGCAGGATGGAGATCGCTGGGGAGGTGGTGCGCGAGAGGGTGTGGGTGCCGGATGCGAGGCATTCCACCGGGGGATCTTACCAGACAATCGAGCGGGTGGCCGATAACGATGGTTTCTGTGGTGATGGGTTCGGTGGGAGACGGGGGTTACGGCTCATCCGGGAGCATCGTCAGCCTGGGGAGGACGGATGGGAGGAGATCCCTGTGCCTGTTGCATAGTCATTTGTGCTTTGCGTCAATAGACGCATGTTTGAAGTTATTTTGCATTTCATGGATTCTTGCGTACAGTACAGTGCATCCCCAAAGAGGTATACCCAGCATCCGGACTCCACTAACGCCATAATCACCGTAGCAGACCACCGTAGAATAACAACAGACAGCACTATCAAACAATCGCAGCAGTAGGCACCTTGGACCAGTCGCGACACATGCCCAGCACTGTCCGACAAAATTTCCCATACTCAACCGTCAGATCGAACGCCCGCCACGACCCCTGCGCCAGATGCCGCAGTCGGGCTGAGGGGTCGGTGATCGGCTTCGAGCCCATGTTTCCATACGCCCCGCGGCCGGGACTACCATCACCATGTCAGTCAGCCATACTGAACCCCTCAGAGAACCGCAAGTGGTGCACTTACCTGAATCCAGTAATAGGGAGAACGAGAACGTCATCGACCAGCTTACTCCTACCCCCATCCTGCAATCCTGAGAGAGCCTGCCATCGTAGGCCAGCACCCTCCGCCAGCTGGCTGCGCACTGCGTCCGTGAACGCGGCAGGTCCGGTCAGCGTCAGCGGATCGAGGGCGAGCAGCTCCTGACGCGCAGCCCGGGAATCAAGGGAGCCGCCGTAGCGGTCAGAGATGTTCATCATGGTGGTTGAAAAGCCATCCAGGAAGGTCTGCAGGATCGGATGGCCGGGTGCCCAGGCAAAGGCCCACTGGGTGAGCTGCACAGGTTGTGAGTAGCCCATACGCCAGTAGGTGTCGGTATCCTCACGGCAATCGGCTTCCAGTCCGACGATGGCATGCACTGGACCGGTCGAATTGTAGACGACGCCGGTCTGGGTGTCGTTCCAGGGGAGGAGGTCGGTTGCGCTGAGCCATTTGGTCGGGGGGCGGAGGGGCTCGGTGTCGATATCGCCGTACTGTCGCCGATCAGTCTCATCCCTCGTATGCATATAAATATTGAACGAGGCTGGGCTGTCCTTACCACACCTCCGATCCATTTGGACACTAAAATACGAAAGACGTCCGATCGCTCAGCATTGCTCGTCAGACTCGCAAATTGCACTTCTAGGGCTGGCTCGAATTTGCGGAGCAACTGGGTCATCCCCGCGTCTGTCCACAGGAAATACGCCATCTGCCCGTCCGTCACCTGCAGCCAGCGCTCGGCGCTGTGCCGGAGGAGTTGGGGCCAGGTGTCGATGTGCGTGTCCTTCCAGGTCTGATGCACCATCATTGGGATGGCCGTGTGCGGCAGATGGTGTTCGGCAGTGTTAGCGAGGCCGAGAGCCAGCTCGGCCGCTTCGACGATATTCTTGGGTTGGTGGTCGGATGCGCTCATCCATGTTGGTGGAATGTACCAGGCTGTCCAGATGGTCAGTCATGTTCGTGGAATTGTGATAGTGGGCGGAACCGTACCTCCTCCCTCTGTATGATGCGTATGGACATGGTGATAGAGCAACGGATGTTGACTCTCCAGAGTCATCAGCTCGTTCTCCCACTCTTCTCGCTGGTACAGCGTCCATATCATCAGCACTGCGCCGAGGAGGGCAAAGATAGCCAGACGTCGCAGCCGAGTGGGCGCCATTCCTGCTCCTCGTATCCTATACTGGGTGACAGATGGTGGTGTTGATGGTTGAGGGCCTCACCTTGAACTCCAACCACCACACTATAATTAAGCTCCGATGCTGAGCCGCAATCAAGGCGTGCGTGGTGCTAGCTGCAACCCATTCAACGGTTACAACAATTACACAATACCTAGGCAGCGATCAAACAGACCCCGGGGGGCGGCAATATTGACCGGCCCTCAGACACCCCATCCTAAGTCAATTGAAATATGTCTGCCTGGAGGGAGCACCGGTCCACTACCGCCATAATAGTTCCTATCACGTATGCAGGTGCAGAAGGGTCGAGCCCGGGGGAGGAGAGGGGCGCAAGCAAGATAAAATGATTGCTCACGACCAAAGACCCCCAAAAGCACGACCCTGAAAGCCAAACCCCTCTGACCAACTCACATGAGCCGGTGTCTATTTTCATTTTCATCTACATGCGGACCAAACAGAGGTTGCGAATCGCCCTCGTTGCTGCTTGTCAGCTGGAAGTGAGACATTTGGCGAGCACTAAAAACTAGCCTTCAGTTCAGGGTTTGAGTGCGGGAAGGTTTAGGCGAGAAAACAGCCCGATCGATAGGGGCCGTGGCTATAATCTGAAACTCGTGGCGGAAAGCGGAAATGGCCGAGGGTTCCAGGTTCCAACGTGTCCACCCCAGTCGGTGCAAACCCAGTCGGTGTGTGATTCAGGGTCAAGTCAAGTCTTAAAAGGGTCTTGTCCCGATTTAGTTCAGCCCTACAGCAGTGCACCCCTTTTTCCTAGCCTTAGCCGCCAAAGTCCCAAAAAGCTTGGTTGTCTTATTTTTTTCTATTTTTTTCCCTCCCACATCTGGAAGGGTTGGGCTTGGCTTTGCATCAGCACGGCCGATTCAATTGCTTGTCTTAGCCATCCCTAGAATTGATTCTCTTTTCCGACGTGCACTCACTCAATCCCATCCGGCCCCCACCCGGTGGCTGTTCTGTTCGGGGGATGTCCGTCTGTAACCCGCGGGACCCGAATACCCTCATCTTCTCTCTGGTCGGCTCCACTGCCCTCGGAACCACTTCAGACAACCAGAATGCCTTGTTTGGGGCTAGTTTCCCTGGCCAGGCCTGCAGGTTTTCCACGCTTACACGCTTACACCAATTGCGGGATCGCCTTCAGCCTGGAATTGGGAAAAGGTCGTACAAGTGAAGGTTTAGGCAACCATCATCATCACGCTGCGGCTTGGATGCATGCTGGCCGGACCTGCAGGATGACCTGGGCTCCGGTGAATAATGCAATGAGCCTCGCGGGTGATTACATGGCCGTGACATCTCATCCCCCTGGGATCTCGCCCACAATGTTGACCACGCGGCCGGGGGAGTCCTTGGCTTGACATTTCTTACGTGCCGCTATACACACAACCACTTTTTCATCATTCTTTGTCTTTCCTCTCGCCGATAATCAGCATCCACAGTCATTACGATGGCTTCTCTACGAGTACGGCTACTCTTCGTCGCAGTTGCGGTGATCACACTAGCGAGTCTATTCCTACCCATGCGCGAACTGTATCTACTCCTCCGTCTGCCCTTCGTCTGGAAGACCTCCGCCGCCGAATCAATCATCTCTGCCCAACGCGACGGCTTCGACGTCACCTTCGCGTCCTACGCCAACCGCAGCGCTCCCCCAGAGAACGCGCGCATCCCCAATCGCCTCCACCACGTCCACCTGGGCCCCAGTGCGCCGCGAGCGGAATGGCTGAGTGCCCGCGCACAGTGTCTGGACCATCATCCAGACTGGGAGGTGTTCCTGTGGGAGGATGAGAACGCCCGCGAGTTCGTGAAGAGCCAGTACCCGGATCTGTTGGCGATGTGGGAGGGATATCCAGCGCTGGTGCAGCGGGTGGATGCGCTGCGGTATATGGTGCTGCATACTTACGGCGGTATGTCTTTCCCCTTCTCCCTTGAGGAAACAAGAGCGAAGCGCTCTTTCTAACAATGGCGTTGGACAGGCGCAATCCTGGACATGGACCTCGCGTGCAGACAGTCCCTCGACCCCCTTCGCGAATTCGAATTCGTGGCGCCCGCCGCGCACCCCGTGGGCATCTCGGTCGGGATGATGCTCGCCGCACCGAACAACACCTACGTGCGCGCGCTGGTCGACAACCTGCCGCGCTTCAACCGGCGGTGGTCGCTCCTCCCCTACATCACCATCATGTTCAGCACGGGCTGTCACTATGCCTCGTAAGACCATCCACTCTCCATGTATTCCGCCTGAACGCACAAGGTGCTAACCTGATTCATGCGATGCCAGAACCATCTTCACGCTGCAATCTAACCGCTCCGCCCTCCGCGTCCTGGCCGGCACTCCGGACCATCCGACCCTGCACATGCTGAACGGATACGTCAACACCCCGCTGTTCCAGCATCTAGGGTCCTCGTCGTGGCACGGGCGCGACGCGAGGTGGATCAAGTTCTTCGCGCACTGCGACCAGCGTCTCTCCTTCTTCGTGATCGTAGTGTTCTTGCTATCCTTCGTGGGGGGCGTGTGCTTCTGCGTGGCGCGGGGGCGACGAGCTGCGCGACAACAGGATGCTACGCGCTCGGAGGCGGCCAAGTCGGAGGGGAAGATGGTGTAGACTTTTGTCTGAGCGTTTGGGGAGTATCGTGTATATTAGTCTTCCTTGTTCATATTCGTGGTATCAATCGTAACCTGTAGTGTAGATTCGTGGTTTCCAGTGCGTGCCCTAATTCCGGCCGGTAGTCCATATCCTCTCCCAACACCCCCTAAATAACAACTCCATAAAATCCTACCCCCCAAAAGCTACTGCACGCGCACCAAATTATTGAACCACATATACCGACTAACCACCAAATACAACACGCGGTCCCACGAGTACTGGCTCGCGTGCTGCGCGAACGCCGTCCGCGCCACGCGGTAGGTCTCCCACGAGCTGACCAGCAGCGCCGTGTCCTCGTACCGGCCCGCCACCGCAACACTGGGATCATGCGGGGGGCTGACCATCAATGCGCGGAGGATGCGCCCGGTGAAGGGCAGCGCAGTGCGGAGCAGGTCGATCAGCGAGGCGTATTTGCGCAGCAGGAAGACGCTCTGTAGCATGTAGGCGGGCGGGGCGGTGGGGGTGGTTTGGACGAATTTTCTGCACCGTTCGCATTATCAGCTTGCTATTTTCTCGAAATACGGCATATGAAATGATTATAGGTAAGAGGTAGTGTGATGGGGAGGGGGAAAGTTCACCGCACACCCCCGCTCACAGCACGGTGGTTCACATGCCCCGAAACCCCCCCGTCGTCAAAAGTGTACAGCAGATCGATCTGCCACTGCTGGACGTACTGCGCGACGACATCGCGAATGAGGTCCTGGTCCCACCAGGCCATGGGGTTGTCCTGCAGGTCGCCGCGGTCGAGGACGATGCAGCGCTCCGGGGCGATGCCCAGGCGGTCGCAGCTGCGGTGAATCTCGGCCTGGCGGGTGTCGCCGAGCCCGTTGTAGTTGCCGCAGGAGAGAACCAGCAGGGCGCGAGTCACCTCGGGGTTGGTGCGGTGGTAGAGGATGGTCGGGCTGAAGAAGAGCGTTTCGTCGTCCGGGTGCGCGGTCACCAGCAGGATGTTGCGGGCGCGCTGCAGACTGGCCGGCACCAGCCGGGGATCGTCCGCCAGCGGGTACGCCAGGAGCAGGTATAATCCCACGGCACAAGTGACGAGGGCGATGGTGATGGTGGCCAGGAGACGCGGCAGGGGGCCTCGGCGGAGTGGGCGCCGTAGACGGCGGAATACGGGCGAGAATTGTGCCATGGCGATGGATTGATTGTGATGAAGAGGAACGAAGTAGAGAGAGAGAGAGGAGCAATGAGAAACACAGAGAAAAGAACCGTGGATAAGAGGCAGGCAGCGATGGGATGGGATGTGGAAATACGGTATGGTATGTATTGCATGTACCGGATGTAATGTGCTGACTGTATTGTTCTTTAGACTGGATTGGGTATGTCCAGGAAAGTCAGGTGCCCCCACTGCCCTCATCGACCCACCACGAAGTTACTTGCTATACTCATCGTACTCATACTCATTGCAAATATACGCTTGAAACCCTCTCGATACCCAACGAACAAATCATCATCCATCGGCCAGAACAACCACAGGTCCGTCATATTCCTTGCGACCTCGCCATAACCAAAACCCGCCACTCCACAGCAGAACAGCCCCGAAGATCAACGGGGCGTAGTTCATATTCGAGGGAGTAACCGGCCGGTAAGCGGGAAAGACCATGAAAATACTCGTGAAGCAGAGATAAACAATGGCAACAATGTTGACGATGATTTCACCCCGACCAAGGCTCCACGGTCCAGTCTGCAGGCTCTGCGGTAGGCAATTGCGATGCCACAAGAAGAAGATAATCGGAACAACATAGGAGACGTGCAGCTCGAGAACAGCGAGAGAGAGGATTGCGTTGAAAGCCGTGGTCGATCCAATATTGATCAGTCCGAACAGAACGAGGAGGCCGGTGGTGGCGAGGATAGAACGCGTTGGTAGGTGGGTGTGATCATCAACGTGAGAAAGATAGGCAGGAAATGGGAGTGCTAACTAAACATCAGCGTGCCGATGCCCCAAACGCAATGGAAACCCCATCTTACCTTTATCTCGAGCCAGTGACCAGACCATTCGAGAGGTTGACGCCAGCAGCGCAATTGTGGCCAGCCAGGCTGTAATGATGAAAACAGCCGTCATGACGCAACTCGCGGCCGAAGATCGGGTTGTACTGCGGAAGATCTCAATTATCGGATATCCTGTAGCTGTTTCTAGTGCACTCTCCATGTCTTCCATGCAGAAGAGAAAAGTGACCAGGAACACGAAACCGAGGATGCCATTGATAGCCAGGGAGCCAAGCATGCAATATGGAACGGTCGTCGTCGGCTTGGCCATCTCCTCGCAGAGATGTATTGCTCCATCGTAGCCTGTGCCAAAAGTCAGTATCAACATGCCCGGCCAACGACAGCCAGAGCACAAACCTGTCAAAACATAGCAGCTTGAGAGCATGCCCAGACACCACACCAGTCCGTCAGTAGACCAGCCGGTGCTGTTGATGAATGTCGTGAAGACGAAATGACCATCGTGTTTTGCCAGCGCACAAACCCACTCAGCAATCAGAATAGCAACAAATCCCACCAAGTGACTAAACAGTGAGATAGTCTCCACCAAGGATAGCAGACGAGTACCCCACACATTCAGCACGGCGGCCAGCCCGACCAGAGCCCAGTATATCAAAGATACATGCCAGCGCTGGGGCTGATACGTCTCGCGGGTGAGTACTAGCAGGCCCTGAAGCATACTGGCAGAGAGGTAAGGGGCACTAGCAGTGAATGACACCCATCCGAATGTCCTTAAAATGGTGTTGTGGAAAGATGAGCTGGTCGTATCGTGGCCGCCGCAGCTGAGCCCTTACCAATCCAGCCAACAATCCAGCTGAGCAATCTCCGCAACCTTTCTGGCGCAAATCTTGCTGTAAAATGATACTGGCCGCCAGCAGTGGGGTATCTGGGCGGAGAATATGAGCCTACTGCACTCAGTCGTCAACAGGAAGCACTGACATCGATACCATTTCACTCAAAGACGCTGCGGTTGCGGTGGAGTCAACGACTGCCACTTTCCTCTTGGTCAGAACCATCCCGTGAGTCGACTAAGGTAGAAGAACGAACAAAGATACCCATAGACCAAAGAAACAGGGCCACCACTGACAAGACCCGCCGCCATCGTACTGTACAAATTGTGGTCGTCAGCCAATTAAGCGACATCGGAGAGTCATCAACGGCATTCCACCTACCCGGAAAATGCCTCCCATGTTGCCATCAGGACGACCGTCAGAGACAGAATTGTTAATCGAGAGAAGGGCTTCTACTCATCTCCAGGTTCAGGTTAGCACTACTCAACGTCAGAAGGGAATCCGCAGCTACCTGCCTTCAATTCGATCACTTCTCCAACCCCGCTGTGCACCCTCTCATCCACCTCGCCCGACTTGGCGGTGCAACTGATATTCGAAACTTTTATGCTCGTAGCCATCTTGATTGATCGATTGTACGATGGTCGAATGCCTGGAAAGAGATTCTGTGCGGGTAGAGCAGGGTGTGTATAAGAGACGAGGAATGAAGCATCGTGACTACTTTGATAGGTTCTATGTATCTCTCAGAGACAGCCAATCACCGCGACCTTGGCTGTACGGAGTTGTCACTAGCCTGGCTCGCTATTTGGGTAGAGATAAGGTAGCACTTTATATCTGGAAATGTACAAACAGTGCGGGCCAGTAGAAACACACGGCCGGATATTTATCTCTATAGCAGCTCTCAAGTTACCGCTCGTTCTGCATGAACCCTGAGCACCACGGTAAGTGCAAATGGTGAGTTTCTGGTGTCAGGTGAGGAAATAACATATGCACAAAGAGCCGCCTATTTTGAAGATTTGTAGATTTGAGAGATGGTTGTTATCATTAATGTTAATAGTGATGTTTTGACCCCACCCCAACCCCCTCTCCTTTCTTGGCATTTCTGATGTGGTATACGCCGTTCATGCTTGGTGTCAGAATTCTGAGAGAGAAGATAGGGAGAATTGCACATGTTAGTGAAGGGATTAAGTTGGACTGAAGGGTAGAGGCGCATATTCTTGGCTATGACTGATAAGAAAGCTCTGTGGAGGTAATTGTTGTTGTGGTTGTCCGACTCCACATCCTACCACTTTTTAATCTATGACTGAGAGCAATGTTTTACAAAGTGCTAATTGGTTTTATTCGGCCACATTACCTTACTTATGTTTAATCTCAGGTTTCATCTACCGCAATATTAGAAAAGCCTTGCAAACACTGCCCATCAACCACACGCAGGTCCGAATACTCCAGCGTACGGTTGCCATACACCACCTGGTCAAGAAGACCACGAGGTGGATGGGTCAATCGATCAACACGGGACTGGTTTGAGAGGCTCTAGCGTTCACCAGAGGCCTATCTGATCTTTTCGTTTCGTCATTTTCGTCTTTTTACGGATTTTAAACGGGCTCTGGGCGTCCTGGTTTGGTTTCTCAGCGCTGGAGTTTTCGGATGTTTGGGCAGGCGATGAAGCGAGGTATGGCTGCGTTGTATATGGACTTTGGCGCTGGGAATTGGGATGAAAATCTTTCAATGTACTTTGTGGTTATGATGATTACTAGGCAACATACTGCCTTAAATCTGCCCCGGTGCCTCAGGCCCCAAGCCAACTGTCAGGGCGCATAGCCAACAGGATTTCCAGCAGTTATCCAGCCGGGAGCCCATCTCCGCTCGGCATTGAAGCGGATTGCGGGGAAGAAGACAGATTGAGAACTGGAACACTCGTAGTACTTCAGGTTTCGACTGTTTGCTTCATGGTCCTAGGAGCATTCGCAAAAGTTTCGCGTCCACTTCCGCCTAGGTCACATTCGGAGCTGCTCTCACACACCTCCCATGTCAACCCCGCAACCAGTCTCTCGTCGTAGAGTTGAAGCTCGGAGTGAGTACGGCCTGCTGCTCAGGTGAGCGGTGCCTACCAGGGTGTTTCGAACTAACTTGTCATCCATTCAAGGTGGCTGCCTCCGGATCCGCCAGCGCGGGGCTCTATGTGCCCTGCTAACCAAATCTATACAGCGGATCAAGTGTGACGAGACGGCACCAGCGTGTAACCAATGTACACGGAAGAACCTCGACTGTCCGGGCTATAGACGGCCCTTGAAGTGGTCCTCCAAGTATGAGGTAGGCAAGGGCATCACGCACCTACCCGCCGAGCTGGAAGAGACCATGCAGACATCGCAAGCACATTTCATCCAGCCGAGAAGGGCAACCAACTCCACAGCTTATGCTCATCGAGCTGAAGCCGCTCACCAAACCCAGACTGACCCCAAGTCACCCTTCTGCATTGATGGAGACAATACTTCCACTCTATCGACCAGAGGGAGTCCCACTACCAGCGAGCTAACGAGGTTGACCAACATGCACCAGGTCTACACCACCCTGGAAGATGACGACACAACTCTAGTGCGCCACCATTTTTCCAAAGTCTGTCCAGTTAACTCATGTTTTGACTCGCACAAGAACTTCTTCCGCAACATTCGGGCCTTCGTCTTGGAGTCACTCTATCATCATGCAGTCCGAGGCGCACGACACTAACCGCGCTCGGGTAAATAGTGCGTCGGCCAGAGGATGCGATTGGTTGCATGGGGTCCATCCCGCGCTAGTCCCTTTCCAGCGATCAGCTTTGAGGCCCGAGGCTGGCTGTGGTACACAAGATGGTTTAATAGAAACTATACGGTACACGATGGGTGCACATGGATAAAGGCATTTTTGTGATTACTCAACATTTTCTTAACTACATCCCTAGTCACCAGGTGGAGATATACTATCCGCAACCGTTCGACTGCCATGTGCCGGTCCATAGCCCCGACATTTAATTACATAAACCGCCATTCACACGGTACAGCATCACGAACAAACTACACCATACTCACCATCGAACATCCACCATGGGCCTCCAAGTCAAGAGCAAGGTTGAAGGCTACAAGCTTCCCAGCTTCGGCGGCATTCCGAATGTCTTCTTCGGTCCGACTATCTCCCACCTGCAAATCTGATGACATCGCCCTGCTAACAGAAGAAACAGACGACCTGCTCGGAACAGAGACGCGCGACAACACAAACCCAATCGTCGGCTGCTGGTTTCGAATCGAGAAAGGGCCAGAAGCAACACCCCCAGAGTATACCTACGACGAAGTTGGGGTGGTGATAGAGGGTGAGTGCTCGAGCCGGGTTCCTCTAGGGTCGAATCGTGGACCAGCTAATTGGCCCAACTGTGCAGGTGAGATCAACCTCCGTGATGAGGCCGGGCAGAGGGCCACAGTCAGACCGGGCGATACCTTTTTCTTTCCTCGAGGTAGCACTATCACCTTTTCTTCAGATAGTTATGGGGTGGCGTGGAAGTGTGGGGGGCGTTTGCCGGCTAAAATCTGAGTAAACTTACGGAGTGCCCTGTATGCAAGACTTAGGCAAATCATACATCCATTATCGTATACTACAGAGCTGGTTGCTGTTTTTTTTTTATCCTTTGCTTTTTGGAAAGTATCTTGCTATGGTGAAATGCTATGACTTTGTACGGTGTACATACAGTACGGCAATCAGCACCTTGGTGGACAAGCAAGGCTGTGAACGTAATCGCAACAATCTGCTGCGAGATATATCTACCTAAATCCGTCTTACCACTGGGCCCTGGTTGACGAAGGTTGAGAGATATGCAGGTTGAGATGTCAATCTCTTTCTTAACCTGTGGCAAAACTCCACCTAGGGTTCTGAGCCAGCCTTACCCGATTCGGCAAAAAAGTGCGTCAGAATCGCGCCTCGTCCGTGACCAGGAAACCGCACACTCCAAGACACCATCTAAGGATAACGGTCGCAGTCGTGCATGACCTCGAGCTGCCTTCGGGATGCGCGGGTGCCAAAAATCACGTTGGAACACATGACGCAGGACTATATTCAAGAATCTCAGGGAAAGTCTAAGTCTCCTATCCCACGATTTGTAAAGCGCATCCTTGACAAAATACCAATACAAGGTACTTCGCCATGCCTCGCTCAAATGAAGGCTTGCTCTGGACTCCCACCGAAATCACCTCAGGCCTACCCACAGATGCAGTGCAACCAAGCTCCGCGACCCTCCGCGACCACTAGACCACTACGATGTGATTGTCTTCGGTGCCGGTTTCGCGGGTCTCACCGCAGCCCGCGATCGCATCGGCGGGCGCACCTGGACGGCCCAAGTACACGGGGAGGAGATCGAGATGGGCGGCACCTGGGTGCACTGGAATCAGCCGCATCTCTACGCCGAACTGCATCGTTACGGACTACACCGGAACCTGAAGACCTCAGCGGGGACCTTCGCGCCCCATGAGCAATTGTTCAAGTCGTCAGGCGCGGCGGTGGAGAAGGTTTCCTCTGAGAAATACGGGCCGGCACTCGAGCGCGTGGCGCAGAGGGTCTTCGCGATCGATGAATTGGACAGTCGCGCCTTGATGCCGTATCCCCATGACCCGCTGCGGGCACCCTCACCGTGGAAGCGATACGATAATCTCAGTGTGCAGGACAGGGTTGGACCAGCTGACGGACTTGCGTCAATGGGAGAAGGAGTTGTTCGCGTCCAACGTCAGCACGTTCGGCAGTGCCCCGGCGAAGGAGACAGGGTTCACCGAAGCACTGCGCTGGTTTGCACTCGGGGGCCACAGCATGGCGGGGGTGTTCGAGCTGGCAGGGAATTACAAGCTGGGACGAGGCGGGATGACCTCCCTTGCTCGGGCAATTCTGAGCGAGTATGTCGGGGACATCAGTTTCGGCACGATTGTCGCAGAAATGAGCCATGTGCTGGATGGGGTTGAGGTGCGCACGCAGGACGGACGGAGGTTCGGGGCTGGCGCTGTGGTCTCCACGATTCCACTGTAAGTCTTCCCGTCACTTGTGTTCAGCAGCTTGAATGTGGTTGCTAACGCACAGCCAGGAACTGCCTCGGCGACGTCCAATTCAACCCTCCGCTCTCGCCCCTTCGCCAAACCGCCGTGAGCCAAGGCCACATCAACCACGGCGCATAGATCCACTTCAAGTTACGTGAAACGCTGCCCGGCTGGTTTTGAACGGCCAATGACGCCAGCGACTCGGAGTTCGTCTTTGCGTTCTCGGATCACAACGGCACCCAGCCTTCGGAATCATCGGGCACTTGGTGCATAGGTTTCGGATACAACGGACATTTGACCCAGAAGACTGACAGTGAGTACATCGTGCAGAGGTTCAAGCGGGATATTAAGCCCGATGTCACCGTCGAGGCGTATGCGACCCATGACTGGATGAATGACCCGTATGCCAAGGGCGTGTGGGCCTGCTGGGGCCCCAACAGTGCTTCGGTCCATCTGCAAGAGCTCCAGAAACCGCACGGACGCATTCTTTTCGCAGGCGCGGACTGGGCGGATGGTTGGCGCGGCTTTATTGATGGAGCCATCGAGCGAGGCCAGGTCGCTGTTCGGGATACTGTGCAGCTGTTGAAGGAGACTTCCACGGTGACTGCCAAACTGTAGCTAGACATTTCATTGCTGGCTTTGCGCCTTGTGTTGAGGTAACGTCTGCTTTGTTGGTTGAATGGTGTATAACAAGAATATTGCCACGAAACACAAGGATGTCCATTGGGAATTAATAATTTCATCCTTAATCATCGTAATGTACTGACTCGAGACTCCACATCAGGTCGCAAAGAATGCAAATTAGAAGTTGGTCGGCAAAGACAGATCCAAGAAGTCATCGAAGGCAAGATCCAGGTCGGCCATGTCGCCGATTGCCCAATCGTGGTCTCCAGTATAGTATACGACGGGCTCTTCTGCAACGGGGGCATAAGTCACGTTCGTCGACATATTCTCTTCGTTTCCAGTCGGGGCGGGAGCCGCTCGAGTACGCTTGTTCCGAGTCGCTTGTGGAGAACTTGAAGTGGACCCATTTACCCTGGGTGCATCCCCGTACAAGCCTGGATCGCTCTCGTGGATTTGTTGAAGAGCCTTGCGGCCCAGCCGAGCCATCGCTTCGGCAGAATACCATGAGACACTTAGGCCCTCAAGTAGTGAACAGCACACGTCGATGTCGGTTGCAGCTCGTCTTCGGTGCGTAATAAGATTGCTAGACCGATATTGGCGATATGAAACGCTCATGGACAATGCCACTGCATACGAGACGATCGGGAAAGGAGGTAGGTCCTCGGAGCACTCTCTTGCCACGATGGACTGCACGCGGATGGCTGCGAGGCCTTGTTGATTGCGTGCAAAGTTGTGCGGTTCCGAGGCCGTGTTATCGACCGTTCGGTGAAAGACAATTGCGACGGCTTGGTAATAAAGCTCTAACAGTTCTGCACAAGGATCAGCCTTGTGAGGATCTTATCGTCATCACAGTACCTGCGTCACCAAACTTGGGATCAAGAGGAAAGTCACATACCCAGGGAGGCAAATTCGAGTTCCTGGCTGTAGGGACCCACTGTTTGCTCAAAGCTGGGGAATTGTTTCTCTGCTCCATCCTCGTGGTTCATTCCGGGTCGGTAAAACAGGATAGCCTCAGACAAGAGTTCCGAGATCCTGAACCAAACATCGAAGGCGGTTGTAGGAGTTTCGGTAGCATTGTTTGCGCTGCACGGCCTCTCGATGCTGATATCATGGTCGATGATCAGAGCCGGGCGACCAAGCATCGATGCAAGAAGCTTGTCCAGGGTCCACAGACTCCAGAAGAGCTTGAGATGTGTCGAGTCGCCATCGCCCGGTCGCTTGAGGTGCATACCCACGGTTTGTGCTTGGTGAATGGCTTGGGAAAGATGCATCGACGCGATTTCGGATCCTTCCGAGTTCTCACAATGTAAGGCCATCAATGCGAGCACTCGGATCCTAGTCACACGGTCCCGCTCGAGCCCTTCGGTCAACGCATCTGCGAGTCCTTGGTAGACTTCCGTGCAGAACACTCGAGGCGACACTACGGCGGCATTCTCGGTCAAGTAAAGATGCGGTGCAGCAGCTCTCGACTTGGCTGCCACTAGACATATTGCTCGCTCTAAAAAGGGGGAGGAGACAGCTATACGAGGGTCGACGATGGGCAGGATGTGGTTGACTTGGGAGAAATAGATGGCGAAGAGAGGAGTGCGGGTGGTTGAGGGCAGTGACCTACAGGCCTGACGTGCGGACTCGTACCGTCGGCGAATCAAACTTTCCAGCACCTGAGGCGTATATACCTCTTCTGCGGGATACGTTGGGGCTAGATTGTCCATGTCGTTGGCAGTTTTCCTCAATGCATCTCCTCCACTTTCAGCGCCAGAGGCAGGAATCCAGAGTCCCACGCGGTCGCGCAGAAGCGTGGAATTCGAACCAACCGCCAGTTTCTCTCGAATCTCCGCCTCCGGATTCATCTCACCAACGAAGCGAGCCGGCAGAATGGCATCTGGTGTTGTCGAAACCCGTGAGTGATGCTGGGGTCGCGCTCCGGTGGGGCTGGGTCCAGCCGGTCTTCGACGCATGCGACTGGTGTTGGGCTGCGTACCCGCATGGTGACAGCGTTTCTTCGATTGGCAATGGCGATAGAGAACGTGTCAGTGCTCCCTTACTTTCGCAAGATGCCACGGTTTGCGTGAGCGGCTACACACCTTTTTCCGCTGGCAAAGGTCGCAGGCCCTCAACGCCCTCTTTCGACTGCGGGTCTGTGGGGAATCGGCTAGCCAGGTAACCTCCATCTCGATCTGGGAGATGATGAGGAAGAGGGGAAGTTTGATCGTTTGATCGGCAAGCTCGGGACTATGAAGCAGGCTAGAGGCTTGTCAATGTTTGCCAATGCATTGTGACTACTCCGTATCGTACCTAGTAGTAAGTTACTGACTGTTTGATAATAAGACGGCAGTGGAAAAGGAAAAACACGCAGGCGCGGGAGGCGGCAGCGGCGGAGCGGGAAGCTTTCCTGAAGGGGAATTAACCGCTCTCCGGGCCGCGATTTCCACGGCGGTACGGTTTCCCAAATAGGCATAGACCGTGGGGTGCAGTGCAGTGCAGGGCGAATCCCCATCATGAATGATATAGTGAAGAAGAAGAAGAAGAAGTTGCAGTTCGAAAAGTCAGGGGCCAAGGATAAAAGCTCGTTGTCTAGTGCTTATGACAGCCGTACAGTCTGTACAATCAAACTCCATTTATCCTTGAGTGACAATGTCAAACCACGGCTGTAATCTGCACTTTGAATTAGAGTATGTCCTCCAACCTGCTTCAAGCCTTTCTGTGAAATAGTGTCTAATCTGTGAATTGGTATAGTCCATGTGCCCACCGGGTCTTTCTGCCAGCAGAAGGCAACCCCATCCCAGAGGGCCCTCACATCACGGGCAAGTTAATCTTGAGTCTGGCGCAGCCTATGCGGATAGGATCGATCGACGTGCAGTTGAGGGGATTCATAAAGCGACGGTACGTGTTAAAGCACCTAGAGCGCATCTTGGGTCTTGATATCAGGCTGACGCATTAGCATTCCCAGATGGGGCAGCTCCGAGAGGCCCAAGACGTTGACCAAAAGCTGCACCGAGTCGGTTATCTTCCAGCGCAGTTGGCAGCTGATGCGAACACCTGTCTTTCAGTCCAGAATATATGCCCCGGGCAGACATGAGGTAATATTGGACCTCGCCCTCGGGTCAGGAGAGCATATGCGAGAGTCTGTGGATGGCGTGGAAGGCTATTCGATCTCATATCTGCTGATCGGAACCGTGACGAGGAAACTTGCGAGCGATCTGACATGCCATGAGAGCATCAAGGTGTATCGAAGCTATGCGCCGAGTGAGTGGTACTCCTTTGCGACCGTACATGTGGGTTTCCCTTCACCTTGGACGGACATTTGCAAGCAGCTTCTGACTTGATATTGCATAGGCTCTGGACAACGAGTGGCCAGGCAAAATTCGATATTCTATCACCTATCCTGCCACCCAGATACCATTTGGATCAGATCTCTGCCCTCGTATTCAACTATACCCATTGACCGAGGGTCTTCAGATTGAAAGCATCACAATCGAAGTCGTGGAGACTCACCACTTTGCGCCAAATCCATCCCTCGACGGAGGGTTCCTGAATCGAATCACTCGCTCGCGCGTAATCTGTAGAAAAGAGGTCTCGTCTTCTAAAGATCCTGATATCTTAGTCCATGAGCTCGACGGCGGATATGAGGTTGCACCGCTCCTCCCCTTGCCGACATCGATTCACGACTGCGCTCAGACGATCCAATCCTCCCACTTTGATATCACCCACAACGTGACCGTCACCATCCGAATCATCAACACGGACGGGCACATATCATCGGTAAGTAAAGCTGACTTGGATGATCGAAAGCGCTGAGCTGATTTCCAGCGGTTAGGTCCGGGCCTCTACCCCCGTTGTCATCTACATGCATAACGTCAACATCACCCAGCTCAAGGCATCATCCCTCTATTCCAGACACATCATCCCTCCGGTGTACGGCAAACACCAAGAGGACCCATTGCTCACTGATAGTGATAGCATGGCAGACCCGTCACGTGTATGCTCACCTGTACTATCGAGATGTTCTTCGCCATGTGGGCATATGCCATCAGACTCCGGATGGGTCGATATTCAAGAGCTGAGCCGAACACCGAGCTATAACTCTGCTATTGACAGAGTAATATTACTGGAAGGGCCTTTACCACCTCCATACATATGAAGGCTAACTAAACTGAAAAGCTGAAATAGAACGTAGAATTTACCATAAGCCTGAGCTCTTCTTTCTCGTAAGCGGTGCAATGGTTGGTCAATTGAAACCTATGTGAAAACTCGGTGGCGGATGTCAATGGAGATGCTTGTGTATGGAAGCGGATTTTCTTATGCATGGCTGATTTGCGCTGTCTTGATATTTTCCGACAATGCTAGATACTGGAGGAATCAATGGTTTAATACAAAGGTAGCTACAAAAGGTCATGAAAAGTCAGACACATATCCCCAGACCCGGCCGGGGCCTCAAATTCAACAAAGCGATGATCCCGAACAACCCAATCCGCACCAGCCTCCTTCAACTGCTGCACCGTATGGGTAGTCGTCACGGCCAACACCTTGCATCCCGCTGCTTTGCCGGCGACAATTCCTGCGGGAGCGTCTTCCATCACGAGAACTTCCCCTTCCCCAGAACGATGTTGGAGCAACTTCTTCTTGGCCATACGATACCCCTCGGGGTCCGGCTTACCGACCTTGACATCCTCGGCGGTCGTGGCCTTCATTGCCCGCGGGAGCTGAAGGATACTCAACCAAGCATCCAGCAATGCCTTGCTACCTGAGGTGACAATGGCATGCGGGATGGAATAGTGGTTGAGTTGTTCCAGTAGCCGCCGCGCTCCTGCAATCTCCACTGCAGGCGTGGAAGAAAGAAGGGGGATTCTGGCTTCCATGGCGCTCACATCTGAGTGTACGTTAGTGCTATGATCACTACGATGAACAGGAACAAGAACTCGAGGAGAAGGCGGGCCGCTTAGACTTACATTCCCAGTTTGCTTTAGTGGCGTCCAGCTCCTTGAGCACATCAATGCTTCGTCTACCGTGAGAAGCGCGGAGGATGTCGCGATGGTCCAACCCCAGTTCGGCAGCGACTCTGGATATGATGTTCAGTAGGGTACGGGGAGTGAATGAAGTGTTGTTCGCTAGTAATATACCAGCGAGGAGCACACGGTGTGGAAGACATACCTTTTCCAGTTTTCAACGATTGCTGTGCATCAATATCAGCCACATATTCACCCGGCGAGAGGTTCGTCACGCTTACCTTCGGTCGAATCGATGATTGTCCCATCGAAGTCGAGAAGAACCCCGGCAAATGCATGTCGCTCGGTTCGACCGGCTGACTGGAACAATTGGGCCATGATGTAATTGTAGAAAAACTGAAAATCTACTCACGTTTGCATGCTTGCAAAATGCAGGAAAAGAGGGATTAATTTATAAGCGATAAGGGGTCAAGTGGCGCCGCTCAGGGCTGGCGGGCGGTCGGTTACCGCATTAGGAAATCCATCCGCCTGCTTCCCCAGGCAGCTTAAGTGCAGGCTCGTGATGTATAAGAGTCCACATGAATCTCTCGCAAGACTCAGAAAGAATGGCTAGCAAGGCAACAATTAGGTTACCTGAAGCCAGATTTCGGCAATATGCATGTTTCACAATTTCAGTTGGCGAGCCTCCGTCCGGCTCTGCGCATCCTCTCCAAACCTAGGGCACATCGCCAGCTGGCCACTTCGACACAGAACCCCCGCAAAGAAGGCGATATCTCCTCGGTATTCGTCTCCCTCTCAGGAGTCGAAGAGAAAGCACTGCCACTTAGGTTCGCCGATCAGAAGCGGCGTCTAATCGCTGGACACGAAGATCAGGTGAAACAAAGCTGGGATCGACTCTTGTGCCGGCTGCGTGATGAAGTAGCACTCATCGCAAACAAAGGTTCCGAGATCATCCCCTCCATCGACTTCAAAGACATTCACGCTGCACCGACGAAATTCCAGGATGAACTCCGCAAGCGTGGTGTTGCGGTGGTGCGGGGTGTGATTCCTGAGAGCGAGGCCCGCGCCTACAAGGAGGAGATTGAGGCGTACGTGCGAGCCAACCCTCAGACCCGAGGTATGAGAAATTTTCCTTAAGAGTGGTTTTATTGCTGACATGACGCACCGCAGCATTCCCCCCTCACGATCCGCAGGTATTTGAGCTATACTGGTCCCAGCCTCAGATGCGTGCTCGTCTGCATCCCCACATGCTGCAGACCCAGCAATTCCTCATGAGCTTCTGGCACTCGCGCGCGGAGGATGCTCTCATCTCCCCCATCCACCCCTTAGCATATGCCGACCGTCTGCGCATTCGCCAGCCAGGTGATGCCGGTTTCGCCTTGGGCCCTCATGTGGACGGCGGCAGCGTCGAGCGCTGGGAAGACGACGGATATGGACTGGGACTGGTCTACCAACGTATCTGGGAGGGGCAGTGGGAAGAGTACGACCCTTGGGAAGCCAGCTGCCGAGTTCCCGCGGTGGCGGACTTGTATAACGGGGCGGGGGCGTGTTCCATGTTCCGGATGTTCCAGGGCTGGTTGAGCATGTCGCACACTGGTCCCCGCGAGGGCACTCTTCTCGTCAACCCTCTACTGTCCATGGCCACCACATACTACCTGTTGCGCCCATTTTTCGAGCCGGTCTCGTCTCCTCCGGCTGGAGACTGCTCGCGGCTGGCCCTGGATACCTACCTCGACCCCACAAACTGGCGTCTTGAGGCGTTGATGTCCAGCAAACTGGAGGGCGCCACGCCGGGGTACGCGCAGGAACTGAGCGATATCTTGCATCCCCACTTGCGACTGGAAAAGACCATGGTGCATATGCCCCAGATTGCCCCTGGCGATTACGTCGCTTGGCACTGTGATAGTGCGTCCCATCCACCTTGATTTCTCTGCCTGAATTTGCTGACGAGGGTTAGCCATCCATTCCGTCGACAAGGTCCACCAGGGATGTGGAGACAGCAGTGTCTTATACATTCCTGCTTGCCCCGTAACCGAGGCCAATGCGCATTATGTTCGCCGCCAGAAAGAAGACTTCCTCAATGGTGTGCCACCGCCCGACTTCCCTGGAGGCCAGGGCGAAAGTGAACACATTGGACGCACAACCCAAGCAGACCTAGCTCGTTATACCAAGGAGCAGGGGCTGAGATCTCTGGGACTGGAGAAGTGGAACGCTGGAGAGAAGAACCTGAAGCAAGGACAGCGCGCTGTGTTGAAAAGAGCCGATGAGATTATGGGCTTCTGAGGTAGACACCTTGTAACTCGCATTCGATGTGACCTATTCCATCGAAAAATATGTATAAATATAGACGTAGAAGATCTTTACCATGTCCTCCACACAATCAGTTGAACAGCAACCCCCCATTGGCATTCACAACGCTCCCCGTAACCCACCGACTACCCTCTTCGACGAGAAATGCCACCACCTGCGCGATATCATCGACGTCCGCCACTCTCGGGGCCGCAGGCGTGCTCTTGACCACCCGCTCCCAATCCTTCCGCACTTCCGCATCCTCGATGCTTCGCTGCCACAATTCCGTATCCACCGGGCCGGGACTCACACAGTTGACGGTCGCATTATACTTATGACCCAGCTCCGTGGCCAACGACCTCGTCAGACTCTCGATCGCCCCCTTGGCAGCCACGTACGCCGCGCACCCCGGATGGCCGTCGCGCGCATAGCTGCTGGAGAAGTTGACGATCCGGGGTGCTTTGCCGAAGTACGGGGTAGCCTCCTTGATGAGAAAGACCGGAAAGCGGAGATTCGTGGCGAGCTGCGCCTCCCACGCCTCGTGGGTCATATCTTCAAAGGCGTAATCGTCCCTGGCGCCGGCATTGTTGACAATGATGTCAATTGTGCCGCCCCAGCGCTCCACGGCGGCGCGGACGATGCGCGGAGGGGCATCGATGTCGCTGCCCTCGGCCTGCACGGCGAATGCGTCTATTCCATGTCGCTGGATGAGGTTGGAGACGACTTCCTCGGCTTGCGCGTGAGCACGTTGGTAGGTGAGGAGGATGTTGGCGCCGCGGTGGGCGAGTTCGTGGGCGATGCCGCGGCCGATGCCGCGGGAGGCGCCGGTGATGATGGCATTCTTGCCGTGGAGGGATTTGCTGATCATTCTAGGCGAGGATTCAATCAGGGTAAAGGCAAAGTAGCGGGTATGCGAGAGTCTTTAAGTTGATGCTCCAGGGCTACTCCGGCACAAGATGGAGGGGTAGCGGAAATGGCCCGCAGCGGATAGACTAACCCTTGCTACTACACCTCACTAATTACATGATAAAACATGATAGTGCATACATCATGATGCTTGGCAGCCAGCTACGTATGTCTTTCTGCTTTCTGCCAAAATAAGCCACATAAGATGTGATGCGAAGTATCACCGAAGCCAATGGCCATGGTGAGATGACTGTTTCCAGGCCCTTCCACATTCCCTCAAGCGCAGGGAGGCTCTCAAATGGGCAATTCCAAGCGGCAGCAGCTCGTTCATCAGGTTGAAGTTCAGAGTACAAGAGCAGCTGTGCACATTCGTAAGGGGTGAAATTCCACAAGAAGGTCAAAGTCGGGGTTGCCCTCGATCGCATAGTTCAGTGAGGTCAGCTTGGGCATCCGCCGGGCGGCATGGCCGAGGGAGATGAGGACTCGCTGAAAATGCTCAGTATCTAACAGTTCACGCTTTCCATTTCCCTCGTCCTCGTCATGTATGATGTCTGTCCAGTTCTCAATCATATCGAGCTCCGCTTGTCGCTCGGGGAGCGGAAGAGTAACCCACTTGCCTATGAATGATGAGAGGTGGATTATCGCGAGGTTGGAGGAATGCTTACCGTGGGAAGAACCGGCGGCACACAGAGGGTGAGAGCCTCTAGTTGCGGCCAGTAAAGCGAAAAGCTTTCCGGTAAGGGATTACCTTGTTCATCAAGGGGGAACAGGAAGTCAGCTGCAAGCGATACCATATCCAGGTATAAGTGTCTGAGATTCACGCTGAGGTTGCGAAGGTGAAGAGACAACATGTCGTGATCGGACCCCAGGAGCCTAAACCCAGGAATCACATACTTCCAAGGGTACTCGAATAAATGGAAGAGTTTGAAGTCTCTGAGAGTCGCCGGAAGGGATTTTATCCCCTCTGCAAGTGCTGGTATGGAAATCATTAGAAGACATAAACCCTCAGTATCCCCACGTTGCAACGGAGGTACTCACCCTGACGACGGGCCTAGATATATTCCAAATGATCTGGCCTGATACGCTCTTCCATGCTGAGGCACAGTGTGGACATGATGGAGCATTTTCGAGCAATTTGCATGGCCGCGCCTACCCAGATATCAGGAGCGAGGTGGAACACGGGGTCGCCACAGTCTTCAATGAAGCAGAGTCGGTTGATACATGCGACAACTGGGAGAATAGATGGGTCACTGTCACCAAATGATGCACGATACAGAGGAACAGCCAATGTATCTCCGTCTTGAAAGTCCCAGGTATCCTGTTCAATAAATATATAAGCGTCTGTATATGGCTCGAGCATCTCTTCTTGACCCAGGATCGTTGAATTCATTGTGAGACGAAGACCTGAATTCCATTCACTGAGCGTCCTGAAGAGGGCGATGATACCGGACTGGAAGGCATGGTTGTTGTCTCTTCGGACTTCGTTATCGGTGGTATAATCTTCCATCTGGATTGCTGCCAGTCCGGGAGCTTATATGGATCGACAAGAAAACATCTTAGTTGTCGAATCCAGGCTCGTCGAGAAACTCCTGGTCCTGATGTGACCCGATCAAAGTTCGGTAGGGAAAGCGCGCGACCTGGGCTGATTTCTTCAAAGTCATTAATGGTGTAGATTTGCACGTCGCGGTAGAGCACTGGCTCAAATACTGCCTGCCAGCGGCGACAGACAGTCACACTCGGAGTAAGGGGTGCGCCTGTACACCTGAGAAACATTGCTATCTGGATGAGTAGCTCCAGTGGTAGTGTAGCTGCCATCTTCAGCTAGTGAATCTTAATGGACCTGAGGTCGAACTAAAATTCCTGTGAGCTGTGGAGAAGGAATGAAATGAAACGAAAAAACGAGTGCGGATTTTGACCGGGGAACTCAGCGCAGGTATGGTGACAGTGACGGTGAAGGTGGAGGTGAAGGTGGAGGTGACAACAACAACAACAACAACAACAACAACAACAACAACAACAACCAACATCCAGGAAAGCCGTTCAGACTTCAAGAGCCAGGCTGCTCACCGCCCGCCATCCATGGGTTGATGGTTCCTCGCTCAGATAGCCTCACGTAGTTGAGTTCATTCTTCATCCACATCCTTGACAAATTGATCGGCACCAGGAGCAGGGAACCAGACTCGGTCCGATCCCAGATCAGCCCCCATCCCCAAGCCATGGCAGCTTAGCATGACGTGCGAGACGGGGCCTACAAGCGCTGACCAATGTAAGGTTAGAAGTAACATTGCTCGGATCTCTGATAGCATCGTAGTTGACCATTGCATGCTGAAGGCTAATGTACAGCGGGGTTTCTTACTGATTTGACATCGACATCTGACACAAGTTGTGTCTGGGGGGGAAGAAGATGGGTGATGTCGACTCTCTGCTGGATGTGGGACTTATGCTTATCTGAAACAGCATCAATCCAACTGCCAGTATCTGCTAGCTGCTCGGCATGGATGCTCTGAAGGCTATTGATAACTAGCTTACTAGGATTATACGATGGATTGGGCAAATTCTATCTTTACCGGTAGGCGAAGGAACAACTTCTTTCTAATTTGAAATGGCAGTAAGAAAGTTATAACAAGTGCACCATTTTACAATCAACATCAATGAAAGTGGATAGTAAAGACTGACGCATGGTTTTAACTTGAAGAATACTGGATTTCACCCACAATGATATGCTACAGGGTCTTCTCTTACTGCCAGAAGAGCACTTTCTTATAGACACGGATCCACTCTCAAGTCATGCTCACCACGCGTTGGCGGGTTGCGAAGTCACCTAGCTCGTGGGCAAATAATCATTCCTCAATTATACAGCACAGCAAAGAGCCGCAGTGCATATCTTGACTATCAAAGAGCAAAATATCACAATTGCAGCCCAATCTTCGTCAGTTTGGCTCATAGGCGGATCGGGTTGCTTGATTTCCCACAAACTCAGCAGACTTCCAAAGGCCAGCGCCGCGATGCTGCAGCGAAGAAAATGCATGCGGTCGGGGCCGAAGGCTCGATACAGACGGGGCCGAATCATGGTCTCAGGGAATCCAGCAGCACAGCAGAGTACCACAGGCACGATGGTCGTGATCAGTTCACCTCAGACCAAAGTATTATACGACATTGTGTAGTTGTTTCCACAAGCCGCGGTCGGCGTAAATAAGGATTGCAGCTGGTCACTTAGAATGGGTTGTAGCTTGTGCCATAGTCTCCTCTTATGGGTGCTGCGGGCAGTAAATAGCTATAATGATTTTTTTGTTAATCTAGTACAGTATGAGACTGACAATGAGAAGATACTTTGAACATCATTAACAAAGGGCTTAATCAAGATCCGCGGGGCGTCGTTGTCTATTGTTCTTATCCGAGCACTAACTCTGATAGGGCTTAATGAAAGCAAGACACAAGTTCGAGTGCATGTCGTGAATGAGCGGCTATGTCTAGATTTTCTCCCGGGCTCTTTCGTTTCTTTGTTGAAATTTACAACGATTCGGCTCTCTCTCTGTTAACTCCCTAATGCCGATATGGACTTTTGCATTCTTTATCCTTGGAGGTTGCTCCAAAGGACTCCAGCAGCCGCGTTTCCTTTGTATAGTTTTTTAGTGGAGGAATTGGAACAGATTTCACTTCGCCAGGAATAGACCTTGAATCTATACCGCATGCATCATAAGATAGTCACTTACCCAGGTTGAGAGAATATACAATGGGAGTGGCGGTTCAACTTAATAATATCAATCCAGCTCAACTATTTGTTGTATTATGATAGGGAGATAGATATATAAGGCTTGTGATTGATGGCATGATGAGGCTAAATTGCAACGTCCTGATATGTTGTTAATTTATTTCGCTTGTCAAAAAAAGACAATATGGCCGAGCGGTCTAAGGCGATAGACTAGAAATCTATTCTCTTCGGAGGCGTCGGTTCAAATCCGACTGTTGTCGTTTTTTGGTTTCTTTTTTGCTGGCCACCCTGCCTCCACCCAGCTGTTCCACATGATTCGAGCAATTCTGGAAGCTTGCCTGTAGCATGGCTGAGCAGCGTTGACCAAGGGTCAACTGTGTTGCGACGAGTTGACACCCCTTGACTAGAATCCGGCAATAGCCCAAGTGGATCACGAGATGCAAATGAAACCAACATATGCCTCAGACACTTGATGAATCCCTCTGCACACACGCAATATCTCGAAGCGTCTGCTAGGATTTGTACTGCCTTGGATACGCGAATCTGGCAGGGTCTTCTGTCTCTTTTCCCCATCGCTCTCTGTCTTTCAGTCAATCTTCTCGCCTCCCTGTGCCATTAACCAGTCATGGGAAGATAGAGACGTCTGCAAAGATCCACATCCAGAGGGATTCCACCGAATATCATCAATCACCAAGTTCAAAGTCTGAACTTGATTGTAGCATTGGACTCAGACTAATAGGCTCTGCCTGTCAGACAAAGACCTGCTATGGAGGACACATACACCTCGGTGGCCCCGACGCAAGTTTGTCACTGATAAGGCTATAAGGAAGTGATAGTGCCGATCCCCCTTTATCCTCTGCCACCTCATTATCGATCTCCACGACAAGCCAATTCCAAGCCAAGGCAATACGGAAGCACCCGAATCCTCGCAACCTGGCACAGAAAGGGTCACATCTGATTTGACTTTCAGCACGTCTCACAGAGACTCCGGAGCGGGAAACGTGGCGAATGATATTTTATCCGATTTATAGTTCCCTCATCCTTGACTACCCAGCTAGTCACAAGTCGTCTGCTGTTGAAGGTTATCATTCCAGATAGGATCAGTCCGTCACAGGCACTGCATCGAGGACAATGGGACATATTCTCAGGGCAACACTTGTTAGAAATTGGCATCTGTTGTTACTTAATAGTTTGGTACCAGGAGTTTACGTGTTCTGGGGATCCAGCGTTCGTCCTGCTCAGAGGAATTTGCGTACCGCCAATGCTTGTAGTATACAGCCAAATATTGATGAGGCTGCTTGTCTCCTCCTAGGATCATGACAGGTGAATAAACGAGAAATAGAAAAGAAAATTCACTTATTCGTCCCCAAAATTCCACCTTTCACCCCAGAGAGTGGGTGCTAACCGTTCAGGGTAGAGAGAACAGGCTTTCGAAGAAGAACAGAGCATTCTTCAGATCTCGGGTCCTGACAGAGCCCCTGGTCAGCCATGGGGTTACATCGGATGTCAAAACGGGCTTGACTAGTGTAACTGTGTCTTGAAGGACAAAAGCTTCAGCAAGGCACATGCGCATGAAGTCCCGCGTGACCTCAATCTTTTATATCATAAGCATGTCTTTATCTTCAGATATAGGCGAGATCGTTGCCAGATGCTTTCTGCACGTCGCTAGATATGGAACTATCGTGATCATAACCGGGTTTCGTCCAGCACGACGGCAGGACATCTTGAAGAACTAAAGGGCAGGGACAATATAGAATCCAGTTTGGCAACTGCAGAGGATGGCCATATTTCATAAGCCTTTAAAAAGACTTTCATGTCTTCTTATTAACTGAATCGAAAATGTGGAAGAGAAGGGTTGATTCCCGGCCGGGCTAACCTCCCTCCAATACTATACGCTGTTTCGAGCCATAACAATCGAAATGTGGACCTCTATCATCGTTATATTTTCGCTACATTTGTGTGCGCTCGCACTTCCGTCTCAGGCTATAGCTCTGAGTTCTTTGCGTTTGACCTCGAGGGCCAATTACGTGAACGCAATTGACGCAGAGGCCGACAACATCCGCCTAGCTGCTCGAGCAGGACAAGTCAGCTATCTGATGACTGCGAAGCGGCTCGTGCAGACCATTATGCCCGGGACAACCTTCCGCGTCGTTGACGACCACTACACCGGTGATAACAATGTCGCCCATGTCCACTTCAGGCAGACTGTCCACAATATGGACATTGATAATGCCGACTTCAACGTCAATGTGGGTGCCGCATCTCTCTGCTAACTTGTATCGTATCTCACACATTCATGTAGATCGGAAAGGATGGGGCAATCTTCTCGTATGGGAACTCGTTCTATACTGGAAAGGTTCACCGAAGGGACCTTCTCCTCGAGAAGGATGCCATTGATTCAGTGACAGCCCTTAACCGTGCATGCAAATCATTGAGACTGCCACTTTCCCTGGACAACGTGAAGTGTGAGAGAGTTCAGGGAACAAATAATGTCGTATTCCGAGGCACGTCGGGGGCCATCTCTGACCCTAAAGCAAGATTGGTCTTCTTAGTCAGGTCGGATGAGAGTCTCGCCCTGACTTGGAGAGTCGAGACGCACACGAACTCGAACTGGTACTTGATATACGTGGATACAGGCGCCAATGCAACATTACATGGTGTCGTGGATTATGCTGCTTCTGCTACCTACGAGGTTTAGTGGGTGGAAATCATTGACAGCCTCATTTCACCGAATTGCAACAGCTAACGCTCTACCAGTGAATGGGGGCTGAACGACCCAACCGAGGGGGTACGCACGATTGTCACCGACCCGTGGGACAAAAACGCCTCTCCCTTCACCTGGCAAGGGGATGGCAACACAATCTACACCACCACGCGAGGAAACAACGGGATTGCTCAGTCTAACCCCTCAGGTCTGGCCCCCTACATAGACAACTATCGGCCTAGCAGCCCGAGCTCCAAGTTCGAGTACCCGTACTCACCGGCCATGTCCCCTCCGGATACGTATGTCAACGCATCCATCACCCAGTTACTGTACTCAGCAAACACCTACCACGACCTCCTCTACACGCTGGGGTTTACTGAGAAAGCCGGCAACTTCCAATGGAACAACAACGGCCGAGGCGGCCGTGAGAACGACTACGTGATCCTGAACGCGCAGGACGGGCTATCCTACAACAACGCCTACTTCAAGGCTCCCCCCGACGGCGAACCAGGACACATGCGTATCACCATCTTCACGCGGTCGGATCCGCCCCGCGACGCTGATTTTGATGCAGGCATGGTCATACACGAATACACGCATGGCTTGTCGACGCGACTGACGGGTGGCCCGGCTAATTCGGGGTGTCTATCGGCCTTCGAAGCCAGCAGCATGGGCGAAGGCTGGAGCGACTTCATGGCCTCGGCGGTGCGTCTCAAGCCCCACGACACGCGGGCTACCGACTACGCCTTCGGTGGCTGGGCATCTAACGCCTCAAGGCAGGGGTCACGCCTCTACCCTTACTCGACCTCGCTGACCACCAACCCGCTCACCTACTCCAGCGTGGACGGGATGCTGATGCTCCACGACGCGGGATCGGTGTGGGCGAGCATGCTGTACGAGATCTTGTGGAACTTGATCGATGAATACGGTAAGAATGATGGCCCCAAGCCAGTCTTTCGCGACAGGGTTCCCACGGATGGGAGGTATCTTGCTATGAAACTGGTGATGGATGCAATGGCGCTGTAAGTATTCGTCTAATTCGCTTTTCTTGCGCTTCATAAAAATGAATACAATTCTACTAGGCAACCTTGCAATCCAACGTTTCTTCAAGCGCGGGACGCCATCCTAGACGCCGATAGGGCGCTCACGAAAGGGGCCAATCAATGTGCCATCTGGAGGGGGTTCGCTAAGAGGGGCCTGGGGCAAGGGGCAGAGACTAAAGGGTCGGTTCGCTTGGACAGTAACGTTGTCCCCTTGGGGGTGTGCTGATCCTCACAATGGAGGAGTATTATGCACTATATCCTGCGATGCGCTGTGTAAACTCACGCAAGCATTGCCTCCAGTTATACACTTAAGGCGCTGGACGGCTGTGTTTCAACTCTAGACAGTGGCTGTGTCTCAAGAGAACAATCATCTTTGCTTGCTAATACCACTTCTTTCGTGAGATTTGAGCACACTTGTTACTCTGATGCAAGCCACATCATGAAGTGATATTTCTCCAAATCTAGCATTTCGACTATCTCAATAACACACAGCTCCCAACATCACTCTTCCACGTTTCAAACAGACAAAACACATTAGCACCTTCCACAATTCTTCATATCTGAGTAAGAGGTGTTCTCCGCACAGACCGGACGCCAGGTGACTGTTGGATTCAGCACCAAGATGCTTTTAAGACAGGCGGTCTTGCCAACATAGGCTGTGGATGGACGAAGACAAAGGTCCAAGTATCCTATAACTACGCTCACCCCAGTTCACCACCCCATGAAAGAAGCCTAATTCGTAGGTGGATAGTAAGGCTTGAGGCGAAACTGGTTCGTCTGGTCCTCAATGCCGGGGTTGGCGACGCATTGGTTGGTCTGGTGCAGGCGGAACCGATATCCGGTACTATATGCCAGGGAAGAGCGAAATATCAGAGCTTATGTCATGTAGCTCTAAAGAGAGAGGATCTTCATCGGATCAAGGATAAGACATGGAAGCGTACACTTGAGTAACCGGCTGGGAGACAGGGTGCGTTGGGATGCGAAAGCTTCCGTCCCCGGCTTGCAGCTGGCCGGAGAGCAGGTAGCATTCCGAGTACCCGCCTTGGTCGTAGTGAGAGAGAGCCACCCAGACGGGCTTGTCTCTCTCATTTCTGTGTCAATTTGTCTTAGTGTCCGTGGATCATGGTCTGTGTGACCCATATAAAGAAGAAACATACTCGTTATAAGTCCATTGGACTACATAGTTGCTGTCTAGATCTAGGGGATTGGCCTCGGTGCCGGGCACGTCGCTCAGCTTCATGGCGGCGGACGCAGCAGCGAACACTGCAAGAGCGATAAGAGAGAAGCGCATTTTGAGAGTGGTGATTGAATGTGGAATGAAGTCTATGAACCAAGGATAGGAATGTCCGATGCTGGGGGTGAGAGAAAGAGATTTTGCGGATCCTGTGGGCGGGTTATATAGCCACCGGATTCTGTCGTGAGGATGGTAGTAGCGATCTTCGTGCTATACTTTACTCATCTGCTTGGCTGACCGTTGCCAATGCCGTTAGTATCATAGCGTCCGAGGTCACATCCAATAAAGATAGACGCATTCAGAATATGCCCGTAGGATTTAAGAGTCGCGCCCTCGGCAGAGACCGTTCTTCTCGGAATAAGGCTATTTTGACTAATTCGGTATCACTATACATCGTCAGGTACATCAAATCGGAGTCGCACGTGTGGACTCTATGGTGCCATTTATTGGGACATCTTCCAGGGCTCAGATCTTGTGGGAATTGGCCGTCCAACTCTAAGATTAATGTCACTGTATCCCAAATGCCCAATTCTACATGCTGATCGTGCTCGCGCAGAGTCACCTGAGCGTAAGGGTCATTTGTGAGGCACTGTTGCGCTGTCCGTGCGATTCGGATTGGAGAAGCGAGATATCTTACGATGTCGAACTCCTTAGGCTGTCAAGCAAGCCCAGCAATCATGCGGAGAAATAGCTCGACCAATTTGCAATCACCCGGATATCAACGGCCACTGACACATCTGACATTTCCTTTCTTTCCTGTTACCTCCTGCTTTCAAGCGGATTCAATCTTGCGCTGAGGTGAATACACTCCATAACAGACAATTGAGATACATCAAGGTGCTCCAATGCTGACTTTCGTTATTTATTTCGCATCTAAAGCGCAAAGACGGTCTACCTTGGTCATGTCACCATGTACATTTGAAGGTCCAAGGACCATAAAGTCTCACAGCTCCCGGCTGGGTAGAGAGGGAGATATGTGCTATTCTGCCGCTTACCGACCCTAAGCCAGTACGCACATCTATCGTGGCATCTGACATGAAATTGCGATTGTCGTGCCACGAAATAAAAATTTAATCCCAAGTAAGATCACTTTGTATTTATACTCTAAGACCATTTATACCACATATATGCAGCGAAAGTGAAAGAATACTAGGCAGGTTCTAGTCTAGCTATGCTTAACCACTTACTCCATGACCTTTTATGGGCCATCCACTAAGCTCACTCCTAATCTGCCAAGCTTGACTCTACGAACATCAGAGCATATATGACTCAAAGAAAAAGGCCAACGGAACAGTTGTGCGTTTACCTATTGTTGTTTTTTATAGTTCCAATCATCCTTCAAGCCACCACAATGAGAATCCAATCGATCTACCAATAATACCACTGTCCTTGCGTATTTCCGAAATCGCCCGTATGCGCGTTTCTTTGCGTATGAGCATGGATTTAATTGTGGTCGACAAGGATACCGGCAGCGACTGGAAGACTCGGTGAGAAGGGGAAAGGGCGAGGAGATCCGACGGTTTCTGGGCTTATGCCGACGGTGCGGTCGCGCGGCCTTTCCGGGCCTCTGCTGCACGGGCTCATTTGCTTCCGGAATTCCTTCAGGGAGGACATCACCACTCTGCGCCTTTTGCTCGAGAACGGCGCCCAGCCCAACGCCCTCGACTATGGTGGTTGCATTGCGCTGGATGCTGGGATGACCTTAGACCCGAGTCCCGCCTATGTGGCCTGGCTGGAGCTGATTCTTGCGTATGGTGGGGTTGCAAGGGACTTTCGCGTGCTTGCGATGTTATACAATGCGGGGAGTGTCCATGGAAGGGGAGATCGTGATAATGACGGCAATGGTCTGAGAAACGGCTCGAGGCTAGTCCGCAAGGCGATTGCCAACGGTACGGACGTGGTCCGCGCGCTGCGTTCCTTCGGGGATCTTCTGCGAGACCCCGGTTGGGTATGGGAAGAGCGTCAGGACTTCAGCACCGAACAGGTGTGCGATCTGGTAGGCCTCGTGCCCGAACTTCTGGATCTGGTCGATGAGAAGGGTCATATCCCGATGGACTATATAATGAAGTACCGGCCCGCAGTTTTGCTGTATCGAGAACAGATCAAACACCCTCGCATTGAGAAAATGCGAGACACATGGATCACTAGGCAAGGAGGCAAGCGCTACTGTCAAATTCGCAATGCGCCGGAGCAGTGGGAGCACTTGGAGAGCCTGGAAGCCACAGAGCCTGGTCTTCAAAGTCTGCAGGAGGAAGCGGTTCAATTGTCATTTGATTATATCATGGAGTACAAGCCAGCGGTCGCGCTTTACACGGAGGTGATCAATCATCCTCGGATTGATGACCTGGCCAACACATGGATCATGAAGCGAGGGCGTGAGATTTATCAGGCGGCGCTCGACGGCCATGCTTCGGCGGACGACCTTGGTTTGGCTTTCTTCCCCTATGGCATAAAGCCGGTGAGACATAACTGACTCCAACCCCGACTCCTTCATGTGGTCATACCATGTCTGGCCATTTGTTCAGTACCAATCGAGCAGACAATAGAATCTTCTTGGTACACCTGTCCCAGAAAATACACATTTTGCATTTTGAGTCGGAATGAATGTAATCAAGCAGCAATACTATGTGAAGTTTTACATGTCCCGAGCAACTGTTCACTATGCCTAGTATCTCCTGTTGATTGAAGTTATCATAAAATAAACACCTTTATTCTCTCTCCCCGTAAGAGATTCTCTCCAACTACTAACAAATAGTTCAAAGGCCGAACGACAGTAGTCTAGCAGGAATCTCCTGACGGTCTTTGAAGCGAATGATAGCATCCCTTTGGCTGTTATGAAGATAAAGAAGTGACTCGGAAGAATACTTCTACAATCTTGGGAACCAGATTCCGCAACTCCGAATATATAATGACATGTCATCCGGTAGTCGAGTCACCATCCACAAACCCTCAGGCCTACGATTCCACAGCCATGGCTGAACCATCAACAAGCCCTCTGGTCAAACTGCCTGACGAACTGCACCTGCAGTATGCCTGCTACCTGGATGCTCGGTCCCTCAGCCGACTGAGCCAGACCTGCAAGGGGTTACAGGACAAGTTCAGCCAGGAGCTGAAGCAAGCCCACGAAGCCCACAAGTGGGCGCTTGTAGTCGTCAACTACTGGGGGGCGAATGGGAACAAACAGCAGCCTACATTGAAGCCAGGATGCGGCAAGAGGGCCAGGGGTCAGCATTCGCAGTGGAAGCTGAATCCCAGAGATGGAAGCGGTACCCTCGCCTGTACAACGCCATCGAAAAGGGCCAAGTCAACCTGGTGCAGAACTATCTGCAAGCCCGGGGCAACCCCAACCTCCGACTTGGGCCGGGGGCCAGGCCGAGTATCAAAAAGCCCCTCCTGCATTGGGCGTTGTACACCGGGGCCGGGGGCCGGGATGCGACGATCGTCCGGCTCCTGCTCGAGTACGGCGCGGACCCCAACCTGGACGCAACAGATTGGAAGATGAAGAAGTGTCACCGCAAAGGCGCCGGGACTGCGCTGGACTGGGCCAGGAGAGAGAAGCGGTGTCTCTTCGGACAAGACGCATACCCCCAGCTCGGTGACGCGGAACGTATTAAACTGGCTCTGTCCTATGGTGCAAGGGCATCGCACAATGAAACAATCCGCAGTCTTTATCAGATGGAAGATGGCTCGACCCTGGTGTATATGGCGGTTGCCAATGGAACCGATTTGATGCACTTGGGCTTTGGCTGGTATGATCTGGTCGGTCTGTTTGGCGGGCCCACGGACAGTCGAATTCCGTACACGGACGAGCAGGTGTTGGAGCTCCTGGAGCTCGAGCCCAAGCTGATCGGGGTGGCAACGCCCCACAAGGCCGTGCGCTATATCAAACAGCTTAGGCCAGCCCTTGTCCAGCACCTGATCCAGAAACGAAGCAGTTTTGAGTGGCTGGGGAATTTGTGTGCAGACTTTTGTCATTATCTCTAGACCTCCGTGATTCTCACTTGGAGAGTCATATCAAATAATAAGGATGATTCCAAATTAACATGTATGTGATGAATCTCACTAGGCTACATATCAATAGTTTTCTACCAAGAATCTCAACTTTTATTAGTGACAATATGGTGGCACACTAGCACAATTATTATGACTCAACCCCATAAAGCTGACAGCAGCTATAGTTCTGCCCTTTCCTGTATAGTATCTCACCATATCAACGCTGTTGATAAGATCAAAAATTTCTTTACTCATCTCCGACCCGTCCCCTGCGCATCCAGCTCATGCACAGGTTCGTTGTCGCTCGCCAGCTCATAGCGTGTCATAAGCTGCTCGCTCTCCAGTTCGCTCGCCGCCGCTTCACCCGACACCTCACTGACTGTATGCCCAGAGGTGGGGAGTTCTGCCTTCTCCCAACTACCTGTAGCAACCGGCAAGCTTTCCTCCGTCTGGGGCACAGCCCGACGCCGCCGTCGGAGGAAGAGGTACCCCAAGGCAAGGAGCAGAGCGAGACCGATCACTCCGCCCACCACTCCGCCAGCTATCGCTCCTGCGTGTGATTGTGAGCCATCTCTGCTACTGCTCGTCGGGGAGGGCGAAGCCGTTGCTGATGTGATGTTGGTTTGTGAGACGAAAAGCTCCTTCAATGCTGGACTGGCCCAACTAGACGGGTATGGCGAGGCCTTGATGTCCGCCGCGGTAGCAGAGGAGAGAGAATATGTCATTAACCCGGGCTATCTTCCAATCAGCACTGCTCACATCAATGGGATTTCCTAGGGAAACCTACGTCAAACCCCGACCGAACCACCTCCGACTGCGCATCGTAGATAAACGCCGGCATGGTGTAGCATCCGGCGTCTGAATCGTCGGCCCAGGCGAGACGGCCGCCGACCCCGAAAATCTGCCTTCCATAGGCCTGGCAGCTGAGGGTCATCCGGCCCTCGCTGAGCCCGGCGGCGTTGTACCACTTGAAGGAGGGGATGGAGAGGTAGTCCACGTCGGTGATCACGTCTTGGGAGTGATAGTCGGCGCCACCGAGCACATAAATCTGATACGAGGCGGAGGACGGATCGTGCTGGACGGTGGCGCAGAACTGCGTGCGCGAGGCCACGCTGCCGGTCGTCGACTGGTTGTACCAGCTGCCGGAGGCGATGTCGTACACCTGGACATAGTCCCAGCTATTCTGCAGGAGATCCGTCAGCGGGGCTCGTGTCCGTCTCCAAGGACGCTTTCTCTTACTACAGCCATAGTCGCATTTGTGCCGTTGACCATCGAGGGCGTCTCCCCGCCCAAAAACACCAGCAGCCCTTGCTCTCCGACGGGGATATACACCAACGCCCCGTCCTGGACAGGCGTCACGGGGGCGTCAATCTCCGCGATTTCGCCGGTCGTCGTGTTGAACTCCACCATGCTCGTCGCATACACCCGCCGACTATCGGTGATGGCGGTTATTGTCGAGGAATCCTGATACCCACCGAGCCAGTACGCGCTCTGCAACTCAGGGACATTGATATTCACTGTCGTACACCATCAGCACCATCTCGACTCACCAACCAATCCGACCCTTCCCCTTCCCTTGCAAGAAAAAGAGGCGACTCACCCCCACCATCATACCGCACAGGCACCGCACTCGTCTCTTGCACCTCCCACCTCCCTTCTTGGACGCCATACCTCCACACCCTCTCATCCAAACTGATATTACTCGCCCGCCGCCCCCCATACAAGAACAAGGAACTATTATCCCGACTAGACCACAGCGCCTGGTCCTTCAGCACGGGGATCTGCGCATCCACCAAGCTCATCTTGTAGTTGGCGCCATCGTTCATCGAGAAGGACTCGCCCAGATCCAGCTGCAGCATGTAGTTATCTGTTGTCTGTCATCAACATCCGAATGTTCTCCTCGGGGGTTCGTGAGGAGAGGGTGGGCGCACGGGAACTGTTTCCGTCGTCGGGGACTAGGCCGCCATCCAGATCGACCATGTAGAGGACATCGTTGGCGATGTTTACTGCAAATCACTGGGTTTAGTTGGCTGTGGCGTGGAGGATGGCGAGGGGAAGCGTACCGCCGAACTGATAGCTCCGACAGAATCCGCCGGATAGGTCTGTCAGTACGGAGCCGCGTTTGCTGAAAGTGGTGTTTGCCGTCTGTGCTGAAGTGGCCGTCGTGAGGAGGGCGAGGAGAGAGACAAGGCATACTGTTGTCATGTTTGGAGATGTTGCGAGGGTGGGCAACCCGATGCTGCCGCTGTGGGTTCACAGCAAGGGTAATGCAGGTGGTAAAAAGAGGGGAAGGTTACAATGATAAGGGAGAAAGGTGCAAGGCTGAGCCGAGAATCAAGGCTATCTGTGGCAGCGCAGGGCGGCGCAGGATCCATTGCTCTGAGCTGCAAGTCCGTTTCAGGATCGGCGCTTAGAGTCTGCGGCGGTTAGACGAGGTGGTAGCTTGTAAAAATTGATATAGGGTGGCGCTTGTAGATGGTGTGAATGCAATTGTGATCAATGGAAAGAAAAGGCGCTGGCGAACAGGGGGGGAGTAATCCATAGCTGCATTCATATAACGGATGTCGCACGTAGATTGAGAAGGGCAGGCGATCAGGGCAGGATCCGAGCATGTTACCAGATCGGGGGTTTTGGATGTGCATCGCCCGGGTCAGGGCCGTGCCTATTGGATGCGATAAGATTAGGAGGGGTAGACTAGGTCCCCTTCTCGAAAAGGGTGAACATGATATTTCACAGGTTTTGGAAGCGACTTGTGGGGGCCAAAGGAGGGTCCAAGTCTTAGGGATCGCCGTCAAACAGGTACTTCAATTGCACCAGGGACAGATGCATAAAATAGTTGGCATGAACCAAGATGGTTTATGTGACAGGGTCGGCCAGCGATAAGATAGTGAGAGCGGCAAAACACCAAAGGAAAAGCAAAAAGCGATGACCAGACTGGGGCTCGATCCCAGGACCTTATCGGTGTTAACGATACGTGATAACCAACTACACCATCCGGCCAATTGATATACTACGCCAAGAATTAATGCAAAATAGTCCTATGGGTCTATGTAGACTTGAAATGACATCAAACTCGTTTACACGCCGAGTACCTTTGTCTGCAATATGGTGAGGTGTCCCAAGATGAAAATGTTCAGGTTCCAGCTTGTATATATGAGATGTCTGACTGACTCTAGAAGCACGATACTAACTCCTCAAGAAGTCCAACTCTGTACACAAACCCCGAATCAATGTGGTAGAATGCATCATACTGAAACAATCTAGACCAGACGTCAACCGACCGTCAATTGTGGGATATCCAGACTCTGCCCCTGCAATCAGACCACCATACACCCACTGCTGGGTGATTACAGGAGTCCATGCGATTGGAAGAGACGAAAGTTACACACTCCAGCGTTGCTCACACTAGGGCTATCGACCAGTGCAAGAGTGACGGGCTGTCAACGTCATCACTCCTAACTGATACTCCGCCCTTATCGCTCTCCGCCCACCTCACATAAACTTCAACTCAGGGACGCTCTTCTCAACTCGACAAAAGTAAAGTACTACCTTTGATACCAGAAACAACCGAAACAAGATGGCTCTCGTCCTCCAAGGCGCAACATTCCTCCATCAATACCTGGGCGCATTTCTGCACTCCGCGCCGCAGAAGTCTCCGAATGCCCTCAAGCTCGGCGTGCTATCCTCCGCCCAAATCAACGCCGCAGCTGGTACGCCCTCACCACCACACCCTAGCCCCATTGTATCCCTCCCATACTGAAGTACGCAGTCATCCACCCCGTCGAAACCCACCCCGACGTGATCCTCTACAGCATCGCCTCGCGCGACGCCGCGACGGCCACCCATACCGCCAAGCAGTACCACTTCACCCGGTCGCACGACTCGTACCAGGCGCTGCTGGACGACCCGGCCGTCGACATCGTCTACATCTCGACTCCGAACGGGCTGCACTACGAATGGGCAGCCAAGGCGATCCAGGCGGGGAAGCACGTCCTCTGCGAGAAGCCCTTCACCTCGAACGCGGAGGAGGCCCGCGCGCTGATCGACCAGGCCAAGGAGAAGGGGGTGACGATTGAGGAAGCGGTGCGTTCGCTCTTTCAAGAATTCGCATGCACTGTATACTATCGATGCAACATATACTCATTCCAACGCAGTTCCACTGGCAATTCCACCCCGCGGCGCACGCCTTCCGCCACATCCTCGAATCCGGCGAGTACGGCCGCATCATCCGCACCGAGGCCATCATGACCGCCAGTCCTGGGGTACCGAAGGGGGATATTCGGTGGCAGTATGATCTCGCTGGTATGCACTCTCCTTGTCCTTATTCTTTCTTCTTTTGTTCTGGTAACTCCATACTAACCCAAAACAGGCGGCTCGGCAATGGACATGACGTACGCGCTTTCCTTCACGCGCTACGCGCTGCGCAGCCAACTACCCAAGACCATCCACTCCGTCACCGCGCGACGGTCCGCAGCGGACCCCCGCGTCGACGAGGCGATGTACGCCTACTTGACCTTCGAGGACGCGCAGGGCGGCGAGGTGCACAGCCGGATCTACACGGACATGGCGCGGGCGTGGGCGGTGGGCGGTCTGGTGCCGCGATTCTGGGAGCTGCCGTCGATCGAGGTGGAGACGGACAAGGCGATCATCTTCTTCTACAACGCGATGATGCCGCATCTGTACCACTACATCGCCATCACGGACAAGACCACGGGGAAGACCAAGTGCCACCGGCAGTATCAGGGGGGCCCGCTGTGGGGCGACGTGACGACCAGCGACGGGGCGCGCGGGGGCCAGTCGGCCTGGAGCACGTATCGGTGGCAGCTGGAGGCGTTTGTTGATGCGGTGCGCGGGAAGACGCCCGCGTATTGGATCCCTGGCGAGGAGAGTATCTGGCAGATGGAGTGCATTGATCGGTTGTATCGCGCGGCAGGGTTGCCGGTGCGGGGGGAGCAGGCGGATGCGAAGGAGTAGGTGTGAGGATGGTGCTGGGATATGATTTATCTGGAATTTATGATTTAATGAGTAGGTTAATGCCGTGCTAGGATCGAGTAATGTACTGTATGTCCGCTGCTCCCGGAACAATGACGTTGGGTTGATTTCACCGGTTCCACCAGATCTATACCCTAATGGAAAGCATATAAACAAGCAACCACCACCTGACCCATCCTCAACCATCATCACCCCTAAACCCCACCCCAACTCTACGCCCTTCTCACCACTGCATCTGCCAACCGTGACTCCCACATAATGATCCCCAAAACCGCCTCCCGCAGCACCCTCGACCCCGAAGTGCAAACCTTCCTCGCCCAAAACCCGACGCTACGGCTCTCGGGCCGCGACATCTTCCAAGAACGACGCCACCACGTCCAAACCTTCAGCCTACGCAACATCCCCGAAGCAAAACAGCCCTCAATCCTGCACGTCGAGCACACGGCCATTCCCGCCGGCCCGCACGGCACCATCCCACTGCGCATCCTGTACCCGTCGCGCCCGGCCTCGACCCCGCACCGCCAATCCGAAACCGCCCGCCCGACCCCGCACAACCTGACCCCAGCCCTAATCTACTTCCACGGGGGCGGCTACACAGTCGGCAGCGCCGACGACTTCGAACCCGGATGCCGGCTGCTTGCCGAATCCGCCGGGATCCAGATCTACCTGGTCGAGTACCGGCTCGCACCGGAGTGGCGCTATCCGACGCAGCTAGACGAGTACGACGCGGTGATCGACTGGCTACGGGGGGAGGGCGGACAGGCGCGGCACGTCGACCCGGACCGGATCTTCGGGGGCGGGGACAGCGCCGGCGGGAACCTGACGGCCGCTGTTTCGCTGCGGCGGATAGACAGAAACCAAAAGGGGTTGGATGGGTTGGTGCTGCTGTATCCCGAGGCGCGGTTGCCGTTTGATACGCCGGCGGCGGTGGAGAATAATGATGGGGCGAGGTTGTATCTGGATTGTAGGTCCTTCCCGTTAGTGTATGGGCTGGTTGGGTTTAGAGCTGGCAGCTAACACGGGCACCCAGGTAACGGGATCTTCAACTTCGCGGCCAACTATATCCCCGATGGGGTGGCGCCGTCCAGTCGGTATATCTCCCCGGGCATGCAGCCCCAAACCCAGCTGCAGGGGCTGCCGCCGGCCAGGGTGTATACGTGTGGGTTCGATCCGCTGAGGGATGTCGGGGTGGAGTTCGCGTCCAAGCTGCAGGCAGCGGGGAATGCGGTCGTGTGGCGGCACTATGCGGACCTGTGTCATGGGTTCGTGCAGATGGCGCCGTGGAGCGAGGCGGCCATGCGGGCGTTGAGGGAGGTGGCGCGCGATGTGCGGGCGTTGGCGGAGGGGAAGGGTAATGGGGGTGAGAATGGGAAGAATTAAGCAGAGATGGATCTAATTCATAGACATAGAACTGCTGGGCTGGCTCGTGGTATCAAATTCGTCGGATATAGTATCAAATAGAACAGATTACGCCTTCTCCACCGCCCGTCCTAGACTCATGCCCACCTCCACATCGGTGGCAATGGCATTCTTGCTGGCCCGCAGCAGATCCTCGTCGAAGACGATCCGCTCCCGTTGGAACGCCACGATGATCGACGACCCTCCAAACTGGAAATGGCCCAGCTCTTCGCCTTTCTCGATCCGGGCCCCAGGCTGCTGGAAGCGCTCGTGGATCCTGCCAGCCCCATATTAGCATCGCTTCACCTCACTCCCCTCGATATCACAGTGACACAAACCTAACGGTCCCGACCTGCGCAGCCCCAATCGCCACAAACAACACCTCCCCGAACTCCTCACTATCCACCACAATATAATCCCTCGCATTCCTCGTCAGGATATCCACCCCACTCCGCAACGCAATCGGATCCACCTCATAGTAATCCCCGGGCATACTCCTATGCACTTTCACCGTCCCCCTCACCGGACAATGAAACCGGTGATAATCCTGCGGCGAGAGACGGAAGCTCGCGATCGCGCTGCCGTCGAACTGCGCCCCGAGCCGCCGGTCCATCACCAGGTTGGTGATCGAGAACTCACACCCCTTGATCCAGACCTTCTGGCTCTCCGCGACGGACTCGTAGGCCACGACGCGGCTGTCGGCCACGATGACTGCCGTCCGGGGGTTGTCGGGCTCGAAGATCGGGCGCGAGCCGGGCCGGTGCGCGCGCACGAAGAAGTCTTCGAAGTTTGCGTAGGCGGAGATATCGGAGGGGTCGAATTGGGTCATGTCGATGTGGTAGAAGGCGATGAAGGCGGCGATGCGGGTGCGCGAGGTTGGAGCGGCTTCTTCTTGGCCTTGGGGGGGTTAGTATGGGAGTGTAGGGGGGGTAGAGGATGGATGTACCCTCTTTGACCGCTTCGCGGTGCATGTATAGGCGCATCAGGTGGGTTGTGTCCAGCCATTCGGTGAGAGGGTTGAACAACAGGAGGAGTTTGAGTTTCTTCCAGAGCGGTTGTTGTTCGCGTATGAGCTGGCCGGTCTAGGCTTTTTTAGCTAGGTTTGAGGTAGTAGAGATGGTAACAGGGGGTGGGTGGACCTTGCGGTTGATGGTGAGCCATCCTACTTGGCGGTTTTGGATCTGAGAGGTTAGTGTACTTAGATACGGAAGGGTGAGAGCACGACATACCATTTTGGCCCGGGCCAGCAGGTCGTCTGCTATCTTGTGAAGGAAGTCGAGAACGTCCATGTTGCTGTTGTGTTGTCGCAGTCAGTTGTGGTTGTCTTCGAGAAGAGGTGTGTTGTAGATGAAGAGGTGGTGGAAGGCGATCTCCGCGTGCGGGGATGATGTAAGGATGATGAGACGGGAGTGTTACTCTAAACAGACAGTATGCAATTTATTCACTCAAATCAATGACCCTCATATTCTCTATCCAGACTACCTCCTCGTAGACACCCCCGCCTCCAAGACGACAAACTCATCCCTCTCCGAATCCAACCTCACCCTCGCCCCAAACGGCAACGTGACAAACGGACTGGTATGGCCAACATCCACATTCATCAATACAGGCAGCTCATCCTTCCTGCCCACCACCACGTCCAACACCTCCACAATCACCGCCGCCAATTCCTCCTGCATCCGCTCATCATACTTGTATCCTCTTCCGACCACCAACCCACTAATCTCCCCCAGCACCCCGGACAACGCCAAATCCACCAAGTTACCTCGAAACCGGGCCACCGAATACGGCCGCTCGATCGTCTCGAACCCCATGGCCGACTCCAGCAGCAGAACATGGTCCTTCCACGAAGACGGCGCAAACACCGTCCCCTGCAGCCGTTCGACGATATGCACCGTGCCACCGTACAGCTTCCCCTCCGCACGCCCTCCTCGCACCCACCGCCACGCCGGCGAGGGCACCGTCACCCGCGGCGCGACCGAGGCATCCCGCCCGAACTGGAAATCATTATGCTCCACAGCGCAGCGCAGCGACCGCGGCACCGGCCCCACCGCCCCACCTCCCGTCAAGACATGCAGCAGATGCTCCACCGTGAAGGGCAGCGGCTGCACATCGGAGAAGTCGGTCAGCAGGCTGGGCCCGTAGAAGGTGCGCAGGCCCGCGCGCGACTCCAGCGCATAGTGCAGGAAAGTGGTGTCGCTGTAGCCGACGAAGATCTTGGGGTTTGCGCGGATGAGCGCGTAGTCCAGGTGCGGGAGGAGCTCGTTGGCGTGCTGCCCGCCGATGGTGCAGATGATGGCCTGGATGGTCGGGTCTCCGAAGGCTGTGTGCAGCTCCGCCGTGCGGATGCGGATCGAGTCGGCGATGGTGCTGGGCTCTGGGAAGGGGGTGTAGATGATGCGCACGCGGAAGCCCAGGGATTCTAGGAAGAGGCGGCCGCGGTGGAGCGGGGTGGGGAGGATGCTGTTGAGGCGGGCGGATGGGGAGACCAGCGCTATGGTGTCGCCGGGGCGGAGGGCCGGGGGGAGGATCGTGGGCTGGGTTAGGGCTTGGTGGGTGGGCATGGTGGTGAGGTGGTTATTGTCAAATGTAGGGTAATGTACACTGTAAGTTCACGGCTGAGCAGGTGAGTAATTCAAATTGCATTCAAGCGTAAGATAAAGAATGAGATTAGAGTGCTTGGGATCCCATTGTTTTGAAGGCAATTGATGCTGTTATATACCTACTTATAATCCCTCGCGTGAATCAAACCGCAGGTGAGATTGTGATGTTTGCAAAGCATCCTTCGAGAATGCGGGGATGTCCTGATTGGCCGATGTGGGGTGTTTGCACCGTTGCTGCTGTTTGGTGCTGTTTGTCTCGTTTGATTCGACCTGTCGTCATAGATTTGGTCTGTTTGCATAGTTGCATCTCTACGGCCGACCAGACAGCCAAGTTCTGCAGGTATCCTCCTGAAATGCACCAGTAGAATCATTACATTAGGTGAAATTATATCTATCGTCTTCATATCAACCACCTGGTCTATCTCTATCAGCTGCTCAAAAACAGTAAGTCTACGCAACAGTCAGCACTGGTTCTCTCAGGATGAGGCCGCACTCACGATACTGGCTTCCCGATGCCCACGCATCGACCTCCTCTAACCCGGCCCTCCCAAAGAGCGCCATTCGATCATCGCCATCGTACTTGTGGCTCTGCACTGCTCGAATGCGCGTCCCCGCTTGGACTCTCTTGTTAGCCAGCTCCTCCTCCCCAGTGGAGACATAGAACTGATCGTGGCTGCCGTTCTCCGCGTTCCACTGCCCCACCACATCCCAGCGATCGAGTGCAAATGCCTCGTGCTCGAGGATCTCATTCGCCCGGTCTAATCCATGCTTGATAAACCGACGATTGACTCCCTCGGGATCGTTGTACGCTGCCAGCACCCGTGCCGGCTCTTTACATCCGTCCAACCCGATCAAAAAGGATGGGCTGCTTCCTTGGCTAGCATCTGCGTGCACGAAGCTCGCCAGGAACGCGGCAGCGTCCGCCCGCGGGAAACTCCCCAGCGTCGAGCCCAGAGACAGGATGGTCTTCGGCCGGGACCGGAGGTCCGATCGCTGCAGCCACTCGCGGCCGTCGTCGTAGGTCCCCAGCAGCCCGAAACACCGCACGTGTTGGAAGATCCCCGGCGGGACCATGCTCAGCGTGCGCTGCAGCTCGGCGAGGGAGACGTCCAGGGCGAAGTAGTCGACCTCGCGGCCTAGCTCGTCGAGTGCGTCGAGGAGGATCTTCACCTTGCGGAGGTTGCTTACTCCGTCAGTGTCGTTGTTCTTCTGACGACCCAGGGTGCAACTCACCCACTACCCAATTCCACCAGCATGCTTCCGGGCGGGATATGCTCCGCGATCTGGTATTTGTGCTTCTCCAACAGCCCGATCTCTTCATTGGTCAGATAATAGGCCGGGGAGAAGGTCACCTCCTCGAAGAAGCGCAGCCCCTGTTCGTCCCAGAGGAGCAGGTCGGGCATGGCGGCCTGTCCATGGCACGCGGCGTGGACGGAGTCCTGCAGCGACTGTCGGAGCTGGGTCTCGCTCTTGTCGGTCCGGATGTCGATGATGTTGCTCGTGGCCAATGGGCCGAAGGTGGGTGTAGGGCGCTGCGGCCTGCTCTTCAGCTGGGGGGTGACGATATTTTCGAACATTGTGGGTGCAATTCACTAATTCGTGGCTGTGAGTTTCCAACCGAGCTACATCGCGGGGTAATATATTTTGTCTCCTGCATGCTAGGCATGACGTGAACATGTGGTGGTGCTACTGGCCAAGGTTCTCTGGTATAGGCTGATCTCATCGTGACCCGGTCGCACTGATCGCCTCGGCTATCGCCTCCGGGGACGATGATTGGTCGCGTAGGGATCTAGATCCATGATTCATTATCTCATCCAGGTTGCAGTGCATTGAACCCCTCCTTGTTATCGGTACTGTCTAGTATCCCCACCTGTCTAATCGCATCCGGAAGGTCCTAGAAAATGCTACTAATGCTATACATGCACGCAATGCAATGCTGTCTAATATGCACACCCCGCCCACCTCACCACCTCATCACATCGCCAGCACCCTCAAGTCATGCTTGCCCAGCCTTCGGTCCCTCCAGGAATACCGTCACGCAGGTCGCATTATCACTACCCGGCAACGCCGTCGTTCCCTCGGTGATATTCTGCGCCGCCCGCGTCGCGTCGAACCCGGACTGCCGCAGCTCGGCGATGCGGTGGAGGATGGTCGCGTCATCCAACACATTCGTCACGCCATCCGACAGCAGGGCCAGCACATAGCGACGGTCGTCGCGGAGGTCGACGCGGTTGAGAGCGGGCTCGCTGGAGATGAAGTCCCCGCGCTGCGGGGGGGAGTCGTTGGCGCCAGGGGTTTCTCCTTCGGAACTGCCGCTGCCACTTTTGGCTCGCTGGGTCATGTTGTTGAGGGGGTTTTTGTAGCGCAGGTCGCCCAACGCGCGGGACATATTCAGCGCTCCTGGTGCGGTCAGTCACCTAGATCTTGTTCCGGGGAAACTGCAAGACAGACTCACCCACTCGCGCCGTCCCACTCTCCGTATTCACCGTCCCGCCCGCCAACTCGACCCGGTGTTTCTCCCCGTCACTCTCGGGTGTATGCGTCGTCGATAATCTAGTCTGCTCTCATCATCATCAGCACCATCCCTATTCTAAAATCGAAAGATACTAGACTTAGGAGAGAAACGCACCACCTCCATCCCCATCCCCCCTCCAGTCCCACCCCCCTCCACCCCCAGCAACACATCCGAATCCCCCACATTGCCCACGACCAGCACGCCGCGCGTGAGATTCACCACCGCCAGCGCCAACGTCGTCCCCGCCAGCGCATGCTTGTCCTCGCCCTCCCAGAACTCATGCAGCAGCTGCTCCTCCTCGCGCCGGATGGCTTCGGCGATCGCCTTCTCGTACTCCCCGGTTTGTAGATCGGGACTGTGCCTCAGGAAACAGGGGAGGTTGTCACGGGCGTGTTTGGCGACTTTGCTTGATCCGCTGGTTTCCCCGTTAGTTGGTGGGGAGTGGATGTAGATGTAAGGAAAGGGGGGAAACTGCGTACTGGCCGTCGTAAACCGCGAAGAGCGCGAGCTGGTCGGTTTCGCTTTCGAAGGCGTCGGGGCAGAGGATTGTGTATTGGTCTTGTTGGGTGGGGCGGGAGCCTTGGGACTTTTTTTGGTGGTTAGTTTGGTGGAGGGGTTGTAGTGCACCCAGCGGAGGCTTCCAGTTGTGTTGTGTTCGTAGGGGGTAAGGGATTGGGGAGGGGGCGTACACTGCTGCCGCCTGCATCTTTGAGGGTCAGGGGTTTGGGGAAGTCCAGGTTATCTGCCATTATTTTGTTTCTTTCGGGTTGCGTGGTGGTTCTGGAGGATGGTTTCGCTCGTGTGAAGGACGATCTGGTTGGAGCGGGAGTCTAATTATCGATGATTTTCTACTTCTACTTCTACAATCGGCACGGTTGTTATTCTATTTTATTTTGATTTTGATTCATGGGCCAGCAAGCGAAGGAGTGGATCATCACGACGCAAGGTGAAAGATGACATAGAATGGCGACTGCATCTTGGATGGGCGATCTGCGATGGCGTGGTTAGGGAGGGACCTTAGGGTAAAGCAGGGGGGGATCCGGGTCTGGTGCCGTCATCGCGCCGTCAGAGCCTGCGACGGTTCCCCACAACCCTAATCGCGGCCGAGCGTGGTCTCGGTCCAGGTTGGGACCCACGCAATGGCCATGCTGAATGAAGTAACCGTGCAGATTCCGGGTTTATCGATCATGAAACAATTGCTTCTCCTATTCTAGTCGCCAAACACAAGATACAACGTAGCTAAGGATACAATTGTTGATATAATGTCTCTACTGTACAATACATGTACTCTCGATCCATACCCCCTCAAATAATGTGAAACCCATCTATCCACATCTACCACCCACAATCAAAAACCATCATATACGAAACAAAGAGAGAAATCACTGCCGATCCTCCGCTCCAAGAGGCCTCTCTCCCGCCCTCTCCACATTCCGTCGCTTGGTCGCCCCAGACTCCCCGGGGTGATTCTTGATCTGAGCGTCCGCGGACGTCTGCTCCTCACCCTCGTGGGCCTCGCTCGTCGGGCCGAACTGCGATGAAATGGGCGACTGCACCGACGCCGTGTCGGGGGTGTCCGCGTGGCGCGCCTCCTTGCCGCGGGCGACGTTGATGGACTGCGATTCCGGGCTGCTGGACTGTGGGTTGGCGACGTTGGAGGTCTGGCCGGGGGAGGCTTTGCTTGCTAGACTTCTGAATGCTGTTGTGGTGGCGGCTGGGGTTGTGGCTTGTCCTGTTTGCATTAGGGAGTGGTATAGAGGTTGGGGCAGGGTTGGTCGGGCATACGCTGGGCGAGGCGGGTGTGGGTGAGGGCGATGCGGCGGAGACCGAAGGTTGGGAGGGACATTTTGCTGCGCTGATATGTGTGTGTGGTGTGAGGTGTGGTGATGTAGTGAGGTGTTTAGTTGAGTCTGTGATGCTTGGTAGATGTGGGTGGGTGCTGAGTGAAGGGAGCTGGGCAGCTGGATATATAGTAGGGGTGGGGGATGTTGACATGAGGATGACTTCATGGGTGCTACGGACTAGGCTGGGTTGGTGGCTTATGATTCGCTCACTAGGGTTCTACTACAGAGTGACTGCATAATTCGGCTCTGGCTTGGGTGAATGAGAGGAGCACGTCGATTCAGATGTGAATTCGAGTTATTGTTGATGGAATCGACCTGACTTGAAGTGGTGGGTGCCGTCTACCTTTTTCATGTCCAGTCTCCCATCGATTACAGTGGTGACCTTTGCCAATGCTTCTGGCTTCGGTTTTATGGTCTTAAACTTATCTTAACATGCTTCATGAGGCGGGAAATTTGATTGCCGGCTCTTGTCTTTTGCAGTGGTTAACTAGTCCAGTATTCCCTCCGCAGCATCGTTGGTAAAGGCTGGGCAAAGAATATATACCCTGAGCAGCTCGGACAATCCGCACAAGCACTGACCTCCACAACCCTCATGACAGTCTAAAAGCCAACTACATAATATTCAAAGCCCACAGGAAGACATTTCATACTATGCTCAGCACCAAGAACACCTCTAAAGCGATCAAAAGGTCTACCAGAAGTTGGCACATCTCCCACCTATACTGCATGCTTGTTAGCATCTTAGATGCAAAAACATTCACCGTAACACATCAAGGCAAGATGGCCGAGTTGGTCTAAGGCGTCAGGTTAAGGTTACCTTAGCAAACAGCTTTCACAAGCTTCCTGATCATCGTTTGATGGCGTGGGTTCGAATCCCACTCTTGTCATATCTTTTTGCGTGGCCACCGTTGGTGGGCTGTTGGTGGGCTGTTGGTGGGCTTGGCGTGGGTTTGTTCCCGGTGGTTAGTTAACAGAGAAAGAAGAAGGCGTTTCGTTTATCCTCTTACTCTTCTTCGTAACTGGGGAGAGAGAGATTGCGCTGTCATGTAGATCGGTTACACGTCCAGCATGATATTTATGATGCTTCTCGACGGGCGCAGTTGGCACCCCGTGTTTTCCTTGCTTATGGCATCTAGTAGCAGCGTGCTTGCTTGCTTTTCTCCCTAGTCGTAGGTACGGACCGGTTGAACGCGTACTCTCCACAGATACACCAATCCTTACACATGCTACAGCATAGTGTTAGGTGGTAACCCAGGATCAATCAAATCGATATCGTCAATTCATACAGATTATTAACATACTAGCCATACACGTGTCCAAGATACAACCCACAACTCCAAGCAAACTTACGACGAACCTGACAACGGACCTAGAAAGCAACCGTAGAGGCCAACCCATCCAGCTCGCGCTGGTAGTTGCGGTGCTGGCTGACCTGGTAGAAGAACTTGCTCACAAAGTCCTTCCCATCCTTGAGGATCTTGATCGTCTCGCCGATGCTCTCGGGCTTCTGCACGCCACCTGCAGTCACCACACCGTACCACTCCACGGGGTCAGGGCTCTCGGCGGTCGCGACCTGCACGTCCAGCACGCTGCCCACGACCTCCTTGATCAGCTGGGCGGCCTCGCCCGTGCCCGCCAGGGGCTTGAGGTGGCCGAAGGTCTCGGCGATCCAGTACTTGATCTGGCCATTCTTGCGGAGGGTCTCGACGTGGGGACCGCCGGGAATGAACGTCGCGTCGAACATGGTGGAGCGCATGCCGTCGTAATAGTGGTCGGGCACGATGCCCTGGCCAGTCTCTTTGGATTCACCCTCCGCGAAGATGGGCGAGCGCTTGGTGCCGATGACGAAGGGGAGGGCGCTGGCGGCCTTGACGGCCAGCTGGACGGCCTTGAAGGAGACGGGATCGTAGCCGTCGCCGATGAGGATGGCAATGCGGCGGCTGGCGATGGTGGGCTCCTTGGGTGGGAATTCGGTCTGCGAGAGGCGGATGGTGCGCCGGCCGTGGTTGGGCCGCAGCGCCTTGTCCGGGATCGGGGCGCCGACCAGCTCGGCGACCTGCTGGGCCAGCCCCAGGTCGATCTCGGCCAGCCGGGTGCCGGCCAGGCGGTCGTAGACCACCGGGTCGTCGCAGTGGTCGAGTTCGAAGCTGAACGCCTTCATCATGTGCAGCTTCTCGTGCTCGCTCATCGAGTTGTAGAACAGCTGCGCCTGGTTGTGGTGCTCCCGGAACTTGGGGCTGAGGCCACGGCGCTTGCGGCCCGTTACAGGGGCTGGGTACGACTCGAACCCTTTGCCGTGGTGCGACGCCGCCCCGTCGGGCTTGCCGGCCTCGAACCGGTTGGGCCAGTAGTTGACCGTGCCCTTGGTGATGCGGTGCTTCATGGCGCCATCGCGGTTGTGGTTGAGTACGGGGCACACCGGCCGGTTGATGGGCAGCTCCTCCCAGTTGATGCCGAGGCGGCTGATCTGCGTGTCGAAGTAGGAGAAGTTGCGGCCTTGCAGGAGCGGGTCGTCAGAGAAATCGATGCCGGGGACGATGTGCGAGGTGCAGAAGGCGACCTGCTCGGTCTGCGGGAAGAACTCGTCGACGTTGCGGTTGAGCTCGAGGACACCGATCGTGCGCGGCGGGACGAGGTCCTCAGGCCAGATCTTGGTGGCATCCAGAATGTCAAACTCAAAGTCGTCCTGTTTCTCCTCGGGGATGGTCTGGATCTGCAGGTCCCACTTGGGGTAGGCACCGTTGTCGATGGCTTCCATCAGGTCCTTGCGGTGGAAGTCGGGGTCCTGGCCGGCCAGCTTGAGGGCCTCATCCCAGACGAAGGAGTGAACACCGAGGTGGGGGGTCCAGATAAACTTGACGAAGTGGCGCTTGCCCTCCTTGTTAATGAGGGAGTAGGTGTTTACGCCGAAACCTTGCATCATGCGATAGGAGCGGGGGATGGCACGGTCCGACATGGCCCACATGAACATGTGCGTGGCTTCGGGGTGGAGGTAGCAGAAGTCCCAGAAGTTGTTGTGTGCGGTCTGCGCCTGGGGCACTTCGTTGTGCGGTTCGGGCTTGACGGCGTGGACTGGGCCAGTTAGTGGGGTTGGTTTAACAAGGCGGAACTGACATACCGAAATCGGGGAACTTGATGGATTCCTGAATGAAGAAGACGGGGATGTTGTTGCCAACGATATCCCAGTTGCCCTCATCGGTGTAGAACTTCACTGCAAAGCCACGGACATCACGGACAGTATCGGCACTGCCTTTGCTGCCCTGGACAGTCGAGAAGCGGACGAAGACTGGTGTGTTGCGGGATGTGTCATTGAGGATGTTGGCGTAGGAGACGTCTTCGCAGCTCTCGAGGAGCTTGAAGTTTCCGAAGGCACCAGTGCCACGCGCATGGACGACTCGCTCGGGAATGCGCTCATGGTCGAATCGGTGAATCTGGGGGCGTGATTGGTCAGTAACCTAATTCGCTTCGAGGTGTGAGGGCAGGATCAATCTACCTTCTCACGGGCGATCTGGTCCTCCAGCAAAGAGGGACCAGTGTGATCGCCATCGACAGCCTTCAGCCAATTGTCAGTGTTGCTGATGGGGACGCCGTGGTCGGTGGTCTGGCGCTGTTCGGTGGTGACATCGACCATGTCACGCTCGAGGTCTACGGCCTTCTTATTCTTGTTGGAAGCGCTCTTGACGGCCTCTTGGGCGCGCTCAAGGCCTCCTGCGACGATGCTGGCCATAATGGGTGTGAAAAGGCAAGTGAGGGTTGATTGCACTTGGGAGAATGTGGGAGAAGGGCAAATACGCAGGTCGCGGGGACATGGCTGTTATTAAAGCACCTGGCAACCCACCAAGCTGCCTTTGGCGCGGCTCGCCATGGATAGTGGTGGGTAATTAGGAGCATCTGGTTGGTGACATTCAAGACTTGGAGGGTTGTGCGGGGGAAAAGAGAGGGAGAAAGAGAGGCTGTGGTGCTGTAACCATGACGTGAGCTGTGAGGGAAGAGCGGGAGACGTCACTCTGACAACCCAGCCCTAAGAACTCGTAACCCACCCATCCGACCCTCGTCTCCCTCTATGCCGCATCTTCTCAATCACCTTAACAGGGTTGTGTCGTCCATTCCAGGTTCTCCGCCGATCTAACCTCGGGCTGAAATAGAGACAGAGTCATTGGCGGGCTGGGTTCCCTGTGGTTGGCGATCATCCAAGCACATGGTGAACCAAGTTTGCGTGGGTCTCGCAGTTATAGTTACTCGTAGTAAGGTTAGATAAGCATATAAACGCAATCCTTCAGTGGTAATCAGTATCACCCAGATATTCTTTGGTAAACCATGAATCAAGCAGGGCACTAGCCAGGTTCCTATGCTGGTAACTACGCAGATCATCGAGGCCCACCTTCCATCAGTTATTGAACAGGTGGGAGCCCCAGGCCCGGCATTTGTAAGCCCGGGTCTGGAACATTGCTGCTGCACCGATTGCGAGCTGCGACCGTGCTCTCGCCAACGGGTGGTTCTGCAGACTGAACCATGATTGCAGCATGGCAAGCAATGAGAAACTGCACACAAAGAATGACATTGGCAGTGAGGCGAGACCGCCGTTGAGGCTATCTCTCAAGGGGAGATAAAGCGGGAAAGTCGGCATTCCTGCAGCTCCACCGGCGGGGGTCAGCGACAACCCCGCCATCCCGCCTGTCAGAACAAAACCCAGGCATCGAAATAATTACGCAAGTTGACTTTCGTTCACTGCTGCACACGAACTTTCAAGCACAATGCGTGAGAGAATCCAACAGCTCGACATTGAAGGTCGCCAGGGCCACGATGCCATCTTCGAGGCCTCCTATCTGGATGACATCCCGGCCGCCTTGACTGAGTGGAAAGCGGCGCGCGTCCTTCTTGTCGTCAGCACCAGCCTCGACACGAAGACCTCGGTCATTCGCGATCTCGAGAAGAGCCTATCAAACTACCAGGTCTACAAGAAAGTCGGAGTCGGCAGTCACTCGCCCTACAGTGACATCATCGACATCGCACACAGAGTCCAAGACCATGACATTCAAGCCGTTGTCTCTATTGGTTCGGGGTCCTACTCGGATGCGTGCAAAATCGCCGTCATGCTGAGTGCTACGCTCCCCTCGGGATTCGGGGAGGACGAAATGGAAGCCTTGGTGGACCAGAAGCGAGGCCTGGCTGGACCGGACACCGTCAAGGCTCCCGTGACCAAGCTGATCTGTGTGCCAACGAGCCTCAGTGCGGGCGAGTGGAACTCCTACGCGAGCGGGACCAATGCCACAGGGAAGAAACAACATTATATGCATCCGGAGGGGGCCCCGTCCTTGATCCTGATGGATCCCACGGTCGCACGAACCACCCCGTCGCACCTGTGGCTGGCGTCGGGCATGCGCGCCGTCGACCACTTTGTGGAGAGTCTCTGCCGCCCCGAGTGTCATGAAGAGGCTGCGACTCATATCAAGAAGGGGTTGCCGCTGTTGGTGCGAGGCCTGAAGGAGTACCACGAAGGACAAGAGGATGGCAACGAGGACGAGTTGCTAAAAGGGATTGCAGAGAGTCAGCGCGGGTCTAGAGATGCCCTGATGCCTTTTATCAAGTGGAAGATTCCTATGGGGGCAAGTCACGCTATTGGCCATCAGCTGGTGAGTTTGGTTGGCACCTGTGCTGGATAGAAGAGCTTGCTGATCGAGGATTGCGACCATAGGGCAGTGTGGCAGGCGTCCAGCATGGTGAGTTCAATCTTTGTCTTGTTTCCTCAAGCCTTCAAGTCTGATGAGCTAACCATTGCCGATAGGCGTGACGGTAAGTCAGCGTCAAGTTCCGCTCCCTTCCTTGCTGTAGGACGCATACTGACTTTTGTCGAGAGCTGCATTCTGCTTACCCCGACGTTACGATTCACGCTCGATAAGACTAAAACGGCGCAGGAGGCGGTTCTCCAGATATTCAACGAGGTGCTTGGGTGTCACGAGGCAGAAGCTGCTGATGCGGTTCATCGGTTCGTCAAGCTGCTGGGACTGCCATCGCGGCTCTCGGAAGTCGGCGTCAGGCAGGAGCAGTTGCACAAGATCGCCGAGCTGACGCTAACTGACGCATTGGCGCACAATAAGGCGCTACCAGATAAGGAGGGGATCCTTGAGATCTTGAACATGGCCAAATGAGAATATGGGAGTAAGTTATGGTGTGGTAGAGGAAGAGATGCCGCGAGTGGTTGCGAATCCGGTGTTGACGCGTTTCGATTCCGGATTGGGTTAGATTGACAGCCACACCAGCCATGACGTCACGAGCTTGGCCACGATCATTTACTCAGACGCATACACTTATATAAATCTCCGTAGGATTGACGTGCGCGTGGTAGACTCTTCTCCTACAACATCACTAATCAACGCTTGAAAAATACAAGTAAACCTCCTACTCTATATTCCATACTCCTCTTCTATACACTGGGCTTTCTTGCCGCATAGCCGAACCAAACCTCCACCAAACCATAAACTCTCCCACGAACCGCCACAACCAAACCACAAGATGCCTTCCTCCCAAGATTCCGGAGTCACTGGCGCGGCAAAGTTTGTCACCGCCACTCTCGGAAATACGGTTGGCGGAGTTTCTCGGACCGTAGGCGGCGTCACCGGAGCTGCAGGCCGAGGGATCGGAGACACCATCACCGGCGCAACAGGCAGTGCGGGCAAACCCGTTGGTGATGCTTTGGGCAATATCGGAAGTGGCGTCGAGGATGGGGCCCGCAAGGTCGCGCAGGGCGTCGAAGATGCTGGGCAGTGGAAGTCTCGGGGGTGGTAGGGGAATACACAATTTAGGAGGAATGCGTTGTAGGGATGTCATTCTGTGAGAGTTATGGATATCATCTTATGATTGTTTATTTTTTTTTTGCTTTTTTTGTAACTAGCGATCAGTAAAGAAATCAGATCCTTCCACTCAGACGTGATTATCTGTGACATTAATGCAATGCCGTCTGTCCACGCCATCTCCGATCCCGCTCATTTATCTCATTCTTAGCGTTGCACAGCTCGAGTACCCTAAGCAGTTCCTCTCGCTCAGCCTGTAGCCTTGTCACCTGCTTCTGGGTGGTGTGCAATCTCGCTAGGAGTTGGTCCAGGGTTTGTTGATTGGTTGCGTTAGCTTGAGCAAGCTGAACCTGCAGATATTCGTTTTTCTGCTCGCAAGTGTCTAGTGTCTCCTGCAGCTTGTCTTTCTTCTTGATGGCCTCGTCTAATTCCATCTGAAGCTCGAATTTGCTGTGCATTGTTTCACGCAACTTATTTTCCACGAAGAATTGTATACTGGTCTGCTCGTCGCGTTCATGCTTATGTTGTCTTCGTTGGCCATTCACAATCGTCAGGAGCATGTTCCTCAAATGAGCCATCGCAACATCGACACTAATCGTCAGCATATCATGCTGCGGATCCTCATCTTGAACCAGCCACGAGCCAACTGCGTCCGTGATTCCAGGTTGAGAGGCAGTATCTTGATCTCTTGCAAGGGCCGCCATATGCAGCAGGTAGTCGCCCAGCGTGGCATCGACGGAACTCTGCGGGGTCCTCAGGTCAAGACCCCGCAGAAAGAGCCCGAGGTCTTCCAGCGAATATGCTCGGCTGCCGCTCTGGTTCATGGTCTGGTGAGCATTGGTCCAGCCGGCAGGGGATCCAGTCACGTTTGTGTTGGCGGACGCCTCACTCACTGTCCTTGACCCCGATGCCCCGGGCCAGGACGAGGATGAGAGTGTTGACGCACTACTGGGACCGGGTTCTGGTACAGGCATATTTGCTCGGATCTAGGCGGATCAGCTTTAGAAGGCAGTGTGGGATATCGAAGGTGCTTTTGATGGATGTGATGTAAGCTTTGAGGACGGTGATGAGAGGATGGGATGGATGGGAGCAGAAGTGAAGTGAGGACACTGTATATGAAGACCAGATAGGACGGGATGAGCCTCCCCACCAAAGCTGAATGGTGGGGTGTTTGCCAGTTTGCTACGTCTAAAAGCTCAGCATGGTTGACAGCAACTCGAGCAAACAGAATACCGCCAGCTGGTGGCTCGATCGTTCGCTGGCACCCACCTTACCCAACGACTCCAGCAAAGAGGACGGTCTCCTAGAGAGCTATTTAGAATGGAGTGGCTTTGTGTTCGAAGGCTCGTCGCTCAATGAAAAGGACTTCCTCACTCTGAATACAGCATTAATACTTCACGACTTGAGCTATGGCAGAAAAGGAAGATTCTGGGAGAATACATCGATACTAAGGATCTATTGGCAAGCTAAAGCTACCTGCTTTCACATACAAAGGAGGGTCAATCACGACGCGGCGGTGAGAACTCGATGCTTTGTCTGCGCCTTGTCGCCTAGCCAAAATATTGTACTGTATAGGAGAGCGCTATGCCGCTGGGAAAAAGGCAAAAATGGCCCTCAAAATAGCTTAGAAGCTAAAGTCCCCGGGGGAAAATAAAGTGGCAGGGATGACGTCGGGTGGATCCTTTGCGGGAAGGTCTAGGACAGGGACATACGTATACGTTCGAGGAGGTAGGACAGCCTTGTGTGGGGGCTTGGAGTGGGCAGTGGGGCTGGGTAGATCTGCTGTAGCATCACGAGCTGATACTGAGCATCTTCACCTCTGGATGATGCTTGACAGGCACGATAGACACTTAATCATCTTTGCCTCTTTGATGAGGCTTGTCTCGGACCCTTTCTTGTTGCCACACTTTAATTGCGACCCACTAACTGCAACGAGTTTAGCGAGCATCCGGCATTCTGCAGCCGGACTCCGCTCCGGTCCGATGGATCTCCGAGCAGAAAAAATGGGCAGAAAAAATGAGGCGGACGGGCACTCCCACGACCAATGGAGGCGCAGGCGGTGAGGCTCTACGATGCCGGGACAGCCGTGCTGATCAATCCCGCCTATGAGAGGTGGCAATGCCCCGTTGCATCGCCAATTGATGACTTCCAGCTGGCCCGCCCAGAGCCTCGCCCATCTTTCTTCCCCTCCTGCATTCCTCCGCCTCTGTCATTCTTTCTCCCTCATTTACTCCTCCAATTCTCGGTCGCTTATCGCGTTCCTCACGAACTTCGTGTTCCTCTCCCCTCCAGCTTCGTGCTCGGCCTATTCTTTCCTTCTTACCACCAGCAGTTCGAGAATCCATCTACTTCCGGTCGGTCGCATCCACTCCTATTGCTCTGCTCGTCCCACTCAGAAGCTCTCCGCTCTGCAAACCCAATCAACCACTTCACTCACCTCCACATTCTGGAAATCGGTCTGACGTGCAAGAATTTCTCTAGGCTGGCTCTATTCTTATTCGACGACAGCACCAGCGAGCTCCCTCACCGTCTCTCCGAGGCCTGCGCTGGCCGCGTCGAACCGGTGCTCGTCAATCCCGACCGGTCCGATGCTTACCGTCTGTCGCTCGTGATAACCCGGGAATAAACCCACGACCCAGATGGATAGCTACGACGGCAAAGGGGAGAATGGGCTGGAACGAGCCTCGAGCGAAGTCCCGCCCCTCCCCAGTAGCTCCGAGGCGGACGCGAATAAGAAATCCACCAAGCGCGCGCGATGGGCCACCAAGAGAATGACCGCCGCCTCGGGCCTGCGCAAGAGAGTCTCCATTCTCGAACGCGGGCGCCGACAGAACCAGACGGATACAATGGCGAGTGCGACAGCAGGCGTACCGGAAATCGCCGAGGGAGAATCGGGATCGCGCAAAGTTCATTTCAACCTTCCTATTCCGGACGAGGAGCGGGACGAGGAAGGCAATCTCAAGGCCGTCTATCCGAGGAACAAAATCCGCACTGCCATCTACACCCCGCTCACCTTCATCCCCAAGAACCTCTGGCTGCAGTTCCACAATATCGCCAACCTGTACTTCTTGTTCGTCATCATTTTGCAGTGCTTCGAGATTTTTGGGGACGCCGATCCCGGCCTGAGTGCCGTCCCGCTGATCGTCATCGTCGTCGTCACCGCCGTCAAAGATGCCATCGAGGATTGGCGACGAACCGTGTCCGACAACGAACTCAACAACTCTCCGGTTTATCGCCTGACGGATTGGGACAACGTGAACGTGACTGCCGACAATGTTTCCGTCTGGCGTAAGTTCAAAAAGGCTTGCACCCGGGCTGTTATTACCAGCTATCGAGGCATGAAGCGTCTATTCCGCAAGAACGGGGCCGACAAAGATGTGGCGGGTGACGTGGAAATGGCGGATGCTAGGCCCTCTGTTGAGCCGACCTCGCCGATCGCGATCGAGATGACGGCAGTTTCCCCTACCATGGAGGCCCGTGCTTCTGGCGACTGGCCCGATCCCATGAATGATCACGACCAGCAGGCCTACTCGCCGTGGGCACGGACCAAGGGTAGTGTCGTGAATCCGAAACGGGTAACCCCGGGGAAGGCGCGGTTCAAACGCCAACATTGGAAGGATGTCAACGTGGGTGATTTTGTGCGATTGTACAATGGTGACCAAATCCCCGCCGACATCGCCATTCTCTCCACCTCCGACCCGGACGGAGCATGTTACGTCGAAACCAAGAACTTGGATGGAGAGACGAATCTCAAGGTGCGCAATGCCTTAAATTGCGGTCGCGTGTTGCGGAATGCTCGAGATTGCGAGAAAGCCGAGTTCACCGTCGAATCGCCGCCCGCGCATGCCAACCTCTACTCCTTCAGCGGTGCTATCTATTGGGATCAGTATGACGAATCCGGAGAGGCCCCGCAGAACCGCGTGGAGCCCGTCACGATCAACAACATTCTGCTTCGAGGCTGTAGCTTACAAAACACCGAGTGGGTGTTGGGTGTTGTGCTTTTCACCGGACCGGAGACGAAAATTATGCTGAATCAGGGTCTCACGCCAAGCAAACGCCCACAAATGGCGCGCAACATGAACTGGAACGTGGTCTACAACTTCGCCATCCTCTTCATCATGTGTGTGATCTCTGGATTCATCAACGGCTTTGCCTGGGGCCTGGACGATGCCTCACTGACATTCTTCGAGTACGGCTCCTATGGTGGCACACCTGCCGTCCAAGGTGTCATCGCCTTCTTCGTGGGAGTGGTCCTCTTTCAGAACTTGGTCCCTATCGCCTTGTACATCTCACTGGAAATTTGCCGCGTCATTCAGGCTCTCTACATTTACTATGATATCCATATGTATTACGAGCGCTTGAAAATGTCCTGTGTGCCCAGGTCTTGGAACATTTCTGATGATATCGGTCAAATCGAGTACATCTTCTCTGACAAGACCGGTACCTTGACGCAGAACGTTATGGAGTTCAAGAAATGTACCGTCAACGGCGTGCCTTATGGTGAGGCATACACCGAAGCGCAGCTGGGCATGCAGCGTCGACAGGGACTGGTGAACGTGGAGGAGGAAGCTGCCAAGGCTCGTCAGAGAATCAGTGAGGCACGTGTGGAAATGATTCAACAACTGCGCCAGCTTCATGATAATCCGTACCTGAAGGAGGAGAACTTGACCTTCGTTGCTCCCCAATTCGCAGCTGATCTGGGCGGTGCCTCGGGAGAGGCCCAGCAGCAGGCCGCGATAGATTTCATGACTGCTTTGGCGTTATGTCATACAGTAGTCACGGAGCGCATTCCCGGCGACCCTCCCCAGATTGAGTTCAAGGCACAATCGCCGGACGAGGCTGCCCTGGTTGCCACGGCCCGCGATTGCGGATTCACTACTCTCGGCCGATCGGGTGAAAGCTTGATCTTGAATATCATGGGTGACGAGCGTAGGTATACTATCTTGAACATCCTGGAATTCAACTCCACCCGTAAACGAATGAGTGTGATCGTGCAGATGCCTGATGGTACCATTCGTTTGCTATGTAAGGGTGCCGATACAATGATCTACTCCCGCCTGGCTCCCGGTCAGCAACGCAAGCTACGCGATGCTACCACGAGGGATCTCGAGACTTTCGCCCAAGAAGGTCTGCGAGTGCTTTGCATTGCTGAGCGCACCATTGAGCCTGAAGAGTACCGCGAATGGAGTGTCATGCACGACGCCGCTGCCGCTGCCATTGTGGACCGTGAGGAGAAATTGGAAGAGGTGTCCAATGCTATTGAGCAGAATTTGTATCTTCTTGGAGGTACTGCCATTGAAGATCGTCTGCAGGACGGTGTTCCTGATACCATCTCCCTCCTTGCGGAAGCAGGTATCAAACTCTGGGTTTTGACCGGCGACAAGATCGAAACCGCCATTAACATTGGTTTCTCCTGCAACCTCCTTAACAACGACATGCAAATGATTGTATTTGATGCTCCCTCCGACATCGACATGGCCGCCAAGTTGCTTGATAGCAAACTGGAGATTTTCGGTATCACGGGCTCGGATGAGGAGCTGGAGGCCGCTCGCAAGGATCACTCACCGCCTCCACAGACCCACGCTCTCGTGCTGGATGGTGATACTCTTCGCTTCATGTTAGATGACGCCTTGCGGCAGAAGTTCTTGCTTCTCTGTCGGAAGTGCAAGTCGGTGCTTTGTTGCCGTGTCAGCCCCGCGCAGAAGGCTGCCGTGGTGGAAATGGTCAAGAACGGTTTGAACGTCATGGCTCTGGCTATCGGAGACGGTGCCAATGATGTTTCTATGATCCAGAAAGCCGATGTAGGAGTGGGTATTGCTGGTGAGGAGGGTCGTCAGGCTGTCATGTCGGCCGATTACGCGATCGGACAGTTCCGGTTCTTGCAGCGGCTAATTCTGGTCCATGGACGATGGGCCTATCGCCGTCTTGGTGAGACCACCGCCAACTTTTTCTACAAGGTTAGTCGAACAATCTGTCTCGTTGTGTTTTGGCGGTTCCCAGTAGACGGAGAGTTGCTGACTTTTTGGTAGAACTTGGTCTGGACCTTTACCCTATTTTGGTATTCTATCTACGATAACTTCGACGGAACTTATCTATTCGAATATACATATATTACCTTGGTCAACGTGGCGTTCACGTCACTGCCAGTCATCTTCATGGGTATCTTTGATCAAGATGTTGACGATCGGGTCTCCATGGCCGTCCCACAACTTTACATGCGTGGTATCGAGCGGAAGGAGTGGACGCAGACGAAGTTCTGGTGAGTAGTGCTCAAGAGGCCCACTTGGTGCGTTTGTTGAAATCAACGCTAATGATTTGTCCAGGATCTACATGCTCGATGGATTCTACCAGTCGGTTATTTGTTTCTTCATGCCCTATATGTTGTATCAAGTTGCCAATTTCCAAACGGAGAATGGAATGGGCATCGATGACATCTATCGCGTTGGTGTTCTTGTGGCCACCTGTGCCGTGGTCACGAGTAATACCTACGTGATGATGAACATGTATCGCTGGGATTGGTTCTCGACGTTGATCAATGCGATCAGTTCGCTGTTGATCTTCTTCTGGACCGGTATCTATTCGTCCTTTGAATCATCCGCTACCTTTTATGGTGCCGCAAAGCAGGTCTATGGGGCGTTGTCCTTCTGGGTCGTGTTTTTGCTGACCGTGGTAATCTGCCTGACACCGCGCTTCGTCTGCAAATGCATCCAGAAGGTGTACTTCCCCATGGACGTGGACATTATCCGAGAGAAAGTCATTCTAGGCCACTATGACTATTTGAAGCAATACGAGGCCTATGTGCCACCGGATGCCGGTAAGCTGGCGGGCTCGTCAGAGAGCGAAGCATCCGCCGCTACCTCGGACCCGGAGAACATCCACCAGACAATTGTGCCGCGGCACTATCCGGGTGGAGACAACGTGGATCGCACGGCGAACTCGACGCCGGTGGCGCCCCTCGTCGATAGCCATGGCGCGCCGACTCGCCTCGACAACAGCCAATTCACGAGCGCCAACAGCAGTGTTGCCTTCGGCCTCCAACGCAACACATCCTGGGACAGCGCCAGCCGAGAGCAATCGGTGCTGTCCGGCCCAGTTCTCCCGGTCGACTCCACGAGCATGGAGCCCCAACAACCGCACAGCCCTCTGAAAAGTCGAGGCGATCCCCCCTCGACATACCCTGTATAGAAAACGTTTTTTTTTGTTGGCTATTCCCCTATGCCCCTTCGCAAATTCCCCTTTTGATTTCCCACACAGTATCTCCGGGGCCCCGTTGACTCTGCGCCCCCTTATAAATACCTCACCCTCCTGATCCGCACAAAAGCTCTTCAGCCCCCTGCGACCGATCTCTTCTTATATTCCCCCGGTTGATTTATTCCTTATAAATTCTTTCCGTCATTTAATGTCTTATTGAAGCGCAACTTGCCTTGCGCTGCTGTTGATACCGATTTCGTCGATATATCTCGCACATATTGAGTTAATGTAACATAGAGCTTCCGCCAATAGCACTTACAATTCTTTCATCAATTCATATCTACACTCCAGCCTATACACCGCGATGCTAGAGGGTCACATGGGTAAAAGGTATCACAGAATCAGCCCTGCCTCTTTCAACAGAGGAGATACTTTCCACCAGCGCCGCGCCGGCCTCTGCAACCTCAGCTGCCGAAGATGCACTTTTCGTTGAGACTCTCCACCTACTCTGCGATTTGTCGACAAACATCACTTCGGGTCTCCTCGAGGCACTCAACCTTGTAATGGTGGTTGTTGTCGTCAATCGCAGCGCTATTAACTCTGGGAAGCCCTGCCAAGTCCAGTTTGTTTTCGAGAACTTTCATCCTGTGCAAAAGTAGCCCACTGAGAATGTTAGACTTCATTAACACAATTAGTTCTTGCACCTACGTCTTTTCATCTATCCTCTCGACTGTACGCCCCACTGCTCGTGCATTAGCATAGACCATCAGCGATTTATGTATTCTCCGACTCACCTTGCACCACTTCATCCTTGATCCGGCCAACCCACGGTGGTATAGCATCTACACCCCGCGATTTCAGAGAAAGAAGGAGCTCGCGTACATATGCCGCAGCGGTCGAGGCAGCATATTTCCGCCAATGCTCATTCTTATGCGAGTCCGCATAATTCTCAATGCCACGAATGACAAGACAAGGGAGGTTATTCATTACCACAGCAGATTCCATGTCGAAGCACAGAACCTTCAGCTCTGGATTGTGGGCGTAGAAGTCCCGCGTAGCAGCATCCTTGACCACTGAGTTTCCGATGCGATTGTTCCATGATGCACGGCTATCACACGCCGACTCCGGCGCTGTGGTCTCTGCACAGTCTGTTTGACATCGCACTTCTCGCAGGTCTTCCCCTCATGCTGATACTCAGCACAATACAAATCATCCCGCTGCGGTCGCTGATACCCCGCCATGTCGTCCACAAGCCGGATATGCTCAGCGACAAAATCCGGCTTCCTGGGATCATTGTACCGCCGCCGCTTATCCCCAACGACTGAGAGCAGCTTATCTGGCGGGGCATTCAGCTGCCCTGTCATCTTGAACCGACCGCCTGGCAGGCGATTCTCCAGATCATACTGAATGACACCCCCGAGTGCTCCTCGCGGCGTGCCAACCACCACATCGCCCAGCCGGATATCCGTCTCCGACGTCGGAGCCCCGCCTCCAAAGCCTACCATCAACGCGAACCGCAGGTGTGGAAACGTCCTCACCATATCACTCGCAACGCGCGAGGCAGACTCTGTACCATACCGACCGGGCGGCAGAAAACTCACGACGACCCATGGTTTCTGATTCTACCGAAAGCGTAGGTGTTGTTGTCGCCGTCTGAGAGCGTCTCGGGACCAGCGTACTGTATCTAGCATGCGGCATGCACATTCGTATTCTTCCTCCAAGGCGCATATCTAGCCTACTGTGTAGTAGTCCGGCGAGTCTTGAACCTCGACCTCTGTTCCCGCCAGTCTCTCCGGGGTGGTGGCGCGTGGAGATGCCTTTTGTTTTAGCATATTGCATTCCTCCTGCACAGCTTTCTCCAATGTCTTCCAGCAGTCGCGATCGAATACTATTACTCTTATGGTAAGCTATTTTCTTCGTCAGTTGGACCCAGAAGTCGCACGCCTTTGTTACTCACGTCGGGTTTATCGGTATCGTTCCGACCAGACTATAAGTTAGGGTTGTTCTAACTTCCTAGAGCAGGCGCCGGGCGCGAGCTTAAGTTATAGGACCTGCCAGAAGCCATAGTAGCTAAAAGTGAGGTACCGCAGGCAGGTGGGAGCATAGCGGCCGGCGCTTGATACGACAACTTCATTGGTGCCGGAGAATAAGATATCGGAACAGCAGTTTCATGCATGCCCAGTGCGGGATGTCCGACACTTAGTCCTTTCTGTACCTCAGCTTCGCTAGCCCTTGTTCAGGCGGCAAGGCTGAGAAGAGGTACAATTCTTGGAGTGAGAAATGCATGACTGGCTCTTACATCTTTCCTGGGTGGTCAGAATCATATCTTTTTTTTTTTTTCCTTGTTTCTTTTTCTTTTCTAGTGGGGGTGCACACGCGTATGTCCGTGTCAATCTTGACATCTATAATAAAACCTACCACAGCTCTGAGGGGGGTTAAAGCGTTCCAGGAAGGTTCTTCAATTCAACGAAGCCTCAACATAACAACCTACATTTGGCGGGCTCAATTAGGTTCATGGAACTTGAAATAAATTGCATTGAATGGGCGCGGCTCTGATAAGTCCAGGTTGTGACCAAGTCAGGCATTTCCTGGAGACGCAAAGGGTTTATAGATTTAAATCTTCAGTATAGTGAGGCTATCGACCGTGTATCTGCGCACTCCCCGCGCTTCAGCGATACGCATATCAACTAACAGACATAGAATTGTGACAAACAATCGCCCTGGGCTCGACCGACAACCCATGATAAAATGTGTCTCCTTTCGCCTACTAAAAGCTCTCGACACCAGACCACAAGAGAATGAGGCTTCAGTGGCCGACTGCACTGATTCCTCCGGAGGTTCACAATAGCCGGGAATTCCAGAGGCTCAACTCAGCAGGTGTCATCATTGTGATTGAACCGGAACACCAAACCTTTGGTCTGGTCATACGTGTAATACGCATTGTACTTGGACGAGTACGCCACGCCACTGCCCTGCTTGACGATCTGGTAGTTCTGTACCGAATGGTGCTCCGCATCGTAGGGGGGAGAGTACGTCCACGTCTGATCGTAGTTGCCGACGCTCGAGATCTGGTATTTCTTGCCGCTGGCCAAGCCCACCCCCGTGCCCTTCTGATTGACGTGGCCCTTGTAGGTCACTGCACCGGTCTTCTCATCGGTGCTCTGCGTGTAATGGCCATCCCAGGTGACCGAGAAGTGGACCTGTTCGGTGTCGGGGCCGATGGGGTAGCAGGGGGGAACTGTCTGGGTGTAGTCCCAGGAGCCCTCGTACTTCACTGGGGCGGCTCGAGCGTCAAGAGGGACCACGGCGGGGACAGCAAGGGTGGAGGCGATGAAGATGGAGAAAAGAACAGTCTTGAAGTGCATTGTGGGAGATGATGTTGATGTTTGGTATTGGATCTGGTTCTGTACTTGATGGGTACGCTGTTGTCGAAGGTTGAGATCGAGAAGAAATATCCCTAGTTTATATAGCCTCAACCGCTACACAGAACCCTCATTGGATCCTGCCATGCCCTTTTGATAGAGTATTCTGGACTCGCCATAGTTCTGGTATCTGCTGCTTGAGTCTTGACGTCAGGTGTAGAGGCATCGAGGCAGTGCTATCATGCATGAAAACAACAGGTCCTATACTCCACAATTTCCTGAATTCACAAGTTAGCATGGCTCAAGTGACCTTTGACATATGGCTAGACACACTTAATTCAAGGTGAGCAGCAACCGAACCTCAACACTATGTGCAATTACCATGACTCGAACCCTGGTTCGGGTAAGTGGAGACTAGATCTTGTAACCGTGTTGAGTACAATGGCTAGATCCAGATCGTCAACCTTATCTGCTCATCACACTACAATCGAAATGCTGGGGCTGTGCAGAGTCTTTTAAGCTCTTGAACCATGTTCTATTAATCCAAGATTCGACAGGTTTACAGATCCTCATTGGCAGGTGAAACGTGGTAGTAATGCATGGCATAACGTGATATTGTGTTATGCTTTCGGCCGTGGCAAGTCAGCATTGGCAGTCCAGGCCCTCGAAAAGAAGAATATCTATCCCGCTCTTCAGTACGGTGCGGTTGCCTCCACCTCATTCGCCTCCTGGGCCTAGAATTCCCCACCTTTTCAGGAATGCGGTTCTAGGCTTTACAGCAATGGACTGTTGCCAAGCATTGTACCGCATTCCTTCACGGGCTTCTTCCAACACGTGAAGCGTGGCTGTTGGTCCATTCCATGGCTTGTTCTTGGGGACTTGATCCACAGGGTGCAGCTTACGTATATGATCATCCATACCGGACAATGTGAGGACAAGAGCATAGATCCTGCCAAGTCCCAAAGGATCGGAGCTAAGCAACCCGCTATATCCGACCCGAGATGCAATCTCACCTTAAGATGACAGCACTGCTTAACAAGCCAACTCCACCATTCAATAGGCATAACTCTAGCTACAAGGAAACACCACGATGCCATCTTCTAGAGGTTGTCAAACCTGCAGGATCCGCCGCATAAAAGTACCTTTATCCCCAGCCCCTCCTCTCCCCCGCACCCCCAAACCACAATCTAACACAATACGGGCAGTGCGACCAAACCCACCCCATCTGCCAACGCTGCCGAACCTCCCACCGAACCTGCCACGGCCTCTCCACCTCCCCCATTATTCACCATGAAAACCCTTACGCAAGTGGACAACGCAAGCGACCGCGTGGGCCGAGGAGCAGCGTGAGCAGCAGACCCCGAGCCGCCGGCACCAGTAGTACTAGTACAAGTACAAATACTACCACCATCGTGTACCTCCAGCCCCAACCCAGCCTACATTCCCAGGCTATAGCCTTCTACCTCCACCAACATACCCCCTCATCCCCTTCCCCTCCCTATCCTAAGAGAGGAAGTGACTTCATCGCAAGCCTAACAGAAACCTACCTCCCCACCCTGACCCTCTCTTCCTCCACCTCCCTCTCCACCTTCCAGTTCATCAACTCAACCCTTCTGGAAAAAGCATTCACTTCCCTCGCACTCGCGTACTTCGCCCGGGCGCAAAACTGTCCACCCGCACGAACGGAAGCAGCGCGTGCCTATTCCGCGGTGCTGCGCGAGGCGCGAAGTACCCTCGCTTCCATAAGCGTTGCCACTGGGGCTAGGATCGATGGATTTGGCATCGATGTCCTCCTGTTGATGATCTTTTTTATGAGTCGGTACGAGGATACCGTTCACTCGCGGTCTGTCTCCTTGAGATTCCGTGGGGGAGCGGGCAATCCACGTGGTTCTGGGGATGGTTCGCCAAAAGGATTGCGGTCTGGGATGTTGGCAAGCTTCGCGCATCACGACGGGGCGGTGGCTGTTCTGAGGGTTTGGGTTGATACTTGCCGCTGTCGCGGAGGGCATATGGGAAGGGGGGCGATACCCTCGGAGGTGGTGAAGCTGACGAGGCGGGCGGTGATGAGGTCTGCCCTTATGCGGGGGATGATGTTGCCGGAGTGGATGCACTCCGGGGAAGTGTTTGAGGAGGGAACTGGCGGCGTGGAGGAGAGGTTGGATGCGCTGGCGGTTAGGGTTGTGGAGTTACGGGGAAGAAGTGTTGCGCTGGGTGGAGCTGGGGCGGACTCGGGTCAGACATCATGCGAGGAACGTTGGTTTGGGGCTGCCGCTGCTGCGAAGAGGGTCTATTCGGAGGGGAAGAGGGTGAGGAGTGCGTTGGAGGCGTGGAAGGGCGGGGTGGATTGGATTCAAAGGGAGATGGTTGCGGCAAAGGAGAAAGTGTACTACTTCCCTACCCTGGCACAGGCGGTTCTATGGTGCCATTACTTGACGCTGGCCATGTTGAGTGAGAGTGTTTGTCTGAGGGTCTTGGAGTTCGTGAAACACGAAATCACCGGGTCCGGGGCGGCCGGCTGGTGCGACCATCTTGCTGCGAGAGATTTGGCTGCTGCTCATGAGGTAGACTTGAAGACTCTGGCCAGGCAGTTGATGGCCTCGGTACCATTTGTTCTGGGACAGGTACAGATTACGGAGAGTGCGGCATGGGGGGTGTGCAATGCGACGTGGGATAAGACGCTGCCGCCCTCGCCGTATAGGGCTAGTTTGCTGGTGTGGCCATTGACGGTGGCTTCGGGGATAGACAGGCTAGAGGAGCAGCAGCGATGGTTCAAGGCACAGCTGGGGTACTTGGGGCGAGTGACAGGCGTTGGGGTCTTGGAGTGTGCTGAGGGAGAAGAGTGGCTGACTTTCTAGCTTGACCTATGCTATAGATTATTCAACGTGTAGTGGGGATAGTTTGTCAGATCGTATGTTGGATGAACGGCGTCCATTATTCTAGCATAGCACAGAAGATACAAACACGTTTGCCAATACCTAGGCCCCAATCATCCGCGTGGCCCGAAGCACAAGATAGATCTGCTCCACCCCCAGCCTCATAGCTCTCTGCGCCGCAAGCAGCGCCGCCACCCTGACGGTGTTCTTGATCTGCCGTCCATTGATCGCGACCAGTGCCAGCTGTTGAAACTCCTCATCGGTCAAGGCATGCTGACACCTGACACGGGCCATACACCGTCGCCAGATCTGTTCTTTCGCAGCCACACCCAGGTCCGGATAGTGTAAGGTGAGGTGGATCCGACTCTGAAAGGCTCGAACGATCGCGTCCGCACGGTTTGAGGTCATGATCATGATCCCACGGTAGTATTCGAGGCATCTAGAGGACGATTAAACCCGATCAGTACGCTGGAAAGAAAGCTATAAGACAAGCAGAACTCACCGAAGAAAAACAGCCACCACCTCATTCTGCTGGAACTGACTGCCCGATCGTTCCTCCAGAAACACATCGCATTCATCGAATAAGAGCACCGTTCCCATTCCTCCGTGAGCTCCAGCACCGTGTTCAGCCGGCACTCCACGTTCTCCGCCTGCTGGCCCAACTCGCCCGCGCTCATGGCATACAGCGGCTTGCGCACCTGATCAGCAATGACCTCGGCGGTCAAGGTCTTCCCCGTTTCCGGGCTCCCAACCAGAAACATGATAATACCTTGCCCTTTGCCCTCGATGACATCGTCGAAGACGTCTCTGTGCCCTGCTTGATCCTCGACGAAAGACAGGACCAGATCCTTGTAGCCGGAGGGAAGCATCAACGACGAGAACGCGGTGTCGTTCCACGCGATGGGGACGATGTCGTTGACGTTGAAGGCACCCCAAATCTTGTGCTGGAGCGAGTAGCCCAGCACCTGTGGCTCACAAAGGAGAAGGTCCGCCTCTGTGAGTACTTTGTCTTTCCCTTCTGAGTAGGTGAATGAAAGCAGTATACGCCGACCTATATCCGTGGTGGGTACCTAAGGCGACTCACCAGCTTCCGGACCCGCAGCAGGACCTGGCCTTGCAGAGAACCCCTGGGGGGTGTTGTAACGCTCGGGTGTAATGAAGCAGCTTTGTGGTACACGAGCAGCCGGATTGAGAGACCTCTCTAGATGCTTGTCATCGGCCACAGCAATCCTTGAGCCGTTGACTCCGCATTCAGGAGCTCAAGGGGAACGCCCTTGGTCGGATTGGCGTGCAGATACTCGTCCGCGTCGACGACAATGCGCCCCTCCATCTAGAATCAGACGACAATAATCAGTTTAGCTAGTTTCCAAGAGATTCATAATTCCCAAGAGAAAAGACAAACATCAACCACCTACATATCTCTGATACTGGGTCTCCGCGGTCCCGTATCGCATCACCCCAGAATAAGCCATATAATGCCGCCCCGCGAGCTCACGAAACCGTTTCCCGCGCGCAAGCGCTTTGGTCTCTGCCTCCTTCTGGGCTGGATGGAAGGACGCCGGATACACAACCAGCCCTCGAATCTCACGCGTGCCGGAGAACCAGTCCACGCGGAGCTTTTGATGGCAATACCCGAAGCGCGCGCCATTCCAGTCGACCGAGCGCGCGGCCATCTCGAAGTATTCCTGATCTTTGGGACCGTAGTAGTTCGAACTGTCCACACGATAGAAGCATTCGTCGTGCTCGGTATTGTAGAACGGGGCTCTGGACGACAATCGAGTGCAGCGTGAGCGGTCGGGTTCCGGCGTCTTTATCGTGTTTCTTGCTCATGCCCACGATGTGGGCCTTTTGTTCGGTTCTTTGGGGGTCTGCTTCGGGTGGACGGCGGAGGTCGGTTGGGGGGGGTCTCGATCCAGTTCTTGCAGCAGATGAATTTGGGGTCGCCTTCGTAGAGGGTTTGGATGGCGCATTCAGTGTCTTCGATGCGCTGTTCCATAGGTGAAGAGGTGGCTGGCATAGGGGGCTCGTGAAGCATGATTGATGATATGGCGTTTTGGCTTGGCAAGAGACGTGATAGGCGCTGTTGGAGTGTAGCTAAGCTTGTGTTGGAGGGAGGCTGAAAGAATGTGCAAGTTGTGACTTAAGCTGGTTTCAGGCTTTCTTTACCCTGTGTTATCGTGCAAGGAGCAGGACAGTGAATGTGTTGTTTACTGTTTTCCTCCTTCAGTTAATGCTCTCCAACCGCAGCCTGCCGTGTCTTGTACACGGCTCTGAGGCTCATCTTTACCGGCCCTGGACCCTGTTGTACCTCTCTTACATATCGTGTGCGACTAGGATCTATTTCCCCGGTTGTGCAGATTGTCGGGAAAGAGCTTACATTGACTCGAGCAAGCACGTATTACATCTGCCCCTGCTGGGTTACAATGATCAGCTGATTGTGTACTAGGCTTAGCGATACTTGAACGCGTTTACTTGGTGTTAAAAGACTCAGGGTGACATGCAACAAACTATAAACAACCTTGTGAAACAGGTTGATAACGGAACAAATCGTATCGTACAACAACGTCAGGTCTAATTTTTCTTCAACCGGTATTCCCTTTCTCCATCGGCGTTGATGCGGTGCAAGTAGTATGTATCCCTTCCGATCGCCTCAATATTTCCTGACGGCTTTATGCCCCCTTGGGCAGCAGACTTGTTAACGCAGTCAAACGTCTCTTGCGGGACAACCGTGCCTTCTTCTAGTCGCTCCCGAAAGCTGTCACTGTCTATGATACCTGGTGCGTCTGTGCTCATCGTGGCCGTATACATCGCGCTCATCACGCCGTCGCCATAGGCAAAAAGAAGAACCCGAGAGGGCCCTGGCTGCTGATCGTCGGGCATGCCCGAGGCCAAAACACTCGCTAAGGACGCCCACAAGGTGGCGGCATGTGCGTATCCACATATATTCAAGAAGGCAAGGGAGGGGCGGATTCTTTCCTCGTACCTGGCATCGGAAAGGGCGTAGAAAGTGTCCTGCACTTCGTCATCAACGAACCCTCGACCCTGGGCGATTGCCTGAGTGGTGGTATCCATCGAGTCGAAGTGCGCGTGATCTGGATTCGCAAGGAAGTCGAGGTAGAGGAGATAAGCGTAGGCCTTGCGTGTGAGTCGCAGCGACGGGCACTGGAACAGCACGCGCTGGAAGCGATCCAACGTGAGTGCTCGGTTCCTGCGGTCGGGTCGCTCAGTGGCCCCCTGTTCTTGCTGGATCATATCCTGGGATTGAATTTGTCGATAGCACTGCGCGAGGCAGGAGAGGAAGTTCTCGTCGGAAGAAGGTGACGTCGAAGAAGAGTCGTGATGGAATCTCTCGCAGGGGTGTCGGAAGCACAGGGCCCGAGGGCACTCGTCCAGAACCACCGGGGCGTGAGGCCCGATAAGAACGGCCGCCAGAGCAACGCCCTCCTCTTTCTCAGCCTGTTGGACAGAGCCCAGTACTACCAGTCCATCCCTGCCATCCCACTCACTGGAATGGATCCAGTTGACCGTATTGAGGATGGCATCCTGACCTCCCTCGCACCCTGGCACGCTCTGAACCCCGACGATGGATGTGTTTCCAGCGGGGTGAAAGAACGGTTTCAACAAGGATCCAAGAGACCTGGATGCAGGGTCCGCCGAAGTGATAGCGAGCTCCAAGCGCCCAATCGAGCCAGGATGCACAGCCTGAGGCCGGGATCGGAAGAGGGAGGCGAGAACCGTCAGAGCCATGGACTTCTCGTCCTCTCGATCGTCACAGAACACATAACTGTCTCCTGCCTTGCTGTCCCTCATAGCCAGCCTGTCATTCTGCGGTCCCCTTTGTTGAACGCGTCGCGAGGGGAAGTAAACCTCGATGACCTTCACGCCAACAGTTTTCGCTTCGGTAGACATGGGGTACTAAAGATATCTAGATTCTAACCTACTTGATACTTAGCAGAAGCTTTCTTTCCATAGCGGGGTAGACATCTCGTTGTCTTATATAGCCCGAATAGTTGAGTGATGCGAGGTGTCTCTGACATACGGGGACCACACGGGTCCGGGTGTTGGGGCTCTCTATGCGGTCACACCCGGGGGATCGGCAGTTATCAAGTCACATCTCTTCTGGGGCCTCGTTTGATGACGACATCCTATATAAGATAGGCTCCGGCTATTCAGTCACCGCATGCCCTCAAGTATTTCTAGGGAGCTGTACGACACTGGCTTCTTCACCGACCTCTCTTCCCACAAATATAATTCCAGGCGGAGACGTGTTCATCCATAGCCAGCACCATCATCATCATCATCATCATCATCATCATCTACCCCCGCAATGGCACGCCTTCGAAACAAGAAAGGCCCGAAAGAGAGTACGTCCAAGATGACGCAGAAGCCCCCCGATTTTGCATCACTGCTGACCGGACGAAAGGGACCCCAAGCACAGCGCTCCCTCGAGATGGGTTCGGGGAATTTTTGGCCAGCAGGCTGGAGACGCAAGGGGGTCACCACATGTCGGACGCCGAGTTTAGTAAGTGGGCATGGCCAGAGACCGATTCTCAACGAGGTCATCGTGACTCCTAGGTGGAGCTGGGCTTATGCAATTCCAGACGAGCTATACATGCAATGCGCGGCGACGTGGGCCAGTGCGTGCCCACGTCTGAAGAGCCACTATGAGAGGCAAGCTGGTGTGGAGAATCGCCTTCGTGCGAGGGAGGGAAGAGACTCCGGATATTTTTCTGGTGAGGAGGACTAAATGGGATCGGTAGGTGGCTATGGCTTTGACCGCTGCCTGCATACGTAGGGGTAGTCGAAGTGGTTTTCTCTCTGAACTTTCTTGAAGGGTACGAGTGCACATATATGAGAAGCCTGTTGTAGCTGGATGTACCTTGCGTTTTGTTTTTTGAGTGTGACTCATCGCGGTTGGGTCTGCTGGTCTTCCAGATTGCGATGACACACTCAAGTACGGCGAATCAGCAGGGTTAACCGTGAGTTTGATCGGATAAAAGATATACAGCATTTCCACTGTCTGTTCACAAGTAGAGACACGCGTAAGGTGTGAAGTAGCGGCAGAACTGTCGAGGCGATGCTGGGGGACAAATCGGGACCGATGTTCAAAGTGGATAGAGGGCGAAATCCGGGTATACCCTAAGTGCGATTCAAGAGGTAGAATGGAGACGAATTGCGAACCCATTCAAAGATAGTGAATCTGGCGGTCTAAATCCATCAATATACTGTATGGTCAATGACCAGGGGCTCCGGGGGATGACTGCAGACAAATAGGAGCAGAGTCCATGCGTCACATCGTATAACAAGGTCCGACAGGATTGAAGGTACTCTGCTTATCGCCGAATAAAACCTTGAAGAGAATCCGATCACGATCAACTTCTGGCTGCAGACGACTCGCACCAGTTAAGCTCAATCGATCATAACCTTTGTTACCATCTCCACCGGTCCTCGATCACTAATCACCGGTCAACCTCTCTGGATCATCCGGATGGCAGACGATTACTGTGGACGCACGTCATTCTTCCATCGATGATCCGGCACCCAGCAGCAGGGGAGCGGCCCGCGCGCGGAGAGCACAGTTTCGATGTGATGTATCACGAACTCTGTCAAGCCCGGTATCCGAGCGCATCGTATGTTGTGGGGCCCTGGCGGAGAGATCTGGATCTGTCTTATCGGGCAAATCTAGTGGAACGGATGTATCAGATTCTACCCCTCAGAGTCGCATGGCGCTGCATGTGATTTGTATCTTTGCTTGTCCGTGGCGAAGGGGGAAACAGAATACGGGGTATGGGGGTGCGTCAGCCCCTCGGGCTTGTTGTAAGCCCACGATGGGGGTTCGCTGTCCCATGAATTACTGAAGATACCCGGCCATTCACTGGTAAACGAACGGAGTCTAGTTTATATGCATCTAGATATAGTAAAATATACATCATTCACAAAGGAAATAAGAGACGGCAACTGTGTTCCAAACCCACATCACCGCGGCAGATCAAACGAAGGTGACGACCGCAGGTACACCGGACTGACCTCGACATTGGTCTCGATCTCCGTCTGGGCCATGATCTTGCCCGCCGGGATGACGATCCGGTCCTCGCTGCCGTTGCGCTCGATCTGGGTGCCGGCGATGGTCTCCGTCTCGCCGCAGTGGCTCTGCAGCACACTCATTCCGAACTCGGGCGGCCGCGACTTCGAGAAGCCTGACCCGTACCGCTTGGCGGCATTGTTGTTGCTGCTCGACCAGCCGCCGTAGCCCTTGTTGGAGGAGTACTCCCCGATCCAGCGCGGGAGGAAGCGCGAAGCGATTGCCTTGAAGGAGGGGATGGAGGATGCCAGGATGCCGACGTTGATCTCAATGGCGGACCAGTACATCGCGCCGCTGATGGCGTAGGTGGAGTCAGCGGAGGAGAGCATGGTGGGAATGTAGGTGATACGGATAATGGAGGAGACGCAGGCGCTGTAGATTGAAATGTTAATGGTTGCGTGCTGCTGGTGGTTCCAGAGACCGGGAGGCAACGTACAATAAACCCAGACAGAGAATGAAGCCCAGGGCCAGTTTCTGTTTGTAGGGCATGTGAAGATGTAAGATCACCCGGATCGGGAGGGTATAGGTCAACAGGTCGGTGAGGATGTTGAGGGCCGCGTTGCAGAGGTAGAAGACGTTGATGGTCACGCAGTGGCCGGGGACAGTGCTATTCCACGCTTTGGGGATTGGATTGCATTGGAAAGCTGCTGTCAGAACAAAAGCCGTCGCTTGACATCCCACTACGCACATCATCCCTAGTGATAGTCGGGTCAAGGTTTTATCGCCCAGTCGAGTGTAGAAATAGCAGACCGAGGTCTTGATGAAGCCGAGACAGGCGAGGTAGAACATCGAACTGAGCCAGACAACCTGTGAATTGCGTTGTTAGGTGGTACTTCGAGGGCTGAAGGCCGAGGGTAAAGGAAGCGCACAAAGGCGTAGGTGATGAGACCGTCGGGATCAACATCGTCCATGTGTTTGCCCATTCCATGCTTAACGGCTGGTCGTAATTAGAA